CTTCGGACGCACTATCGCTTTGTAGAGTCACATTTCCAGCGATTCCGCGCCGCACACGAACGAAGGTAAACAATCAAGATGGCGGAGTGTTCCCCGTGTTGTCCTCGCCGCCAGCACGGTGTGACAGGGTTGTCGGACAACAAATCGGGCAACACTCTTGCCGGGCGGCAACAACATGTTGCCCGACTGTTGTTGAACACGTGTTAGCACCGCGATGGCGAAAACGTCTTCAAAACGACCGCGGCGGCCACGGAAAGGGGATTCCCCGGCAGTCGAATGGCATGAAGGCAAATGCCGATCCCGGAGCAGTGGTCATGTTCCACATGGGGATCCATCGCCGGCGCGACCCCGTTCGGATTGTGAGCTCCATTCCGGATCTGCTGAACTGATCCCGGCGCGCTCCAAAACGCCCAGTGGATTTCGCCATCGGATCCAGATCAAAATCTGGAGCGGGAGCTAATCCAAAACGACCAGTGAAACATGTCGGTCTCAATCCCGATCGCCCAGTGAAATAGGCTCGCTCCAGAAAAGTCGATCCCGGCGCGCTCCAAAACGACCAGTGGAATTCGCCATAAAATGTGTGTCACATAATCGGGGGGATCGGTAGCCGAGTGGGCTAAAACGCACACCCAGCTCGACGCGCGTGGAGCGAAAGCTCGCGCTGTGGAACCCAGGGATCCTAGGTTCGAGCCCCACCCCTGCCCGTTTCGATCTGGATGAGCATCGTACCGGCGTGCGGTCGTGTATCACTACTGCGTGGTGCACGTTAAAGACCCCAGGCTGGCGGTTGTACCGCACTGGCTAAATTGCTCATCTACCGTGGGTAACAATGTCGCCATGTTCTGGCAGACTAAACTCCTGCTGTATAAACAACTAACGACTAATCTGTTTGTTTTTGGCACATAATCACTTCTTGTACGCTTCTTGCTTCGTGATTTGTTCTTCGGCCTTCGTACCGTCTAATGCCGCGCTCTCATTGGCTGCGGAGAGATAATTAGATGCTCGAGACCATGCCACGCCCCGCGTTTCTTGAGCTGTCGGTGAATGTAGATGACAAAAATGAGCTTGTACGCGTGGGACTCCCTGCTTAGAACGGACACCGTTATAGAGACGCTTTGCAGCAGCTGTGCATGGACGCCGCCATAACTGACCTTCAGTTTTTGTTTTCTCTTATTACGTTTATTTCACTTCATCACTACCATAGCAGGCCAGGTATTGCCACATTAGATTCAACTGTGTCCTTTTCTAAAGCATCGGCCTTCGTAGAGGATCATCAACTACCGTTTCAGTTGCTCGGCATCCCGGTAAGACAAGAGAAGGTCAGCAATGGTGGCTGTAATTTGGCGCGTGTGTAAAGCGTCTATATTCCGATGTAAGATGACAGGCGAGCCTCAGAGACCAGTATTGACGGTACCGCGTTTCAGGTAACGGCGTCACTAGCTGTAGCGCGTTATTTTTTTTTTCGGTAACGCAATAATGTACTCGTTACTTTTTTTTTTTAACGGTAACGAATAACGTATTTACGTTACTTATTTCGAGTAACGGGTAGCGTGGTTACGTTAGTCGTTACTTTTTTGCTTCCCAAAACTTTTAAAAAAGTTACACTTCAATTTTTTCGTGATTAAAGGTACCAATTGTCATATTAATTCTTCCACATATATCATATGCCTTCAACATGTCTCTGTTTTCTCCAAGCAAACGCTCTCACATTAAAAAAAAAAAAACTTTTTTTTTTTTTTTTTTTTAGCGTCGACAAACGCTCTCGCCATCAATGGCAGGCAGGGTGGATATACACCATTCAAATGTAAGGCAAAAATAACGAGCGTTACTTTTTGTCGGTAACGGTAACGCGTTCCTTTTATTTGCAAGTAACGACTAACTTATTCTGATAATGCATGCAATTAATGCAAAGGTTCAAGCGAGCTGGACAAGAAGGGCGTTCACAACCATCATCGCGTTCAAATCGACACGAAGGTGACCGCGCGGGCACTTGTGTTCGGGCAGCAACTTAGCGTGACGTCTCGGCATGGTGTCACTCCGAGGAGCTGAGCATGCCGCGAGTTTTTCTTGCACGAGTTAACGCGCAAACAGTGCACGTCGTAGATATATAAGCTCGCGCCTCTGTACTGTGCAAAACCGGCACAACTTACGAGATGGAGTGTACGTAATCTCACTCGCATCCAACTCGCTAGGCCCAAAATAAGGTAAATGACGTTTCGTAGATCATGCACTCCACATTGTGAGCCATGCGGGCGCTTGCTCAATCCGTGCTCAAAGCAGATCTCTGGCGAACAATAAAGGAAATGGCCATAGTTTAGTCACTATATACAGCCTAAAGGGGTGATGCAACAATTTTTGTTTTGCGGAAATACCGCTTCGAACGCATCCCTGACGTTAATGACCTGTGAAACACCCGTTCGTTTCTCACCGCACGCAATTAAAGTCGCAAAAAATAAAAATAAAGAAAAACGAGCAGCGTTCACCCCCACAACTCGCAACCAGAACCGATGCAAGAACAAGCGGCCACGTGATCTGGAGCAATTTATATACCGCCATTGTTAATCCTATAGCCACGCGCTGGTTGGTGTGGCACAGGACACGCGCTGAGTTCCAGACATTATACAGTTCGGCTATTGTCGTCATTGCAGCGACTGGACACGGGGCCACTACCCGAATGCTTCTCGAGCTTTCGATTATCACGAGCCCAAATCGAATACGCATGCAATGCTCGGGTTCAATCTATGAATCGCATTCAAATATCGTCACTGGAGGATACGGCCTCCCCCAGTTAAGCCATCAAGTTTCGCGAAGGAGAGATTGAATGAAAACGTTCGCTTTTGTCCTTAAAATTACACCGCATCAAAGGAGTTTCTTGGCCAGTGGCGTTGCGTGCGAGTATCCTTGATTACCACAAGTGCCAGTAAGCTCGTGTAAAGTGAAGAACATTCCAATTGAATATCGCTGCACCGCCCAGTGATCAGTGACAGGCGAAAACGCTTGCGCGTAAAGTAAACGTAAAAATGAAATTTCGATCTTTCTTGAGGCAGTTTTTGATATGGAGGTGATGCACACATTTTTGTCTTTTAAAAATAGTACAAGCTGTGACTCTTCATGATGTGCAGACAGGTCCGATAAAATATGTAATAGATTTCATATCATCCTGTCTGACCTACAATTTTAATCTCTGCTTGCAGCTCGGGGTGTTTCAAAAAAAGAAATAAGAGAGCTACGGTCAGCGTTTTGTATAAAAAAAGTGTGATAAGAACGACATGGCAAACTACTGGCCTATTTCTATCTTACCGGTGTTTTCGAAAGGCTTCGAAAAAATATTGCTTTCACGCATGGTGAAGTTTTCAGATAAGGACAGTATAATCAATCCGTCGCAGTTTGGTTGCCATAAAGGCCACTCTACCGAACTTGCTCTCCTAGAGCAAAAAGAATACATGTTGGGCAACTTTGAGCAGAAAAAAATGACCCTTTGGAATATTTATTAATTTTAGCAAGGCGTTCGATCATCGAAATCATAATCTGCTAACAACAAAACTACATGTTTTTTTGTGGACAGGTACCAAGTCTAATGGCATCATATCTTGCACATCGTAAGCGATACGTCCACATAAATGGCTATTCTTCTAATATAAAACCAATTGCATCTGGAGTTCCCGAAGGAAGTATTCTATGTCATGTTTTGTTTAATTAATATGTCAATGATATCGTGAACTCAAATAAAAATATCAAATAAGTAATTTACGCTGACGATACTATATAGTTTACTAGCACAAATGAAACTCATAAAGGCCTTGTTAAGCGGTGTAGCTGTAATGTTCTAAAAATCAATGAAAATAAAACAAAAGCGATTTTATTTCACACAGAAAACAAGAATCTTATATTTACTCGTGATATCGTTTTAAATTCGACTAACATTGAAGTCCTCACTAGCTTTGAGACTCTTAGTCTTGTATTCACGGATCAAATGTGATGTGACGATCATATTAATTATATTTTGCTTAAACTGTCGCGTATCGTTGGCTTGATGTTTCGACAACGCCATCTTTTGCCAACAAGTGTCAATATTTTAATCTATACCTCTTTTTTTTTCTCATATAAACTACTGCCATCTAGTTTAGGGTAATAGTACAAGTAATAACTTAAATAAAAAAACTTTTGTTGCAAAAAAATGCTAAGAAACATTTCCAATGTACCACACGACCACCGCAATGAACCAATATTTAAATTTTTAAAATCGATGAGTGTTAATTGTATAAAGAAATATCGTTTGTATGAGTGTTACAAATTTTAAGTAGAAAAAAATTCTCTTAATCTGATTGACCTGTGTTCTCTCGCTCCAAAAGTGCAACATATATACTCGAAGTTTGCAAAACTGGAAGTTACCTATTATAGAACGACCTATGCTGAGCAAATGTGATCTAATACGCTTCCAAACTTACTTAATTATCTTAGCTTCAAAAATATTGATCTTGTTAAGTTATCGAGAAAAAATAATCCTTTTTTTTTTTTCAGTGTGATTTTTAGTATTTTTTCAGAGATTTGAGATGTATAATACCTCGTGTTTTCTGTGTATATATCTAAATGTGTATATGCATGATATATTCTGCGTATGTATACTCTCAGCGTATTTATGTATCATGTGTTACATCGATACATAGTTACATAGAACTTTCAACTCATATATGTATCATCTGTTACTACCAAAAACGTGCATATTGCCGCCTCGGATTACTTTTTGAATAATATTGTGTCCCGTTTATTTTTTCTTGTGCCACTGCTGTTTGTGTAAGAGTGGGGGCCGGGAAGTCGATCGTCAAGCAGCACGATACAGCTTATTTTTTTTCCTCGGTCTCCGTCCATCATTTATTTGATAGAAAAATAGACATTATTATTATCATTATTGGTGTGTCCGGTGCATCGAGGTACTGTACACGCCCAGGGACTCTCGAGATCGTGCGTTCAAGGGTAAGCCACGTAAGTCGAGCTCTAAATCATGCATACATTAACAGCCTTTTATTTTTGCGCCGAGGCGACCAACGATGGAGACATAACGCGGACCCGTCACTCCTTGCAGAACGGCTGGTCTTGATTGGTCTCCAGGTAGTGAACGCCGCGTGCCTTGGTCGACGGGCTGAAGTAGCCCATGCGGCCAAAGTCCGAACCCGAGGGCGGGCCCCGGCCACAACGCCGCCGGCTGTTGAAGAAGCGGCAGCCTTCGGGCCACGCGAGGGACTTGAAGCGGCACTGGGTCCAGTGGCGCAGGGACTCGACGAAGTACAGCGAGGCTCGCTGGTGGGAGCACGTCAGACCTGGTCGGAGTCGTCGAGGAATGAGGAGAGGAACGGAATCTACCGTATACGCTTTGTGGCGTCATTCGCCAGAAGAACGTGGCGGTTCAGTGGAGGACACAGAGCATGTTATGATCTGCTCCAACATATCAGCTGAAGGGGATGCTCCGACCCCGCATTTCCGGAAACAAAATGACGCCACTACGTCACTCATCACAAACGCACTTTTTTCTTTTTTTTTTTTTTTTTTGCGTCACTAAGTGAAAAAGATGCGAAGAAGAGGAGCGAAAAAAAATTGGGTCCTTAGAAAGACGAAGAGGTTAGCCGAACTGATTGATGATGGAAATTGCTACTTTGTGCTGGGGATGGGGAAGGGGAGATATGGAAAGAACAGATAGGTGCGTTAAGAATATTGTCCGATAGTACTATATCCAAGCATGTAGAGAAAAAAACTGACGCGGTCTGGTGTAACACAAAAAAACGCGGATGGAATGCACAGTAAAAAATTAACATGTTCCCGTCACATCATGCAAAAAGCGCGAATTTGGCTGCAGACATAATGAAAGAAAATATTCTTCGGACACGCGTCACGCAAGCTGAAAGCATGCTTGGTTTACACGTATGTATGCTCAGAACATGTCTACAGACAGTGTTTTTATTAACAATGCAACAGGACTGCCATACGAGGAAGAAGCCCGTCTCAGACAGTGTCTGCAGGCCGCCTTTCGTATTATGAATTCGCTACAGTGTGCCCGCGGCTAACACCCTAAGGGTGTTACGGCAACACCCTTGGGATGCTGGTAAACATCTCCATGATAGGATGCTGACGATCCTTGCAGCCCCTAGCACTCTTCTGTGCACCTATTTCACACCCTTCAAAAATAGAGTGTGTTCGATGCAACAGCACCACCCTATTTTATGACTGAAAATGGTGCAATAAGCAAGGACGCTGAAAGGGTGTAGCCATGGGCGTAAATCTTTTTACGCCCTTAAGGATTTAGCATTTCCTTGTGCGCGACAGTGGTCAAATGATACCCGAGGTTAGCGCTGCAAATACCACATTCTGAAGATATCCTGCAGTGCTCGTTTACTTCCTCGAAGAATGTGTATAGAGCCAGTCATTTCAATGGACAAAAGGGGGTTTAAAAAATAAAAACATACCCACGTTTCGTGGGTCGCACGACAGGCCCGGATCTCCACTGCCTTTTATATAGGCTAACACGCTGTTTACAAACAAACCCAGGTTTGCTCACATCAGATGTTGGCACTGCGCTTGCGCAGAAATCGGTCTGCGCATGTGCCGTGCCGACAGCAGCGCCACCGCAGCAGCGTGACGTGAGATCACATCGCGCGTCTCGAATACCGGGACACTGAGTCAATGTCTTCTTTTTTTCCCATTTTGCCTCGAACACATAAATGTGAACGTCCTGCTACAAGAAGTTCTAGGAAATGAAACAACTCGAGGTCTGGCGATAACCCTGTTTAGGGTCACTTTTGTTCCATCGATTTTACCGATAGTACCGGCGATATACTTGTAGAGGCTTGCAGCGACAACATCGTCTTCACCGCAACACGCTCCCTCGAGCCGCGGAGGAGGCTGGCACGCACCGGGGATACCCGACACCAGCTCGGGGGCCCGGTTGCGGGCCAGTCGGCCAGACCTCCGTGGTGGTAGACTAAACAACTCAAGTCGCCCCCACGGCAAGAGAGGAGAGAGGAGAGCAGGGCAGACGCCTTGCGAGCAGCGCGCGGTTAGGACGCAGGAACATTCCTCGTAGTTTTAATGTCGTTATTCTTGTGTAATCTCTCAGAAAAATAAAACGAGTTCAGTAGAACATTATTTGAATCTACAATACTTATCTAAAAGTTATTCTTTCTTTCATCTTTTTTGTTTAGGTGCACTGCACACTAATTTAATAATGGCAGACAGGAAATTACACATGCACTCGTCACTGAATAGCAACGGATGATTATCGACACTTTTTTACGAGTTTTATGTTTTATATTATGGGCTCTGAAGCAGGACGCGTTATTTGCGTTCTCTACCGCCATCTAAAAGACTATAAATGGTATATCAAGGTTGTCCAGTAGGCGCTTTGCAGGCCGTGCAGTGCCCTCTGTGGAGTCGAGAGGATTGCTGGGAACATCCTGTATATAACCGTCTGTACCAGACGACAAAGTCAACGGAGGACACGCAGGCGAGCAGTTGCGCTGAGCCGGCTACCCACTCTTTCTCTCTTAATTGTCACGTGGTAGGGACTGAGAGGGCAAAGAGGAGCTTATATAACTTCCCATAATGCATTGCACGCTTCGCGCGTGACCTTTCGGGACTTTTGCAAAAGGTCGACTAGAGATGTCCCGAACCTGCCAAAAATCTAGTCCGACGACGTTCGACTTCAACCAGATTTGTACGTAACTTAAATGCTCTGCTCAAGTCACCGTATTTTAAATACCTTTATGAGTAACTTGGTATTTGAGAAATGCTTTCGAAGGTGAGTATTTAATTTAGCACTCTAAGTTAAATACTTTTTGCAAGTAACTTGTACTCACTTCGTAAGTCACTCGCAAGTTACTGTTCAATTTGTTGACACGCCAGGGATTTCTGTTTCCGTGATCTCAATGAGTGTGCGAAGCGCCCCCTTATGTTTATACGCGTACATATTCTTCTAACGGCACAACTATACACAAAACGTTCAAATAATTGGAAAATAGTAGGCTGTACCTGGCTATAATGTTTCGGCGGTGCAGGTTGTTTTAGAGCGCAGCTCTTAGGCGTCCGTTTCCAGCTTGAGCGGCGTCACCGTCGCCGTCGGCGTAACCGCCCGATGACGATGAGGATGACGTCATCGCCACTGATGACGTCACCAGTGACCCAGGTTAGTAGTGGGGGACTTTCCTACTTCTCCCATCACTGCCCTTCCCTCCTCCTCATCAAGAGCTGCGCTCTAATTCGGCGTTACAGGGGATTAAACGTCTTTCCTTTTTTTGTATATAAATAATGAATGGAAGTCGAGAACACCGTTCAAAAGTTGAACTTCGTTGAAGTTTGCCAAAAATTCGAAGGTTCGCCGACCCAGTCGAACCTCCGGGTTCGGCCAGAGATCGGGCCCGCGCATGTACTGACTCTGTTCGCATCCCTTCTGGTGCACGCCGCCGTTGGGGTAGAAGTCCACGTGGCCGAAGGGCCTCCGCAGCCCGACGTGGCCCATGAGCAGGTTCGTGCCCGCGCTCGTGTGCACCGCGTCCAGGTACAGCACGTCCTGCTTGCGCGGGTGGAGGCCGTGCGTCTCGAACAGCGGGGCCGCGCCGTCCAGCGCTGCAACGCGGACCAGCACACAAAAGTTTGCCAGCTCATCGTCTGTAAACAAGGCTCGTGGTGTAATATTAGAGTTTGAAGGACGTCTAATCGGTGCATATTTAAAGACAAAAAAAAAACAAAACAGCGCCGTGTTTGTGTAGGAAGTAGGTAGTTCTTCTTACAGGACTTGGTTATCGGAGGAAGAAGCGATGCTTTTGGCGTTTAAACGTACACGTTTTAAAAATATGACACGAATCTAATCTAAAGTGCACCTACGTATATCTTAATCATCCACACACACGGGGGGAAATTAATAACACTCCGCAAGGAGCCGGACTCTTTTGTTCTACTACGGTTCTTGAGGTGCGAACTAGTGTAGAGCCGTTAAATAAGCTACACTAGTGACGACACGCCAGCCATCTTGGTGCTTGCAATGATTGTTGCCAGCTATCTCAAGCTTTGTCTCAAATCACAAGAAAACTCTTGTCCGGTCTCCGGGAACGTTTAAACAGTCCGCGATCGAGGAAAACGGCACCGCCTGTCGTGAATTAAAATGTACATTTAATTCCGCCTCACAGAAGCACTTTCATGCTTCTGCCTGAGAATGTGCAGCCCGTATGCATAAAAATCACAAAAAAAAAAACAAATTGAATAGTCTACAATAAATCTATTATCCCTCTACGATCTTATAATTTTTAACAGTTTGATCTAAGCGAACTGTTGCTAGATCACACAAAATTACTTTTGACACCAAACAAAAGCAATCAAAATCAGCCTAAACAACGAAAGCAAACAACCAAGAATAAAAAAAGAACTCAAAATCGAACCACTATATACTCTGCTTGGCCTTACGACGTAGCGCAACGAAAAGTTTCCGTGGCATGTTCCGTATAATAGACCTTTCCAAAAAATTCCCGGAGAACTCGCGGTGAGGGAATTGTGGGTGTTCTAGATAAAATTAATAATAATAATTTTTATTCTTGCATCTGTACAGGTGACAGGCGCCGGAGCCACCGACAAAAAGTCGACGCATGTTGACTTGACGAGGTCCAGGCCCCGTGCACTTCGGCAGATAGCTACGGGGATACAAAAATAACTGCACAGATTATGGCAACAAGTAAAATGCATACATAAAAGCGCTAGATTTCACAGGTTTACACAAAATTTTTATCCAAAACATAAGTACAATGATTTAGTGTTTATCTACATTAGGATGCCGCGAACCACCCTAGGTTTGAATTCGAAAGGTTTCGATATTTTCGAACCGAACTGATGTTCGATTTCGAAAAGTTCGATATTTTCGACCGTAGGGAGGTTCGAATTTGAAAAATTCGCAACTTTCCAAAATCGTGGGGTTTCGAATTCGAAAAGTTCGAAGGTTTCACGGTTTCTAAAAGTTCGGGTTTGATTATTTCGAATATTTGTTTACTTGAGGTTCGATAAATTCGAAGATTTCGAACTTCCCTAATTTGAAATTCGAGAGATTCGAATGTTTCGAATATCTTTGGATCTAAAATTCGAAAAACTCGAACGTATCGAATTTTCAAAGACATAAAGTTCGATAAATTTGAAGATTTCGAATTTCTTTCTACATAAAGTTCGAAAAGTTCGAATCTCTTTTAATGCTAAATTCAAAAAAAAAACTTTGAAGGTTTTTTTTTTTATTTTTAAAGTCCAAGTGCGCAAAGTTCGAAGTCCGGTTTTCATGTTCCGCCACCAGTTTCAGTTTCAAATAACGTTTTCACGCCTCACTGTTTTTCACGAAATCAGGTTTCGAAAAGTTCGCGTGTGATACTGCGCGAAGTTGGTCAGGCAATTAAATGAGACGACGAGTGCCCCGCATGTGCTGGAATATTTGCCAGTGCGGTGACGTGTAACAATAGATCAGTAATTGTGACCGCCAGCCCGGGGTGGTCATTAACGTGCATTAGGAAGTAGTGATCCTACGGACGCACTGTTTAACGATACTCATCCAGTTCGAAACGGCCAGGGGCAGGCAGGTGGTTGAGGTTCAGAAAAACCTTGAAGTGATCTGGCAAACTGCCCCCCTACCCCCTTGCACGCTGGTAGTAATCCGATCGAATGCTGCCCGAGTGGCGCAGGCATATAGTAAGTTTAGTTTGTACATGATGCAAAATCCTGAGACTGGGAGTGAAATTTGAAAGAAAAAGTGTAAGAAGACAGAAAAAAGGGGACACGACAACGTCTCAAACTCAACTCAGCTGAAAACTTAGCTCAGGACAACGTCTCAAACTCAACTCAGCTCAAAACTCAGCTCCAGGACAGCGTCTCGAACTCAACTCAGCTGAGTTTGAGACGTTGTCCTGTCCACTTTTTTCTTTCTTACACTATTTCTTGCGAATTTCATTCCCAGTCTCGGGATTTTGCATCATGATCAACATACACCAGCTCACCTGCACCTTGACCATTTTTTTTGTTTGTAATTGGTTTGGAGGTTTATTTTCTGGGGCGGAAGAAACGCCGAGCAAAACGCACAGAAGCTAACGCAACGTGAGGTCGAGAAGCGTTCTACCATACCGGTGGCGTCGGAAGAGGAAAAACGGGGGAGGAGGGGGGGAGCTCCAGTCTCCCCCCCCCCCCCCCCCTCCCAGATATTTCGGACTGTTAAAGAAAACAATACGGGGAAAGAGGGCATGGTCGAGCTTATTTTAATCTGAAATTATTTATGTATATGTATAGCTACTGTCACTCTTCACTGCATGAAAGATCGCGTAGATGGTCATTGTTAAGGCCGGTTCTCACATGCAGCGAAGCGCTGATGTAACGCTGCTCACGTGCCGCCAGGTACTTATCGTATGCCATGAGCAACAGTTCCGACGGTGCGATACAAAGCTGGTGAACGCTCCCGTCGGCACGTGCTTAGCACGAGGTCAGCGCTATGCTTGTAGCGCTCCGCTGCATGTGTGAACACGTCTTTAGAAACTCGTTGTCAGAAGGCACTACTCGTCACATGCTCGGTGGCTCGAAAGTTCAAAGCTATGTCTTTTCGACCTAAATAACTCTGCCATTGGTAAAAATTAATCAATAAATAAGCATAATAATAAATTCAAAAATAAAAAGCTGGAGAGAAAAAAAAACTATCAAGAACCCGCCGGAATGTATTCTTGCATATTCAGAGGCCCAGAGCTATGAAACAAGTTTCTCCTACCAAAATGTGTGCAGGCCAAAAGAAACACGTCCCAAAAGCGTAAAATGAGAAAAAAAAATTTTATGACGCGCTGAATTTGAACAATTTTAGAAATCTTACCCCATGAGTTAATTTCTCCCTCAACGTGAAAAAAAAACAATTAATACATTATTTTGTATTCTGCAGATGGTAATGATTTGGACTCTCTCTGGTGTTAATTTAAATGCGATACCCAAACAATGTAGGCGAACAAAAATTGCCAAGTTTAAGGTCCGTAGGTACGTGTTTGGATATTTATTCGAAACTCGTCTTGAACAACAATAATCATATCTTAAGACGACACTCACCTAGGCTATATATAGATCATTCTTAAAAAGTTTAGCATCTCCACCATAAATAGCTCCGGCTATAGCGCGCTTCAAATATGGCACAAACGACAACTGTCAAAAACCCGTCGTCCTTCCTCGCTCCTTCGGGAATCTATTTTTCTAAAACCAAGCATGCCAGGTGATTGAAATAAACGGCATTGTCTTTCGCAAGGAATGCGTCACCCCATGTAAAATTAAGAAAAAAAATTACGAATGTACTTCACTGCTTGAATACAAATGAAACCGCCCGCCGGTCTTTCGAAGTTCGACGAGCTTCGAACTTCTACCCTAGAAGTTCGAAGTTCGTCGAACTTTTGAGTTTTCAGGAATCGAGAGTTCGACAATTTTCGAATTATTTCGATTAATAGGTTCGAAAGTTCGAAAATTATCGAATTTCTTAGCATAGGAAGTTCGAAAGTTCGAAAAGCTTCAAACTTTTTAGTGCAAAAAGTTCGGAAGTTCGAAAATCATCGAATGTTTTAGTCTATCAAGGTCGAAAGTTCGACAAGTCTCAAATTTTGCAGCGTAATAAGTTCGAAAATTCGAAAAAGCGTCGAACTTCCTAGTTTAATAAGTTCGAAAATTCGGCTCTTGTCGAATTTCTCGATGTGGAAAGTTCGAAAATTCGAAATCTTTCGAACCTTTCAAATCGCTTGATTCGATCATCGAAACTTCGATTCGAAAAAGTTCGCGGCATCCCTAATCTACATGATATTTGTTGAACAATGAAGGTAAATTATGTTTTAAAGACTGGCAACCGTAGTTCGTACGAGACGGAAACACTTTCCATTCCTCGGAGATGTAGGCTCATGCGGACTCGAACGCTTCGAATATCCTGGAAGCGGCACGATTCTTTCTTTCTTATCATTGGGAGCTCAGAACGCGCGCAAAAATAAATTAACACAAAAGCAGGTCATCACATACTTTGTGTTTCGCCCTTTCCGCCGTCTCTGCGTTCTGAAATTACAAAAAGCTAAACGAGCGTCAACTCGATCTTTCATTCCTCTCTCACGTGTCTTACATCCGAACGTTACTGTGCATCAAGCAAATGCGGGGGGTAGGGGGGGGGGGGGGGGGGGAGGGGAAAGGGCGGTACCACGTATTTTTGGCAAAGTCTATTGACACTAGTGCCAAAGCACCCACATAATTCTTGACTTTCACCTTTAAATTGCATTACCCGTGTACACTGACTTCGCTAGCTGTTTGGCATTTCGTGAAGTCCAAAAGTGAAGCCTCGTGATTGGTTTTGAGTGTTGAGGGAAGGGAGAGGCCATCGCAGTAGAAAAGCGCGTGCGCAGGTGGGAATCGCACTTTTTCAAGAAAACACATTTGTTTTTCCTTTACTGCACGTCACAACACATCGCCGTGAGTTGATTTGTTAGGTGGTATACTGTGCGGGCAGGTATACTGTGCGCGTGTAGAGCACTTGATGGCACGAGCGCTCGCATACACGGCCATCAGCCTCCTGTGAGCTAAAGTTATGGCGGCGTCACGCATGCGCCGAACGCTTTGGGTCTATTGCCCAGCGATTCGCTATGATTTTTTTTCTTACATGTTTCTGCAATCAATTCTCACCGGTGAGCCTGCCAGCCTTGAGCCCGTAGTTCCGCGCCAGCCTCCTGGCGGCGAAGCCCATCGTCTGTGCGCCTAGGCTGAAGCCGATCAGGTGCACGTTCCACGGCTGCACGACGCCGTTGCGCACCAGCGATGCCACCAGGTGCGCCACCTCGCGACCCACCAGCTCCGAGTTGACGCAAGCCTGGACGTAGTCCAGCAGCCTGGAGCCCCGCCACCAATCCACCACCACCACGTTGCCGTCTTCCTGCGACCGGAATACCGTGTGAAAAGTGCGCAGCGCCGTCCGCTCTGCCGAAAGGAATGCCGGGAACTGCCAGTATAGGATAAGGGCGGTCACGCTGCTAATACTTTATACGGAAGACAGTCAGCAAACACTGTCTGGGGCGTGTTTCTTCCTTGCATGACGGTCTTGTCATAGTGGCTCATACGAAAGCTATTTGCAGACGTGTTCGAATCATACATAGGTATTGAGGCGTGTCCTCAAATATAATTCTGTCGTCATGCCTGGAGCAAACACCGCGTCGTTTATAGGGTGTCTAAGCAGTGTTAACAGACTACGGAGGACACGCAGGCGAGCGGGCGAGGCAAGTGAGAATCGATCAGCACTGCCAGCTTTGTCTGTGGTAGATGCGTGTTGTGAAGGCCAGGAGCATATGCGGAGCGCAAGTTCGTCTGCTTCTCTTAAAAGGGTTTTGGTGACGTCAGAACGTCGAGCTCTGACTGGCTCTGATCTGAAGGATCCTTGGGTACACCTCAAGACAGCTAGCATTGAGGTCTACCCACTATCTTTAAGTCAGAGCTAATCAAAACTTGGCGTTCTGACGTCACGACAACCCCTGCAAAAGAAGCAGACGAACTTGAGCTCCGCATAAAATCCTTCATTTTGAAGTTCTTTTTTTTTTTTTTTCCAAAATGCGGGGGTTAAAAATAGGGCGCTTTGTTTCATGCTGCTAATCGGGGAGAAAACGGTTTTTTTTTTTTTTTTTAGAATATTATTTCTGAGTTCAAGCTTTTCATGTTATATTTAGAAAAAAAGATAAGTATAATTAACAATAAACTGCTAAGATCTGTTCCAGTATCAATGTCACAAACAAGTCTTTAAAGTACACAAGATAGCGTTGGAACATGGTATATACAAGCTCACTTGGACTTTTTTGATTTTGCATAATCCTATTTGCTTAGATAATCTTCTGCATGCGAAGCAGCTCTGTGTATCCTATAGTCGTGTCTGGCTTTTGGACATACCTGAATTGAGACAACGTTCCCTCAATACACGTACATTTGCTATGCAGAACATCACTTTGTTTCGACACGATCAAAATATCTGCTGTTTTTCTTCGAAGTCAAGTTTTAAAAATAGATTCACTTTTTTTTTTTTTTTTTCTTTTGGTTGGAGCAGGAGGAGAAGAGGGGCGAAGGATACTTCACAATAAACACAAAAGCTACATTTTGGGGCTCGATCTCGGTTACTGAAGCCAACGAAATCCAGGTTCGTTTCCGAGGTCCGGAGCCAGTGGATGTGTCCCTAGTCCTACCGACCCTTTGCTTCATAGCAAATATATTCGGAACAGAGTAATTTGAAAAACGGTGGAATTTAATTTACGAAGAAACACGTTCTGGCTATAAATATAAGTAAATTTCGGGCATTACTCGAAAACAAAGGACCCTAAGTATACAGGACGTTCCCATAATTCGTTGCGCGCTTAGCACGCGGATTGTAAGGATTCTTGCGAAATGTCTTCCCGTGATGGAACAGAACACTTCTGCTTCGAACTGTTTGAAAAGAATTTCAAACATTTCACCACAATAGTTTAGCAGCTTCTGGAAGTTTGTCCAAGACGTATAAGGTACTTACCAGCCTGAGGAGAGCGTCCATCATGTGCCGCAGGTACGTGACGTTTCCGTTGCCCCCCAGCCCGTGCGTGATGACTTTGAGGGGTCCCCCGGTGCGGTAAGCCCGCGGCAGTGTCATGCCCCCGGGGGCGTAGATGTCCAAGACGTCGCTCCCGCTCCTCGAGTACAGTCGGAACGCCGTCCCGATCTCCTTGGGAGACTGGGGAAACTGCCGCGCATGAGCCAGCAGCCCCTTCTGGTCGAAGCAGCCGACCACATCGAAGCACACCTGCGAGAACCTGGTTCTGAGTGTTGAACGAACGTCACGGTGACGTTTCGTGGCCACCGAAAATCGTGCTTCAAAACACACGCAGAACAAAACTACTCTATTGAAAACTTTCCTGTTGTGACAATGGATACTCGAGCAACATATGTCCTCGATGTTCCTGGCTTGGTTACAGTATTTAACGTCAGCAGCACTTGGAAGTGCAAACACGTGGCTTTGCTCACGAGTCATGATCTGTCAACCTTTCGAGCTATCCAAACAAAAGATCTGTCAGCCTTTTGAGCTATCCAAACTAAACACAATTTCGCAATACCCAGGCTTTACTCTTCCCGACATGATACTTCTTATCTCTAAATTCAAATCGATAAAATGACGAATGAAAGTGATGCCAAAAACCAACATTGAGATTTTTCTGCTCTTTTCAATGTGGTGACGTCACGTGCTGTCTAACGAACAAATTGAGCAGACAGTCTAAAAAGCAGTATTTTAAGCATGCTTTTTTATTTTGCTAACATGAGATTAATTCGTGTTTATTTCACACTATCAAACTTCTTCTAACCCGTCGTAAACAAGCTGTGTTGCCCTCCTCATACTGCCCCACCCATGTCGAGGTATCGCCTCCCTTAGAGGCTGCGAGTATTTTTGGGGGTCACTTTCGAAAATGCTATTCATCAGATTTGTTTTTGGGTGGACCTGCCCTAAATAATGTGCGTTGTCAGGACTTTCTCTCTATCAGTTGCATAGGAACGAGCGGGGTATTAGAAGCTATAACAAGGCTCAAGGCCAAGTTGTCAGTAGTAATCGATATGATACCTAATTTTATTAAAACTTGTTGTTGGCCTAGTTGGTTCATGATGCAGTCTAGAAGTTTTTTGCGCGACACAAGGGGCAATCACAAGGGGGTAGTTTGCGCTTGTCCGTGTCTACTCCCTTGTGATTGTCCCTTCTGTCGCTCAAAAAACTTCTGGACTAATTTATTATCAAGGGATGTGCCAGTGTGATAGATAGTTCATGTTTCATGTCACATATTTAACCTTTCCTTAAAAACTGTTATTTTGCATTAACGTGGAAGATGTATGTTGTTATACCAGTGCATAAAAACGATAATACCTGTAGAGTGGAAAATCGACCTATATCTTTGTTATGTGTTTTTTCGAAAGCCTTTGAGATGATTATTAGCTCGCGTGTTTCCTGTTACTTTCAACAAGCATTTTGTAATGTTAAACGTGGGTTTTTAAAGTCTCGTTTGATGCAAACAAATCTTTGTTCTTTTCTTGGTTATTCAGTTTCCATAGTTCTTTCCCGAGGCCAAGTAGATATTGTTTACTTTGACATGAGTAAGGCTTTCGATAAAGTGAATCATGATCTTCTACTCTATAAGTTATCCCTGTATCGCTTATCACTTCGACTTCTTAGCTGGTTTAAGACTTATATTACTGGTCGTCAGAGTTGTGCGAAAATGTCAAACAGCTACTCTGAAGTTCTATGCCAACTTCTGAGGTACCCCAAAAACCCCAACCTCGGGCTCCTTTCGTTCCTTATTTTTATAAACGACTTCGAATTAATCATAAAAGATTCATAGCTGTTAATGCTCGCTGATTATCATTATATCAAGATATTTACGAGTATACGATCACCCGATGACTGCGATCTTTTGCAGGATGATATCCTACGTGTTTCTGAGTTGTGTTCAGTTAATTTTTGTTACAAAGCGAAGCTACTGACAATGTCACGAAAACGCGAAATTTCATCTTAACCGTATGTACTTCAGTCAGCAACTATTACACGAATCGCTGTTGCTCACGACCTTGGGATTTGTTTTGATACCGGGCTTTGTTTTTCCTATCATGTCACGCGGATTGTGGCCTCTTCAGTCCGAATGCTGGATTTACTATCACCCCCCCCCCCCCCCCCCCCCCCCCGGCTTGTCTTTTGACTTCACTCGTCTCTTACGCACTGATCGTTTATTTTCCTGTCTGGTACGTACAAACGTTGAATTTGGCAGCGTTATATGGATTTTTTTTATGACTACTGATGCGTCGTGTATTGAATTCATGCAAAACGTTTTATTCGAGTTATTTCTGATATGTATTTTAATGGATGTTATTATGATTGCGAATATATACTGAAAAGTCTGCGTCTTCAATGTTTACCAACTCGAAGACTTTTTCGTGACTTGTTTCTACACGAAATAATCAGCGGAAACTTTGACGCTAACTTGTTTCGCTGTGTTAATTTTCACGTACCAGCTCAGTTGTACAGATTTCCTTTTTTATTTTATCGCTGTGTTCTAGAAAACAAATGTCATCAATAATTCGCACGCAAATGTTATTTAACGATTTAGCGTCACCAAATTTAGATATTTTCAGTAAATTGGCCCCCTTCATGCATGAACTGCACCACATGTTGTATACTGTTTATAACAGCATTGTTACGATGCAACTTTTTTTTGTTTTTGTTTCACTGTGCGTATTTACCACCCCATCAAAACCGTAAGGTTTTTTCTGGGGCACAGAACAAATAAACGATTATTATTATTATTATTATTATTATTATTATTATTATTATTATTATTATTATTATTATATTTACGTACAACATCTGACGTCATGTTTTGAGTGCTGCCAGTATAGAGCATCTCAGCCCCTTAGACCAAATTTAAAACTTCAATATCTTTACAAAAACTATTACTGTGGGACTTGTAATGTGGGTAACTAGAACTATAGATATGTCTATTAATGTGTTGAACCGATTCTAAGGCTAATTCATGACTGCCGAAAACTAAAAGGAGTACAGTGCGCATGTCTGAGCCGCAAGTGTGTACGCTGGCAAAACACGCGGTTACACTATTTGTTTTCCTATTAAGAGAGCCCGAAGTATCTGCACGTTCTTTGAGCACGCTATCCGATAATACCAATGATACCACATTATCTGACCATTGGTTTCGACTGAAACGGGCTTTAAACTACTTTCACAACCTTGTGTTTTGGCCACCAGATAAAGGGAATTCTCAGACGTGCACGAGGAGGCCTTCAGAACGGGCGCCTTTCAAGGATTGGCAAACCAGGGCACGCCGATAGCGGCACGATCCCCAACTGATTGAAGTACATTCGCTCTGAAGGCCGTAGCCGTCTGACAGTGCCTATGAACGAGGAACCTACTCTCAACATTGTATTGAGATCGCCAGTCAAAAGGAACTTCTGAAGCGATCGTAAAATAGAAGTAATACCGGCGTCTTACCTTCTTCTCGTACATAACCTCCTGGGTCGTGGCGTGCTCAATGTTATCGTGAATGGCTGCAAAATCCATGTTGAGTTCTTCGTAAAAGACTGCTTGGCCCTCCGTCATCATCTTTTGGATATGAACGCTCACAAGACATAATAGAGACAAGGCCACATGTCGCTGTGGTTTACGGAAGATCGCCATGACCGCGCGGTCAGCAAGTGCGATCCTCTGTCCTGCCAAAGGGAGACTACGCGAGACGGGTGGCGGAGCCGGGAAGAGGGGAGTGTTTTGTTGGTTTCCCCAAAATTCGCTACTCTTTGTATTTTGTTTTCTTCTGTTTCTTGTTGTCGCCGTTTGGGGAGGACCGGGGTGGATTGTCAGCGTGCGGGAACCGTCCTGCCTGCGTGCCGCCCTTTGTGGTAACCGAAAAACGAACGACCTTGAACGTGGACCCCAAAGATTGGACGCACTCTGTAACTCCGTTTTCGTTTCGTTCTTTGCAGCTTCAGGTACTGCGTGCTTTTTTTCTTCACTTTTTTTTTTTTTTTTTTACTTTGTGTTGGAAGAAGAAAGGAGGGGAAAAAGAAAGAGGCGGGTTAGAAAGGAAAGGAGAGGTGGAGGGGGGGGGGGGGCACGCTGCATTGCAGATTTTATATTTATCGACGGACACGCTGTTTCCAAACAAGCCCGCGTTTGCCCACACCAGGTGTGGGCACTGCGCGTGCGCAGAAACCGAATGCGCATGAGGCGTCTGCGCACGCGCCGTGCCGTCGACAGCGCCACCGCACCTGCGTGACGTCAGGGCCGCGCGTGTTTTATTTTTTTTGGTTATGCTGCTATTTTTACTTTGCATTGTGGCCAAAGGAAGTTTAATAATTTAGCTACATGTTCCAGAGGAGAAGAAAAAAGAACAGTCACCAGATGACCAATATAATTTTTTCTGGCCCCGCCGATCTCACCGAATTCGGCAGAACAAGTCACACAAGTTTGCTTGGTGACAATATGGTGGCCAGACTTTTACCACTTTGTTTCTTCGTGTGCGAAAACTTATAGACAATAAATTAAGGTATGTTTCACATTCATCTTTCTACAGGGACTGCACTGACCAGGATGTGACACCAAAGGGACTAGCCCTCTCTATTCAACCGTCGTTTAATTTTAGAAATCCAGATAATACCAAGAACTGGGACACCACTCTCTAGACCACTTCCAGGCAACTTTTAAAGATTCTAATTAAAGAGAGCCTAACTGTAATCAAACATCTTGCTCTTGAACTAAAAACTGTCGTTGCCGAACTAACCGAGGAGGAGATTAGTGACCTTAACGTGTTTGCAGTTGATGAGCTTGATGAGTTTCAGATTGCCAAGGCAAAAAAAGCGCACCGTGATGGCCTTTCCCTGTCAAAGGTTAACAACGATAATATATTGCCTTCCCTGAGCAATGCGTCACATGTGACTAGTAGTCCTATAAAACGAGTGATTGTGCAGTAATTAACCTATTTGATACTCCTCTGACCCCTACAGAGTGTTCAGTTTTATCTAGAGGCTTAAGTTTTGTACCCACCCCACATGCACCAAAAGAATTTGAACTTTTAGATGCTCTACAGCAGTTTTCCCAAAGGTCACGCCTTCAAACGTATTTTAATGGAAAAGAAAGATGCAATGAAACTAGGGGTCTTGATAGCACAACACCAAATTTCAAGTTAGAGTCACACTGGACCCCAGACTCAGGCAAGACCAGCGTGTACATAGATAATTATGTGCAAGCTATACGGAATGATATTTTTCATTCGCTTGCTAAAGCAACCACACTGAGGGGTAATTTGTCTAGACGGGAACAACAGGTCCTTAATAATTTGAAGTCTAGGGGGGACGTCATTATTCGACCTGCGGATAAGGGTGATGGTGTTGAGGTTATGAACAGGGCCGACTACATGCGGGAGGCATTGACCCAGCTTGAAAACCCGAATTTTTACCCGGCGTCTACATGACGATCCTACGCAGCGGTTTAGTATTATAATTAACAAAACACTCGAAGATCTGCGTAATTCCAATAAAATTAATGGCTATCAATATAATTACCTTCAGTCGAAAAACGCTCATCCAGGTGTCTTCTATATGCTTATCAAGGTTCACAAGCCCAACAATCCAGGGAGGCCCATTATATCAGGCATAGGCACACCAACCCAACGAATTTCAGAATTGAATTTGTAGACCACGCGATTAAACATATGCCCCCCTACTACAATCTTACGTAAAGGACACCACACACTTTCTTAATCTTACGGACCATATTAACGCATCCGGCTTAATATCGCAGGAGAGCATTATAGTTACTATTAGGGTGTCTACATGTAGCGGAGCGGCGGAAACATGTAGGCACCCTAGTTACTATCGATGTGAGCTTTTCGTACAATAACATCCCACATAATGAGGGACTGGCAGCCGTGGAAGAATTCCTCCCTCTCTACCCTTCGTCTCTCGCAGACAGTAGCTTATTCTGCGCTTATTGCAATTAATTTTAGACTGAAATGACTTTATGTTTGATGATGATCATTATTTGCAAATTCAAGGCGCGGTCATGGGGTCGAGAATGTCCCCAAATTACGCTAATATTTTTAGGGGAAAGTTTGAGGATACCTTTGTGTGGACTTACGCCAAAATTCCCGCCATATATCTTCGTTATATATATATATATATATATATATATATATATATATATATATATATATATATCATATGAAATGACACTGAAGATGCACTCCTCTCTTTTCTAAGTTACCTCAACAGTTGTCACCGTACAATTAAATTTACCTGCAATTACTCAGCAGACTCTATGAACTGTCTCGAAGTTAACGTTAAAAAGATGGGAAGCCATTTGGTGACGGTGTTGTACAGAAAGCATACAGACAAGTGTCAGGCTCTACGCTATGATAGCTACCACCCAAAATGTCAAAAAAAAATGATATACCTTACAACCAATTTCCTTGGTTGCGTAAAATTTGTTCTGAAGAATCAAACTTTAAGGAAAACGTAACATCCTTGAAGACACTATTCAAAAGAAAATATCCCGCATCTATTTTTGACGACGCCACAAGAAAGGCATCCGCTCTGAAACGTAGCACACTCCTTGAATCCACACGACAGTTTCACCCCAACGAAACAAGGGTTCCGTTGGTTATAAACTACTATTCGAACCTATCAAGCTTGAATTCCTTATTGAAACGCCATTTAAACATCCTACATGCCGACGATAAACTTTAAAAAAAATTTTCCCGAATCACCATTTGTCCCACGGAATCTTGGGAGGATGTTATGTAGAAATATAAAGTAAATAGAAAAACTTAATTCATGCGGCATTTGTGGTCCTTGCCTAAACACTCCTTGCCAACTTTGCCCGTTCGTTTTGACCGCTGATAAAATTTCGAGCTCCGCATCAGATTTCTACGTAAATATTAAACAGCATATCGACTGCAAAACACCTGACGTGATACATATTATTAACTGCACTCTGTGTAACAAGCAATACGTAGGAGAAAGTAAAAATTCTATGAAAGAGCGATTTTAGGACCATAAGTCTGACATTTCAAATAAGGGACAAACACCAGTGGCTACACACTTTAACTCCGACGACCACGACATCCATACGCGCCTAAAAATTATCATCGTGGAAAGCAGTTAAAAAAAAATGATATTATGCGCAAAAATGAAGAGTCCTTTAATATATCTAAATTTAAAACCCTAACGCCGCGTGGTATAAACATTTCAAAAGGAAACCAGGCTGTTGCAGATTTTTAGTTTTTAGCTTGTGTGTACTACAGGCACACCGCCTCCCCCCTCGCCGAGGAGAGCAGGGGAGAGAGAAAGCTCTTGGAAGGGATAGCTAAAAGCATTGCGATGTGGGTACGTCGCCTGCTAGCTTCACACTTTTTTTTTTTTTTTTTTTTTGGGGGGGGGGGGGGGGGAGGGGGAGTTAGAGCTGGAGTGGTTCTCGGTATTCTGTTGAGCAGTGCCACTCACGTGTGACATTTCTGGTGTCCGTTTACACACACTTCGGGCTTATTTATTACTGGCTTGGGCTCACTCGACTTGACCCCTGTATGTTGTTATTTTATTTTTCTGGATCTGGAGCTCTAACTCTAGCGTGACGGAGGCCGTTGCCTGTGATATATTTCCTTGGTTTCGCTAACGAGTGCCGCGACCGTGTCCCCCTTGGTAATTTTTTTTTGTATGTGTGTTTTGTTGGAGTGTGCTTAAGTGTTTTTACTTGTGCTATTATATATATGATTTTTTTTTTCGCTTTCTCCAATGTTCCATCTCTCCTCTGGTCTTTCTAAAAACGCTTTGGTAACTGTATTTTCTGCACACTTGAAGAAGGGAAGTCTCTTCCCGAAACGTCGTGTAATAAAGCCTCTACTGTTGTTCAAACATTTTTCTACGTTTACGACTTTCTTGGTGAAGACTTGTTCATTAATACAGTTAAGCCCGTCAAGATGTTAGGCGTTGAAGCAATTTTTCGGGGTTCGGTCAATTTCGGTTTCGATTTCATGTTGTTGGCGATCTCGTTGGCCCAAAACTGGAGAGCTCTAAGATCTCCCGTCTTTAATTCGAGGCTAACACATATAAACCTTCAGCTTAAAACAGACTACCGTGAAATTTAGTACCGTTTGAATAATTTCATACTTCCTGGCGTGCTCCACTGAAAAAGTATTTCACGTATGGTTCGGTTTCGGTTTCGCCCACATCACGTTTTTCTTTGGGTGAGGCGACGGGTGTCATGGCGGCTTCTACGGTGGGCAGTTTTGTGGACGCTGGTGAAAATTCCAACGTTTTCAAAGGTGTCACATCCAATAATGACTCCTCAGAGAGACACACCACGCGTGGTAGAGTCGCGCAGGAGAGATTTCCAGTGCTTCTGGTGTCGCCGGAGTACCACCGCCGGGAGAAGAACTACAAGTCAAGTAAGCTTGTGTACGACCATATGACGGGCTCATCTAAACTCGCCAAGGGCGGTTTTAAAACTTTCTTTAATGCTCACGCTGGTGTTAACTCTGTGGAATTATCGCCTATGTAACGTCCAAGTCCTAAAATTTCCATATAAACCAGTAGACGAATGCGGCCAGTCAATCGCAGACGAAATCGAACCTAATCCAATTTTTTAGACTCAATCACAATTAATTTACTGCGACAGTTTCCTCTTTTCTAGAAAACACGTGCATTTTGGTTTAAACTTGAGGTTGCGGTTTTTAGCTGTCTCGTTCACAGGCGCTGCCAATGCAAGCATTAAAAAGCATGCACTGCCTGTTCGAAGTTCGGTCCGGCACTGTTATAGCCCTTAGTGGCTCATATGTTTGATTACAATCAGCATAGTGCGGATGCTAGCTTGTTGGCAGTTTGATAAGAGTTTGCTGCTAGAGCAGCGTGCCCACGCATTGTTTTTGTAGATTAGCCGTAGCTCTGACCAAGCAGCTGAAGTCTGCTGATTGCTCGATCTTCCGATGTGGGCGTTTCTGATCGGGTTCGCCGCGCAAGTTCTTTTTTCAGCATGTCTGTTTCTCCTCCTACGTGCATAAAGAGCAACAGACAGAAAACAAAGAAAGAAAAATAACACGTAGAACTAAAAACGGAAGTGCTAATCAGTCAATAAAAGAAAGTGCATTACAGCCATTATCGGGCGTTGTCATGGACCTTTTCAACAGAAATAACATAGTACAAACATCATCACCAAAAAAAAAAAAAAAGAGCGCATTTTTTAGAACGAGCAGGGAAAATCTTTTGCACGGGTACAACAGTAGCGCTGTTCACTCGAACATTTTCGCACCGGGTGTTCGGACCAGTTTGTCTTGAACTTTCTGAGGATATATATATTTTTGTTGGTTTCGAAATAAAACAACACCGTTAGCAAACCTCTCGAAAGACTCGTTTGTTTGTTCTTGTTTTTTCTCTCGAAATAACATATTAAGAGATTTTCTGTCAATTTCCTGGTCCAAGTTCATCACTTTTTCTTTTAATTCTCTGACGATACAATTTATGCTTAGGGGGATGAGTGCGAAAAAGCTACAGAAATCAATCTTATTTCTTTTTTTCTTTTTGTGACTGATGAGTGTCGGCAAATCGCCAGTCAGCTAACATATTAAAACATCGTCGCCGAAGACGCTACACTGTTGCGATGTAAGAAAAAAAAAAAAGCAGGCGCACGCGCGCGCTCTTCCGTCGCCCGGGCAGCGCAGCGCCGCCGCCCGCGGTTCAAAACCGATCGATCGAGAAAAGAAAAAAAAAAAAGGTCTCGCGCATTGCAAACGCTACTCGCAATCGGCGTTTCGGGAGCCATGTTAGGCTGAAGTCGCAGCCCTTTATTTTTGTGCGTTCACACTCCGGGAGTGTCCGTCTATGCCGACATCCCGAAGCTCGACTGACCTCCGCTGCACCGCTCCGCTCGGCCGAGGCGCCGAAGACGCCGCCGACACATCGTCTACTCCGTATCCTTTGGTCGGCCCACGCAGAACCCCGTGTGCATCTTTTCGACGGCCTTAGGCCTGTCTTTTTCAGTCGCACCGCTGAGCTCGACCGCGAAGCCGACCCAAAGCTACGACGACCGTGATTGCCAGTGCGCGAGGACGGTTCGGTGAAGCTCGTGTTGTGTTCCTCAATCGAGATGTTCGTTCGTTATTTGGCCCAGAGGGTTCGTGTTTTGTCACTGCACGATGGCGTCTTGCACAGCGGCGCAGTTGACGATTGCTTTTCTAACGGCGCGGTGGATTTCACGTGTGTGCGTGAATTTTGAAAATGGAAGTCCGTCTGGGAACTGCCGAAAATAATGGCCATTAAAACGAATCGTTAAAAATACCTTCCTATCCCCTTCTTTCTAGTTCTACTCTCTATCTCTCTTTCTCTTTGCCTGCTAGGAAAATGAAAAAAAATCCTACCCCCACTACCTGTCAGGAAGTCAGTCGTAACACAAGTGGCCTGACATAAATGCGAGTTGACCCAAGATCATTAGTAACTAAAACTTTTCTATCAATAGATCTTTATCCAGTAAAAATTATCTATTGATCGAGCCAAATATTTCGATTTTTCGTAAAGCTCTGAATCAGTGCTGAATATAAAAGATGAGAATATGTAGATATTTTTATTACATCAGAAATTGGTGTTGGTTGACATATATTTTGGGGTTTTTTTTGCAAGAGGCAGTCTTTGTCTTCGAACGTGTGCCCCAACTTTTTTTTCTCATTAATTTTTTTTAATGTAATTTAGTTATTGTCTGAAGCCTCGGGTAACGACTGTCAAGAATGTTTCATGTATGCCACAGCAGCCACACACCTGAGTATCAATGATTACTGAACGCTCCTTGACTTCCCCACCTCAGTCGGCCCATGGCCAAGGACACCATTTACCTGTGTAACTTTAGGGTGTCTGTGGATGGGGAGTGGCTGTGCCTCAAGGAACTGGCAGACGTCCAATTTGATTCTCAGAAGTCACTCTCTGTTACTCCCTATGCATTTGATGGTCTGTGTCGTTTCTGTGTGTCTGCACAGTAGTGCACATGAATGAATGAATAGAATGATGGTCAAAGGATGTCCATATGGCTTCAGAGGCCGCAAGCTGAAAAGATTGCACGCCGCTGACCTAGCTTTATGTCACACTGTTGATATTCATTTCATTTTATTTCATGTACAGGGTGTCACAAAAAAAATTTACAGGGTTTTTTTTACCGCAAAAATAAACTAGGCATCGCCGAACGCTCCTTCTCCTCTCAAAGGTAGCACTAGAGGTCACAACCAGATGCCAAAAGTTTCAGCCCGATCCGATACCTTAATCAAATATTAAAAGTGATTTTCTGAAAATTTCAAAGGGAAAATGGCGGCCGACGGAGTTTTTGAATACATGGGGCTCTATGGGCACCAGAAACCGAAAACGGGCAAAAATGGGGTTTATTTTGTAAATTTGTAAAATTTTTTTAGTGACACTGTATTTACTTATTCTCGGAGCCGGAAGGCAATACAGAGAGGAGTAGGTTAGTTATTCAAAAATACAAAAATATATGTCATAATTAGGGTTTTGTGTTTTTGGATAACTCAGAAAAACAGCCCTCGGTAAAATTTTGCCCAATTCGGATTTATCCAATAAACTCTGAATTTTGATGTGCCAATGCCAACTGGCCCCCGCCCCCCTTCCACCCACCAAAAAAAGATGGTACTTTACAATTAAGTTTGATCAGTGCACAGCGTCAATGGTCCTGGTAAAATGCCACCAGTTATCTTTCAAATCTCGGACCATTGTCAAAAGGGGTCTTACCACTTATCTCGTCAAGGTTCACTTACAGATGACTTCATTGTTTATAGGGTAATTAAGGATGTGAACAATATCAATCTCTTACAGACCAACGGACGAAATTTCTGAATGGTGCTCCAGTCGGAAGATGAATCTAAACGTTAAGTGGTGTGGACATCAGATTTATTAGAAAAAGATGTCTTATTTCATCTGGCTGTATAGTAAATAATGAAATAATTAAAACCGTATGAAATGTAAAGTACTTTGGTGTTATGCTGTCCAGTGCTTTCACGAGGAAAGCGCATGTAGATATGCCCTAAAGCAGGCGCGTAGCCGGGAGGGGCCCATGGGCCCCCCCCCCCCCCCCCCCCCCCCCCGAAATCTTCCATTTTGCTGGAACTTCGTCGCCCGCCCCCCCCCTCCCCCCCCTGAACCAAAATCCTGGCTACATGCCTGCCCTAAAGGCAGTATGTATGCTTAATTTTGTAAGATAAAATTTCCGACAGAGGTGAAGCACAATTAAGGAAACTTTTTATTTTACTTTTATTTGCCCGTGTATGGAGTATGCATCAATTGTCTGGAGCCCCCACTACAATCTATAATAGATCAGTGGTTCTCAAATGAGGGTCCGTGGATCCTTTCGGGTGCGCGAGGACATTCTAAGGGTCCGTGAAGCCCTACCTCATCAGTCAAGCACGGCAATAAACATATTTTTTTCCAGATTGAAAAGAACCGTTCCAATTTTCAGATGAGATTTTCATGTGTATGTCAGTGAGGGAAAGTCTACTTCATACAAGCCGTTAGCTATATTTATTTAGTAAATTATTATTATAATTAGCCTATACCTTTCCCTTCCCCTCACGGCGATGAACTGGGTCCTCAATCCTCTCCGCTGATCCAAAAAGGGTCCAAAAAACATCTGTGGTTGAGAACCACAGTAATAAATAAACTTGTAAAAGTTCAGAACCAGTGCGCTAGATTTGTTTTATATAGTTACCAACTTGGAACGAGCACCACCAGTATGAAGGGAACCCTAAATTGGGGATCAGGTAGCGAACAAAGAACATCTTTTAGGTTAAAATTTCTTGAAAAAAAAATATATATATATATCACAATCGCCTTCTTATCAGCGGGGTCACATTTCTGCATGATCCTTTTTTATGTGTCCAGAAGAGCAGACAACCCAAGAAAAATTCGACCTTACTCTTGTCGCACTAATATTTTTGCCTTTTCGTTTCTTCCCCAAACAATCGAAGAGTGCAGTAAATTGTTGACGGATGTATTCTTGCCTAATTTTGAAATTGGTGTTTGGTGGTAAAATTGTGCTTTTTTTGTGTGTGTGTGTGTGTTTTTCTTTTTAATATTTTCAGTATTAAGTGACTTGCCTGATATCGTTTTTAGTTTTTGTTTGTGCTAAATTTTAAAAAAATGTTTTTTTGTGCAAGAGTTTTGACAACGAGAAAAGTTCTGTTCACAACGTAGCCTGCAATAATGCCAAAATGGCTCTGCAGATTTCCATGTAAATAAAAAAAAGGACAACAGGTCATTGTACTTTATGGTCACGACAAAAGCTTTTGTTTTGGTTTTCAGTTTGGGCCATGCTATCTGTGCTTTAGAGGAAGGAGAGGCTGTGTTTTTGTGACAGTGAAAGCTATGGACCATAGAGATAGCATAAAATGGGGAAGAGGGGCAGTTGAAACTTCCCTATTACATCCTTTACCACTCCACCTCGCGCAACTGCGGGGTAGGTCGATGAAATAGGATGGGATGAATACTTGCTCCCCAGCGACTGCCTCTAGGGGTTTATTGATTTTAAGGTATCAATGTTTATCTAAGCAACACTTGTGTGCAATTTTTGTCATGAGACAAATCAGTATTGCCAATGGCAATGGCATCCACGCCGAATACAGCGGAAGAAATATTGATACAAGTGTGTTTAGTTTTTTTTTTATAGGAAACACTACGAAATTGGACTCCGAATTTCAGAGAATTGGGAGTCGAACAAAAGTAAACTCTGAAAAACACCCTCCAAATTTTGCGTAAAATAAACTCCCAAAACAAGGAATCCTAGTCATAATACAAGAATACATGTGATACATGAATGCATGTTGAATACAAGAATTAGTGTCATAGAACCGAACGTAAATTAAGACCAGGGCTCGGGAGATGACTATGTGCTTCCTGTTAGTAATATTCTTTGAAATGTTTTCAGGAAGGACTTAGAGGACTGTACAGTTTAGTGCCTCATAGTGACAGCTTTGGCAGTCTTCACATTGCCTTCTTCCTAGTGACATACATACTGCTTAATTATGTGTGGCCATTGGCAGCAGTACATTTTCCTTCCTCTAATGCTCTGTCTGTGCATACCTCATTGGACATTTTCTGCTCCCCTACTCTTCTGTATCAAGTACATAAGAGTTTGCTATGCCATCATTTGGTGTGGAAATCTTGAAGATTTGCTTCACTATTTCAAAACAGGTTTGGAGCATGTTGCCTCTTTCCTCGCTGTGTCTATGACTTTTATTATCAGTCCAAATGTCTGTTCAGAAGCATGCTTTGACATATTTGATTCAGCAGGGTCTAAAGTGATGGTGCCAGATATTTCCAGATACCCACCAGTGTCTGCATTGGACATCTGTTCGTTTTTGGATGAGTTTATTGCAGTTTTTAATGTGTCACTCCCTGTTAATCGTCTTGAGGCCGAGTGTGGATGCGTTACCATGTGCCTGACCGCCACCACCCGATGCCCAGATCGAGACCCCGTGGCCATTGAGCGTTCCAACCTGCTCAACCTGACCAAGCTGGTTGTGAAGGAGCTCATCGAATCCTCGCTCAAGTTTGGCCGTATGCTCGACTCGGACCACGCGCCGCTCCAGCATTTCTTCATTCTCCTCGAGCATGTCTTGAGGCACGGCCTGAAACGTGAGGGCCACAGTATTTCTCACCATCCGTAGCTTAGTGATAGGCTTTTTCTTGGCTGTGAAACTAAAGTTCCCTTTAAAACTACCAACCTTGTTGTGTTTTTTTTTTTTTTTTTTTTTTTTTTTTTTTTTTGAGATATGGTTACGGAGAAGCCTTTAGTTCTTTTCTCAAGATCAGAAGTTTTACTGTGTACATGTGCATTTTTGAAAGATGTTCATAGACAATGTTTGGTGCCTTCCTTGTACTTGTGTCTGGCTGGGATATATATTTTAAGAGTGATGGTTCAGTTGGGCATCGATTGGTGAGACCCTATATTGCTTTGGGATCTTGTGAAAATTTCTCAAATTTTCGTCTTTCTTACGAGAGTCGGGTGTTGCATTCCATTGTACAATATTGTACAATATCCAGCTGTTGCGTGGTACATACCGTATTCTTAGAACTTCATAAAAGCTGTGTTGTAGAGCCTTATAGTAATCAGTCTACCATTGCTCTCAACCCCTTAGCAAAGAAGGGGATTCTTGGACCAAAAAAGGAGCTCTGGAACGTACTAGAGGCCATAGAAAAGTTTGTCCCGGAGGCTGCTGACATCACCGCCAGTGTGCGGGACTTGCCCACTGTAAAGTAAGCATGCACTTTGATTTGAACCTTGAACATGTGTTTCTTTCTAACATGTGAAATGTGCTAAATGTTATATTGGAAGGGTCTGCATTGCAGTTATGCTTGAGGCATGTTTTTGTCTCTCCTGCTTTAAAGGAGCCAACTCGGTCGAGCCCGAGCATGGTTGAGGCTTGCGCTGATGCAGAAAAAACTGGCAGACTATTTTCGCCTTGTGGTTGACAGAAAAGATGAGCTCCTCAGGTGGGTTATTAACAAGCAGTGTAGAGCAGTGAATCGCCTGTAAATTACATATTTGTCAGAGTTTGTGGAGTTCTTTGAAAGTAAACTTCACACTTCTCATTATTTTGGTGATGCAGGGACTACTATGAGGATGATGCTCTGATTCTGTCTGAAGAAGCCATTGTCATAGGAGGCCTCTTGGTCGGTCTGAATGTGATTGATTGCAATCTCTGTGTCAAGGAGGAAGATTTGGATTCACAGGTAAGGTCTGATTTGGTTTTGCTCGGCATTCTTTATGGTCGCCTGTCGTTGAAATATCCTCGCGCTTGAGAGAGTCTAATAAGTGCTTCTTTCGTTCCTGTTCCTCAGCAAGGTGTTATAGACTTTGGACTTTACCTGAGGGAGAACTCCCATTCAGATCTGCCTGAGGGGTAAGCTAACAGTTGTTTTTCTTTGATGAATCTGAATATTACAATGAATATTCAAATAATGTGGTAATTAAAAATAAAAAGTTGCCATAGGTATGACTGTTGCAAGGTGTATGATATATATAGGTGTGGACACCGCACGGTGTAGCTGCCAGGTGAAGTCCTCGCCTTGCCTGGTTACAAGCGGTTCCACCAGATGGCTCCTCAATATGCGGCTAATGGCTGCCTGTCCCAGGCCTGGTTTCTCATGTTTCTCTACAAGAGATATGCATGTTTTAAAGTCATTTTCTGGGTGCACCATGTCATGTAGAACTCAGCACTTACGCATGCTGCCTTGACACTGCTTCGTCATTGACCCTAGTTTCGTGCCTCATTGGCGGTAATAGCAGTTTTATGAATGCATTAAATCAGAGAGGACCATGCGCAGTATTCAAGCCAGGGTCTGTCAAGGTCAGAACAGATGCCCCGAACAGAGAGAGTGTGCTCCAAGTGCCTAGGGAACGAGACACATTTTTTGTTTTCTTTGTTTCTTTTTTCTCAGTTTGTGTCGTCAGAGAAGCTGCCAGCTGAGGCTACTCGGGCACGCACCAATAGGACTTTATCTGATCGATTTCATCGCAGCGTTCACCGTGTTGTGTGTCCTCGCCGATATATATCTCGTACCGTGGACTGTTGTCATTTCAAACAAGTAGTGTTGCAATATCTCGAAATGCCTGCCAAAGTTTTGTAAAGATGCTTTCCTTGATGCCTTCAAGATTAGTTCCTTGCTATTTGTAATGTCTTAAATATCTATTTCGAAAAGGCATCTTTGCAGTTCTTATTAGATTGGTTGGTTTCATGGCTTTTAAAATAATCTTTGACCTTTTTGTGTTGTAACCATGGTCGTGTTTTTTTTTCTCTTAGTGTGGAGCCTGCAAGCATGACAGCTGTTCTTGACCAAAAGAATTACATTGAAGAACTCAATCGGCACCTAAAGTATGTTGGCCTGTTCTCATTATTGGTCTGCTGCCATTCCAGACTGTCCGTAGACAATAAAAGCGTCCCTTAATCCTGTGGGAAACTGTTCCTGTGCTCTAAAGGAAAGGGAGGAGACGAGCCTGTAGCCCGGTTGTACTGATACTTGAAATCTTGCACATTTGATATGAACGAATTGAGTGAGGTTAAGTTCTTTGGCGCAAAGAATCTGCCCACAATCATATAAGCTCCTACTATTGTTCTGCGTAGATTTCAGAATTGACTATGGCATATAAATAGGGTTGTTCGTTTTCGGGTTTTATATTTTTTTTAAATTCGGGGGGTAAAAATCGGGTGCTAATTTTCAAGCTGACAATCGGGGAGAAATCGGGTTTTTTTTGTGGAAATTTCCGAAATTCGGGTATTTTCGGGTTAAATTTAATACTAAATTTTACATTCGTTTTTTTTTTTTTTTTTTTCTTTTTTTTAGGGTATTACGAGCTTTCATCCCCATTATAGTATTCGAGTGTGGAGGATAATCGTCGTCTTGCCATTCCCGAAAATTAAGCTTATCTTGGGGGAGAGCTCCGCTGGTTTGATTGCCGTCGGTCGCTTCAGGGAAAGCACCGCCCAGGGAATCCTCCTCTCCCTCAGGTGTCAACAAAAACCAGAACCGTTTGTGGGACGGTCGTCTTCAATCAGATATTTCGCTATGAAATAAACCTGTTAAGTTTTTCCGATCTGCTTCCCCCGACTGACCGGCTCGGACGTTGTTCGTGAGAAAGGCAGACCACCAGCGAAATGGCCACGATACCCGAGAGACCAGGCTGGGTGTCGAGATCTAACAGCGGTCGAAGAGGGATTGATAATGCATTTAATAAGCTGCGTGCAGCAGGGCCGAAGCTACGTGGCGTGCCGAGACGGTTACACATGCACAGCGGGGAGACGGAAATGTCCCTCCGAGGCCCCAACACCTATTGTCGCTTTTCTTCAGCCGGCCTCCAGAGAATGTCACGGTGAGTTAGGCGCGCTTGTTGGGCGGTTGGTTGATGGTTGAGAGCCGTGTAGCGTCCACGGTGCTGCACACAGCTTGCGAAATGAACTACAGGTCACTATCCTCCCGAGGTGGGGTAGATAGCATGTGTGCACCGCAAACTCCGTGCGGCATAAAAATAAATAGGTTGGTTATGTGGTTTTGGAATTCGGGGAGAAATCGGGTTTAACCTGATTCTCCTGAAACATGTTCGGGGTGTAAAAATCGGGTAAAATCGGGTTTTACCCGAAAACGAACAACCCTACATATAAAGCATATGTGTAGGGAAGGCTCAGGCAAATTTGCTCACTTATCATGTCAAAATTATCTGTTTTTTTGGTGGGTACTTGCTCGATGTTGTACACTATAGCCTTGTACGATAGATTTCTTTACAATCTTTTCACTACCAAAATTATAGAAAATAATAATTGTAGTTCCTCCTTAACTATCCAGTGCAGCAGTTTTCATATTTGTGCCAAAGCCTTTTTCTCATTCCTTTTTTTTTCCTTTCAAAGTCTTCCCTTTTTTTCACTGATAAAGATTTATTTACCGATTCCTATATGACTAAATTGGTGATACATCACATGGGCTGAATTTTTTCTTCTTTTTTTTCTTCTTTTTTTCTTTTTTTGTTCGTGACACCGCAAATATATATTGCGAGTTTCCGTTCATTAAACTCAGTTGTAAACAGCGCTACGTCCGTGTCACTTCTTTGTCTGGTCCTCGTCTTTCCGCGCTGTTTTTAATTTCCGATGACTAAATAACTGAGTGTGCTTTAAACATGTCTTTTTTGCGCTTCCCAAATCGAAAAGTTTTTACACATTAATAGTATTTTTACGATTTCAATGTCTAAGATTGCCTTACCAACAGTACAAGCTTATAAAAAAGTGACTCTAACAAACAAAGTAGTGGTAAGCTTGTAGTGTTAGCACTGGCATTTGAGGTATTCATATAGAAACTATGTTTGTTTACATCCCAAAACTTCTGTTTTTTTTTATGTTAGTTGGACTTTACTATAAGGAGTCTTTGCTGTACTCGTGTGTTGAGTGACCCATGCTGCAACAGTCTAAATGGTTTGGTGTTCTGCCTCTTGTTCTCAGTGCCACCGTGACAAACCTTCAACAGAAAGTTGAACAACTTCAAACGACCAATGCTCTAATGAAAGAGGACCTTGCCATTGCTAAGAATCAAATTTTGGCCCTTGAGGAAGAGAATGGGGTCATGCGTCAGCACCAGGGCACCATAGTTGAGGACCATGAACGCAAGCTTCAGGTACCTTATCTCAGCAATGCCAAACTCGCACTATGTCTGTGAGAGGTCACGTCTTTAGAAGTAGCAGCCCATTAGTACGTAAAAAAAAAGTAAACAGTATCCATTTTCAAGTAGGGCTCTTATTTACTGTAATGTCTTTAATGCAGAGTTGCATGTAAGATGTGAATGAGCCTTTTACACTGCTTCATTCACTTTCGTTGACTACTTAAGAGTAAACAGCAGCTGCCTTTCCTGTTGGATCTCATGGTAGATACTGTATGAAACAGCCTATTAAATTTAACACAATCATTTTTATGAACAATGGCCATACATATCTGCTTTATAAGCATGGTAGATCATGAATGACATTTGAGCCCAAGATTGTTATCTGCCCCTGAAGTCTGAAGCATGTCAACGCAAGGCTCGGAATCTCAGCACAGCTAGGTCACTGTTCTGTGTTCGGATGTTGTCTGTGCCCATTCACCATTGTACTTCTGTAAATAGCAGCAATGGATTCTCTGTGTGGTGTACAGGAAACTAAATGTCAAACCTTGGCTCTTATCAAGAAGTTCTCATTGGATTCAGCTATATATATGACACCATTACTTAAAATCCATCTGACAAAACAGTGGAATTTATTGGAGGTGCTGTCCGCTCTTGTAGACTTACTATATCAAAGCCTCGTTTTGTCTGTGTTGGGAGACGTTTTGTGGTTTTGTTTCAGAGTGCAAAGGCAGACATGAGTGCAGAACGTGAGACTTTGCAAGCCAACCAGGCTGGCCTCGACTCTCTATACACAGAGGTCCGACGGCAACTACAAGAAGAGGTGGACAGGAGACAGGCAGGGCATTCCTTCCTCTTTCATTACTTCTTGAAGCTGTCCAAGGACTAGACCCAGGCTTAAAGACCGACGTACAACCTCGGTTTTCTGCAGGGAAGATAATCCTCTCAGTGCTCCCCTCTCCTAAGCTGTGAAGGGAACGAAGTTGGGGCAAGGTATAGAAAAAGAGGAGGCGGGCAAAATTGGAAAGTGTATGTCAGCCTTCAAAAACAATTCAGCAAAACTTCAAAAATTTTCAGCATTTATTTTTTGTGCATAAGTATATTATTGTGTGTTCAAATCTCGTCATCTTGACAAAACTTGTCCTGCTTGCAGATAATTATTTTGCCGTGTGGTAGGAACCCTCGTTTCCGAGCTTCTTTTTTTAATCGGAGCATGAACTTTCTCATAAGGTTGAGTAATCTTCTGTTTAGGGATGTGCTTGTATCGTAGAAATTGCAAACTTCTGTGTCTGTTTTTTTATTGTTTATTAAGAACCCTTCTTTTTCTTTTTTGACCTCTCACTGATATAGGAAGCAGAAATGGCCTTAAAGTTACTTGAAAAGGACATCCACGAGAAGCAAGACAGCATTGTAACACTGCGCCGACAGCTCGAGGACATAAAGGCAATCAACTTGCAGATGTACAACAAACTTCAGGTTGGACTACCCCCTATTCTTCAACACTATCTTGGTAGACATGGGGAATGATTGAGCCAGTGCTTCTACACTTAGTTTTTGCCTCAGGGTAGTAGTCAAGCAATAGCTCCACTACTGCTTTGCCATAGGGCGCCAGCTCTTCGCTTTGCAATGGGTCTTGACAGCATGAACAACAGCTTCCATCAGAGTTCTCAGTGTACATCCTATGTCATTTGTGCTACTATTGCTTGAAATTTGAAATAAGTTCAGTTTTGCAATGTAGCACATCAGCTCCAAATGCAGGTTGACCTCTTCGTGTTTGTAAATAAACAATCCTTCCCTCCTGAAGTTCAGTCTCCTTTCGCTTGGTATAGTACATTTGAGCAGGTCAGGAGTTACCATTGCATTTTGTTTGCTGTCCCATGTCTCAAACACTTAAAATCAAGTAATTCTTACTTTTCCTGCTCTATTATACTGGGTGTATCAAGGAGTGGCCAGGCTCTTTAAATCGACCGCAAAATTCGGTTTCTTTTGTACAGCGTTGCCCACAGGCGGTGCATTTTTTTCTATGAAATTCGCAAAGAGCGAGCTTACCTGAGGAAAAAGTAAAAAAAGAAAAAGGCCTAACTCCTATGGAAACGCAGCAAAGCCACCGGTCTTCAAACCATAGGGCGCCCTATGGTTTGAAAAAAAAATTGGGTTGTGTGTATGTTTATACAGCCTAGAACTTGGTCTGCCTCCAAGGGCAACGAGTCTCCCAGCTGTAGATGAGCAATTTAGCCAGTGCAGTACAACCGCTAGCCTGGGGTCTTAAACGTGCATCACGCAGTAGTGATACACGACCGCACACCGGTACGATGCTCATGCAGATCGAAACGGGCAGGGCCGGGGATTGAACCCAGTATGCTGGGTTCTGCAGCGCGAGCTTTCACGTATGGTTTGAAGACCGGTGGCTTTGCTACTTTCCATAGGAGTTAAGCCTTTTTCTTTTTTTACTTTTTCCTCAGGTAAGCTCGCTCTTTGCAAATTTTATACAAAAAATGCACCACCTGTGGCCAACGCTGTACAAAATTGGAACGCGATAGGTTAAGAAACCGAATTTTGCGGTCAATTTAAAGAGCCTGGCCGCTCCTTGATACATCCAGTAGTGCAATCCACTTATAATGATACCAGATATAACGATGTACTGCTTATAACAATCAGTTTCTAGAGTTTTAATACTAGAAACGTCCAGCTTCTAATCTAGTACTTGGTTATAACAATTGAATTTTCAGCCTTTCTCAATATCGTTAAAAGTGGATTGCACTGTATTTGTGACTGCACTATCTATCAGGTTCTAACGCTGCATGCCTCTGACAGTCAGAGAGGTACTGCCTTTTCACAATGGCTGCCATGAGACTTTCGAGACTGATTATTGACCTTTGAACATCTGTCTTGTCCCTTGGTCTTTTAACAGGACTGCGAAGCCTCGCTAAAACAGAAAACGGAGCAGGTGTCGAAGTTGGAGCAAAGGGTCGCCCAATTGACGAGCGGTCTGAAAGATGCCGATGCGAAGTAAGTGTGCATAATGTGCGAGTGTTCAACCTCTGCTTTGTCTGAGGAGGAAAGGGAATGTCTTCACAAATCTATTTTTGGCATTGCCACCACACTACACATTGTTTAACCTTTGGGAGGCTTCTTTGTTTCGTCATTTGAAATGACTTGGATTGACGCTGGTTCGTCTCTGTGTGTTTACGCTGTGCTAGATATGTCTTTAGTTGTCGGCGGTGGGTTGGTGCCTCTAGGAAAACGAAGATGACTGTGTGAGTTCTCATGAGGAGCCACACCAATGCCAAATGGGTTTACGAAGAGGACGTATTGCTTGGTGTAGCCACCCAAAGACGGTTCCTCTGTTGATGTGCCACATTGGTTCTTAAGAATTTGAGTAGTTGGCTTGGTCTTACTGACTCTGGGAAATGGTTGTTAGTTTTGTTGTGGCAAAACGCTCTCCAGTTATCTCGAAAAGTGTGGCTGTCGGTCGTATTGTTGGGGCATGGTGCGAGCTAGGACAATGCCTTAGTCTGTGCCATAAACACGATTTTAAGATCTGCTGTCCTTAACTCAATAAAAATGTTTCGACTCGCATTCCTTGTTTGAACAGGTGCATTTCAGTTCCGCGTCTCAACCTATGCTTTTCAAAACTTTGCTTCTGCTCAGCTTCCTTAAATGTGTTGAGGTGTAAATCTTGAAGCTGGGCTTTCCTGATGAGTATGTCTAGAACTAAACTAGTCTCATGGTATCCTGGCAACAGTTGATTACATATTTATCGCTCTAAGTTTTGGTGGCATCACTCGCTGGTATACTTGCCTTATTGCAGGGGAAAAATGTGATGCAGCCAGAAAAACTATGTGGTAAAGCTGAGTGCATATGTAGTCCATGCTTTTGCATGTGTTTGCTCAGATCGTAAATGGCAGTGTTTTCACGTGTTTCCACTTCACTTGTGGTCATGAGCCTTGATGAAAGACATGTGCCTCGTAGTCACCATGGCTTCACTGTGAACACGGTACTGCAGCTAGCTGTTCTTGCACAAAATAATGCAGCCTTTGTCTAAACGAGTACTGTAGTTTGTGTGAAAAAAAATTTGTTTTTTCTTGTTGAAATATTTTTACTGTGTTACATTCTCGTCCTGCAAATTGCTATGCTTGTTAATAGTGAGGTAGTATGATGGACATGCTGAAGGTACTGAAGACTGCAAAAACAGTAGTGTACTGCTAGTTTATGACTGAGGATGTGAAATCTCAAGATGTGTTTAGTTGGTATGTCGGTATACTTGCTGGAGAAAATTAATGTTCACTAAAAGGAAAAGCACGAAATAAAGTAATTTGTTTCATGCAGTGAACTTTAATTGATCCTGACTGTTGTTGGTTATTTGGGAACGAATCTGAATGCGTTGCTTGCACTGTACAAAGCCACGCACACGTGTGTGTGCATCAGCTGCAATTGCCGAGCTGCAGTGTTCTAAACATGGAAGCATCCGTGGACCCTGTGCACATTGGAGTGCAGCAGGAGTTGTTAGTTTGTGCTTTGTGCATGGCTCTCCTGCATTGCAGCTGCTCCACCTGACTTTGTAAAAATAAGATAATAAAGAAGGCTTGTACTCTCTTCTGGTCCATTTCTTCTACAGCAGCATCTTTATGGGGCAGGCATTTGGTGTGCTTTAATTTTTATCTCTTGTTTGGTTCTTTTATGTGTGTTAGAAGGTATGAGAAACAGTAATGATTTTGGAGTTTTCATTGACCCAGCGGGGACTGTTCAAAATATTTTTGCAGCTTTTTTTCCTCTTTTTTTTTTAAGGATATTTTTAACTTTGTATAAGGAAAGCAACAACTTAATCTAGACCCTCAAGAATAGAAATATGCAGCTACAATGATCATAGGTAATACTCACTCCTGTCAGCTTTGGCATGGGCTGTCGTACTGGCCAACATTTGTGTGGTCGCTACTGTGTAGTGCATGCCAGTTATCTGTTGTATTGTACTGGCCACATTGCTGGTCTACTACAGAGATGAAATTGGTATGTTATGCAGACAAATTGTGATGTACAGGGTGTTTCAGCGAAGACTTATAAAATGCCCAAAAATAGGGTATCTGAGAAGAAGAGAAACTATTTACGAAAACAACCTGCCAGCTACTGCAGACATTGGGGATTGTAAGAAGCATACTAATTCGCGAGATAATTAACTAAAATTTACTAGTGAACCTCTTAACCTGTAAGAATAAGCATAGTGTTCAAATTAGAAACTTGCCGAGCGCACTCGAAAACCCCTAAACCAACTAATTTGGGAAAGGTATAAGGCGCATACAACATTGTACAATGTTCTGAAAAAAAAAAAAGAAAAAAAAATTGGACGCGTTTCCAGGTTTCAGTTTCCTACTGGCGCACATCTTTGCATTAGTGGTCCTGTCATCCCGTGGCTAAGAGGCACAATGCACGTGCGCCACACTTCATGCCATTCTTCGTGTGAGGCGAGGCAGAAGCTGCGAACATCGGGCACCTCAGAGCAGGGCCGCTAACGCAACAGTGTACTCCAATACATATAGAACAAACCAGAAACTCATCTAATTGAGCGTTTTCCGGAATGCTGTAAAATACTCAACATATTTTATACCCTTCTAAACTTAGTTGATTACCGTAAAATACCGGGCAAGCGCCCACTCAAGATTTAGATATGTAATCGCGAGAAAATGGGAGATGGGGTGCTTGCCCAGTCATCAATTTTTACATATCAATGTACTGTGCATATTTTCTCAGATCCTACAAATTTGGGAATAGGCGCTTAGTTTGGAATGGGTGGATGCACGGTATTCTACGGTAAGTGATTTTTGATGATGCTCATCAAGTTTCTAATTGAAATAATATGTTTATTCTCTCTAATTACAAAATGAATAATGAATCGGTAAATATCAGGTAATATTTAGCTAATTAGTATGTTTTGCAATCCTGACAACCGTTGTAGCTGGCAGTTTGTTCCCATCAAGAGTTTTTTTTTTTTTTTTCTCAACCATCTTATTTTTAGGTATTTTTGTAAGTCTTCACTGAAACATCCTTTCTATTGGCTCTCTTGAACATTAATTTGAAACCCTGCTTAGTACAGAAAAATGTCATCGTAGTACTCATTTGTTCACTTATCCCCCCCTATTTTGTATCTAGGTTTTTTTTTTAATTATTATTTTGTTTCTGTTATGCATGGGTTCATTTCATTGTGCCATTGTTTTAGTTGATCACATAAATCAATCTCTAGATTGTGCAAGTAATTTTTTTTTTCAGACTGATATAATTATGGTAGATGATGGACATATGCTTTTGAAGTTTCAGCAATGTGCCCTTTTTCAAGTCAAGGACTGGAAATTATAAAAGTGATTTTTTTTTTTTTTATGGTGAGGTGCCCTGAGCTGCTATGCCTATTTCTCGCAAGACTACCTTGTGGGGCAAATGGACTATGCACTTTTAGAATAAATTGCAAGGATCGGCTTTGTCGATAAGGGCCCTAGCTACGCTTATGATAAGTTGTGGATTATGGCATACAAATTTGTTTCTTGCTGTTTATTTAAAGTGGATTCTATCTATTTGGGAAATACCAAAAGGAGTATTCATTTTGGCAGATCTGGAAGACTGGAAATGCCAATTGCCCCGGTTTTGTTTACTTCTATTTTTTGTCAAAGTAAACCCCATAGACGAAAAGTGTTCTTTATTTCTAACTCTTGCAACATATTGTGCCAATACACTCCTAAACTCTAACAATTTAGAAAGTTTAGAATAACTCAGGAAATTGGAAATATTTGTCATAACTATTGCTGTAGTTCTTATGGTGAAATTCACTGGTGGATTTGGAGTGGCTTTGGACCACTTTTTTCTTGGTGACTTTATGTATGTGCAAGTACAAGCATGAGGCACTTCCACCAGTGGAGTTTACCATGAGAAACAGTTGCAAGACCTCACAGGCATCTCACACAGTTGCATCATTTTTGACAAACATTTTTGGGCACCAAAGATTTTTTTTATAAAGATGACTACAGTGCAATCCACTTATTACGATGCCAGATATAACAATGTACTGTTTATAACGATCAGTTTCTAGAGTTTCTAGACTAGAAACGCTCAGTTTCTAGTCCAGATACAACAATAATGAGTTATAACGATTGAATTTTAAGGTTTTCTCATTATTGTTATGAGTGGATTGCACTGTATGTCAGTAATCCAGTATCCTTCATTGAAAGGGTTCTTGTCATAGTTTATTTCTCTGACGTCTGGTATTTGTCTTCTCAAAAATAAACATCAGGACAGCCTTTAAAGGTGGGTGTCAAGGTTAGGCTGAATAAAAATAGTTTTGATCGAAGTGCAGTCAAAAGCTTGGGTGTGTTTCCCAGAGCCATGCACTAGGTTTGGTATGTTTGATGGGCTACAATGCTAATAGCATGAAAGGGCATGATAGTACATTCTCCAGTTTTCGCCTTCTGAGATAATTTTAAATCCATATCGCACTTCTTTTCCACTGTGGAAAAATAGGACATGTTTTTTAAAAATTTTAGACTAAAGTTGACACAATGCACCTTTCCAAAATACAGTGTTTGACAATTGAAATTTCTTAATGTGATATCGATGGTTTATCTAAGGAATTGTCCCTTTATACCTCACATTTAAAGCTCAGCTTTGGATGTTTTATCCTTGGAGAGAAAAGAAAGGATCCGTCCCAGCCCAAGAACAGAAATCCTGGGAGCAAGCACTATTGCCATAGTGGGACTAAAATGACAGCGAGAAAATGTAACATATTGGGGGTGGGGGAGAAGGGACAATACCTTGCAGTTTGTTCTCACTCGCTCTGTCTAGCAAATAAGTACACTCCTGCCAGTCATGTATCAATTCATGTCCAACATTTTAGCATAAATTATGTGAGGCACTGTAAATTGCAGAACGTAAGCTTGTAGCTTGATTTCAAGTTGGATGTGCTCGCATCCATTGGAGCAGTTCAATCTACTTGCTCGAAGCAATGTCTTATTATAACAAATAAAGAAAGCAGTGACAAAACTGGTATACAAGCAGGATGATACATGAAGTGTACATTTTATGCTTTTGCATGTGATGCAAGCTTTATGACAGTGCTGATGGTAAACCTTGGCAGGATTTTTTTTCAAGCTGTCTTAATAAGATACGGCTTCAAGCAAGCCATTCCTGGCCCTTGAACTCATAGCTACTATAATTCTACACAGAGACTGAGGGTTTATGTATGTTCAAGGAAATTCCTAGCAATTGGTATTCAGGTTTCCCAATAGCCTGCATTTGAAGGTACTCAGTGACTGAAAAAGTATTGTTGCAAGTTCTTAATTTATTTTTGCAAATTCTTTGAAGTGCGTTCCTCAAAAGAATGTTGCTTTTAAATACCTGGGGCATAATGTGCTGATTATTTGCACTTCTTTTTTTTTTTTCTGGATGGGAGGTTGAGAGGGCTACATTCCACTCATTTAAAATAGGTTGAACTGAAGCTAATGCAAGAATGGAGGCAAGCTGGTTAAGAACTGACTTTTATTAACCCTGGACAGTGGGGAAACAGAAGGACAGGACAACATGAATCTCCAAACACAGCTGAGGTTAATTTTACGAAACACAACCTTAAATAGACAACCAAGACAAAGATTCAAGATGTCCTGTCAATCTGTTTTCCCACTCTACAAGGTAAAAAATGTCAACTCAAGCTCTTACTACAGGTATGAGATTTATATACTGCAATTAAACCTTTTTATAGTTATGTAGTCAGTTTTATTTTTTTTTTTTACCTATGGCACTTTTATGATATCAGAAGTTTGTGATTATTCAAGCATTATAAACTTACAAAAATGTTGCTTGACTATATCCATATTTTTTGTTATAGAAAAGTTCCACTGTATTGAGCAGTTGATTAATGAGCAATCACCACAGTATCGTGTAAACTCGAATAGTTTGAGTCTAGTTGTGTCTATGTGACAAAGAGTATGTGACAAAAACTTGGTAGGCAGTTTATGTTATTTGTCAAGATTCAAATAGTAGTATATCCCTAATTTACCGGCCATATCTGAATGACCTTTCCTTCCACAGAATGCAGACAGTGGAAAGGCAGAGGCAAGCTTTCGAAGAAACGACCCGCAGCCTGGGCCAACAATTGGTGGACAGAGATCAGAAAAGGTCTCCTATTTTTTTTTCTTATAACACACTGAAAACATCAACCAGAGTATCTCACCTTCTAACTCTCTCTGGTTGTTACAAATGCAGCATATTAGGATACTCATATTTGTAAAAGTTCTACCAGCAGCATATCAACTTCGACCAAATTGCTGCACCATACATAAAACGAACCATGTGGGCTTATCTCATACTTCAACCTGTTGGTTTCATTTACTTCATTAAACGCTCTTGTGAAGGGTCATTAAACTGAAGCAATCTCTTTCAAATTTGCAGACGCTGATCTCTACTAGCCACACTTTCTGGCACATGAGCAGGCTGTATACTCTGTTTCACCTTACAACGGACCGCAGCAGGCACTACGAGCTATTGCAGCCAGGGGCGTAGCCGGGTGGGGGGGGGGGGGGGGGGGGGGGGGGGGGGGCTTGGGCTTATGTCCCTCCCTCCCCCTCTCCACACCCCATGTCATGGACATCCCAGCCACCCCCCCCCCCCCCCCCCCCCCCAAAAAAAAAAAAAAAATTCCTGGCTACGCCACTGATTGCAGCCAATCAAGCGCCGTGAAAGTATAACATGACATACACATCCTACACATAGCTGTGTCCCTTTCCAAGGCCACGTGACATTCACGCAGCATTGGATGGGCTATGACGGCTCGTGGCATTCTCCGCAGTTCATCGTAAGGCGAAACGGAGTACAGTGGGGCTGCGTCTCGAGACGGATATGTTCTCAGTCCAACCTGAGGAGGTACTTAACACATTTAGGTACTTGAGTGCTATTGAAACATTCTGTCATAAGTTATATGCTTCCAACAAGAACGGGGCTCTTTTTTTGCTCCTTAGGGCCCGTTTGCACACTTGCGTTTGCTCACGACCGAATTCTTGCAATCTCTTACGACAAAAGGAGTAGTTGGCGCCGTCTGTGAGGTGACCCTGAATTTGCATTTTACTGGAGCGAAGGTATTGTGGTATTTGCGAGATGAAATGTACATACTATCCGTGAGAAATGGTAGTTTATAACTTTGTCAAAAGCTTTTCGAGCAAAGAAAGAAAAGCGAGGCACGAAGAAAAGTAGAAAATGTACGGAAATGCCAGGTGTTTTGCTGCTATCCAATAAGTGGCACCAGCGGGCTTTCTCATCGTAAGAGGTTTTAAGGCACACGGTCGTAAGCGGTCGCAAGTGTGCGCACCAGCCTCCGGAGTGACCGAGCTTTCTCTCTCTTCAGGTCCCTGCTCGAATCTGACCTGAAGATAGAGCAAGAGTGGAGAGTTTCCCTGCAAGCCACTGTGGCAGAGCAGCAGGACCAGGCATCCAAGCTGCAACAGGGCATAGAATCTTTCCAGCAGATGGCACAGGTGAAGCTCCATCACGAGAGGAAGTCCTCCGCACTGCTTCGCTATCTCCCGCCCCCGAGGTACAGTCCGCACCGAAAAAGAGATTAGCATAAACCAGTAATTGCTGGGCTGATGGAAGGGTGACTGGTGGCACGGCAGCCACGCAAACAGGGTGGAAATCAGATGTTTGGCAGAGTCCACTGCCCGAAGCAAGCCAGCAGAGGATTTACTATGGTTGATCGAACGCCATTTCATCGAAGCACGCTCTAGAGAAAGGGCACGTTTTATCGAAGCACGGTTTAGAGAAAGCAAAGCCTCAGTTTAGAGAAACACCGTTTATCGAAAAGGGGACGCTGTTTAAAAAAGGCTTTCCTACTTTGCACGTGCGTGTGCGTGTTAACCCAGGCCCCCCGCTGCGTTCCCACCGCTTTCTGGCGCCAGTTTACGGCGGCTCATTACAAAAACGTTAACTTACCTGACCCGTCCGTTCACGTTGCTTCTCGGCAGCCGAATACGCTGAAAGGAAGCTCGTCGCCATTTTCTCTAAACTGGCTTTCTTTATAAAGGAATTCGATAAACTAGGGATGGTAAAACGGCGTTCGATCGCTAAAACGAGCTTCTCTAAACTTCGGCTAGCAGACAGCAGCCATTCCCAAAGTGCACTTTGGAAATGCCTCTACTCCCTCAGGCTTTTTCTGGCCATGCACGATTGTGCACATGGGGTCTCTTTATGCTTGCTCGTTGAGAGCAGCATTATCTACTTTTTTAAAATTAATTGCTTACCCATTGGTGGTTTTAACCCTCTGACGGTCGTCACCGTAGATGTACGGTGGCGATTACATGTTCGAAAGTGCCCGCCTAAATGCAAAACCGCACTCACCGTGAAAGGTGTTGCTATTTGTTATGTGTTTCGCGAACTATAAACGTTGTATACACACAGTGTTTCGCTTTGCTGGTGCTATTTATAGTTTTTAAATTCGACGCTTTGTGCACACGATACGCGCAAAAGGGTCGCCTAGCATGTCGTCTGTTCTGGCGGTAGTGGCAATGGGAGTGCCGGCTCTTCCGACTAAGGCTTCTAAAGCTTCTCAAATAGAGGAGCTCTGTAAAGTACCTCCAGTTTCGAATCTGAAACCACCACAAGGCTGCAAAAGCAGACGTGCCAAAATGAAACAAAGTGGCAGAAAAGTGAGCACTTTTCTTCCAGACCTTCTAGACCTGAACAGCTTGCAAGCACCGTGCATGCCCTCACTAGATAATTAGGAAAGAAAACTGAATTTATAATTTCTTCATACTATTCCTTTCAAACCCAGGCGAAAATCAGTCCACTTCTAGCTGGATTATGGAACTGGAAATGAGGCAGTCCAGCTGGATTCCAGTTGGGTCCAGCTGGAATCCAGCTGGACTGCCTCATTTCCAGTTCCATAATCAAGCTGGAAGTGGACTGATTTTTGCCTGGGAAGCAAAACCCGACCACTTAGGAACATCCTTTGGGAAAAAAACTCGACCTTCAAAGGGTTAAAGATGCCTTATTGGTAAGAATCATAGATGACACTATTGATCTATTCTGTGACAAATTAAAAGTGCAATGGATGCTCTGCCTTCAGCATGATATTTCTACCTTTGATAACACTTCGCAACACATGCAGTCAAAGCCCGGTGGAAGAAAGCAAGGTCATGCCAAAGGCAAAGCTTTGACTGCATTCTTAGTTTGTCACCAACTATAGTAAAAAAAAAAAAAAAAACTCCTTGCAAGTTATTATTGTCTGCCAAAGCCCCCTGGTGATTGTAAAGTAGGAACAGGCCAACCACTCTCGCTTCTGATGTTTTTGCGACAATGTAATGCTGTGTGTGATAGTTTCACCTCTTTGGCCGTTGATCACTCGTGCTAATCTTTTTTAGTGTTGACTGTGCATGCGCCACACTCGGATTGGCTATTGTCTTCTCTGCCTGTATCTAACGTCTTCAGCATATGACTAAAAAAAAAGAAAACAAGGTTGTTGTTTTTTTGTTTTGTTTTTTTGCTACAGCACCTTTTAAGATGTAAACACCACTGGCTTGCCTGTATTCTTATCATTAACTCACACGCTTTTAAAGTATTTGACTCTGCAATTGCCTAAAGGCTCGAAATGAATTCGTATCGAAACTATAACAAAGACTGTGCAAACATATAGGTACTCCTGAGATGTACAGATGTTTTGGAAATGACTGGAAGCAGCGGCAGTGGGGAGACAAAGAGTTGAAGCAACAGCTCTGCCGTTCTCCTCAATTGGTTTCTAGGAGCACGAGAAGTTGAAGGTGGAATTCAGCGAGATGGAGAGAAAGTGTGCCGAACACGAGCTGACACTGGAGGAACTCGGGTGCCAACTAAGCGAGTGAGTCGATCCCGTTTTTGAAAATTGAGTGTGTGACGATAGAGAGTTTTTTAGTAGATTTTATTTTATTACTCTGATAACAGTACTCAATACCCTGCCGGCACTTTTATGCATGCATCGTATCATTGTTTGGTATCAACATTGGAGTTATCAGAATGTTCTACTTAAAGGGATGCTGAACCGAAACCTGGATTCCACAAAGCATGGCAGCAAAAGCGTGCGACGGAATGCTACAAACATTAAAACATCACTCATACAACGCTATATCGAACAGATGACCATATTTTTCAAAAAAAGGAGGCGCATTCGACAGATATGTTCACGTCTTGTTTCTCCAAGAAGGAGAGGGAACGGCTCGCGTCTTCTCCGCCTCGCCGCCTTGAGGGGGCAAAACAAAGAGAGGAGGAAACGAGATATTTTGACGTCACTCGCCTCGTCAACCTCGTTCCATCTCGACTTTTTTTTTTTTCTTTTTAAAAAAATACGGCCGTCGATTCCAGATATCGCCCTACGAGTAGTGTTGTAGGGATTGTAGCCTCCCCGCCTACATCTCCTGCCTTGTTTTCTGAAATCCAAATTTTGGTTCACCATCCCTTTAAGGGGATGGTGAACCTTAAAACCTTAAAATTGGAATTCTTTTTTTAAAAGTCACATATTTAACAAGTAGCAGGGCCGTAACCAGGGGGGGGGGGGTTAGGGGGTTCTGACCCCCCCCCCCCCCCGAAATTTTTTTCTAAGTACGGCCCTGGTCGGTGCACTGGCAGCCAGCCGATTTTAATCTCCACCTCTGCGCACGTGCAGTGGCACCGGTCGGCTACCAGGTACCAAACCGGGACCGGTTCTCCGATTTGCTGTAACTCTCCATTATGTGCCACCGATGCACATGATTCATAAAAGAAAATAAGACAATAGACACTTTCAAAATGGCCGCCGTTGTCCCCGAAACCCCCCCCCCCCCCCCCCCCCCGAAATTTTTTTCTGGGTACGGCCCTGACAAGTATAGTCTTACCAGTTTTAAAATATCCTGATGGATGCTGTCAAAACGTTTTACTCCTCTAACCAAAGTATTTTTTTCCAGAATAAGTTATTGCCAGCACAATCTAAAAGGAAGCTTTCTGAACTTCCAAACAAGTTTATCTCAGTTTTACTTTTTGGCATCAAATCTCGATTCAGGAGAAGTACCATTTGATAATGAGTTGATGTGTGGAACCAGTCTTTTAAGTATCAATACTAATATCTTGTGAGGAATGTGGCTGCGAGTTCACTTTCTGCAGTTCCGTGGTCTTTTTTTTTTTTTTTTTTTTTTTTTTTTCATGAAAAGTATTTTTAATTTAATGCACGCAAAAAAAAATCTTTCAGATTTGTTTGCTTATATTATGGTATAATTTCTCTCCTTTCTTTCTATACCCACATGACACAAGTGTCATACAGCACGTTTCACTAAAAGGATTGGCCATTATTATTACCTTTTCTACATGATAGTTCTCCTCAGGGGGTGCAGTGTTTATTTGATGTATGTACTTTTATGTAACTCTTTGAAGGATCAGTTCATTTATTTATTATTCGCGACTCCAGTGACCTATAGGGGGCGCCACCACCAAACAAACATGGCGGCTGGGTCCAGGTCGCGTCGGCTCGGCCGTGTAACCTGAACGGGTGGCGCATACAATTTAACAGATTTTCTTTTGTTTAATACCCAATTTAGGTACCTGAACTGTGACGGTTAAGTGTAGCCGGTGCACATAAACCTGCAGAACATAGTTTTGTTTTCCCGGTGTTTTTTTTTGTTTTTTTTAAGTCAAACTTTTGTTTCGAAGGTTTCGTTCAAAACCGAAACCATGGGCTTCGGAGGGACGGTAACAGACTCTAATCAGTTTTGATCAGCTAAGGAAAGTGGCGATGACTACAGAATTGTTCCACCGAGAGTAATTCTCAGCTAACTCGCATGCCTCGACCATGCGACTTATCTCCCGCGAAATCGAGCTTTTGTGCGTATCCGCGTTTAAGAAACAGCTCCAGTCGTCTGCTCGGTCAACAACACAGGCTGCAGGAAAATTACGAAAATTAAGCAAGCGCTTCTTGAGCCGAGGAGCATGTTAACCCACTGTCGCCCCACTAAGCAGCTGATACTCGTATTTCAATTCAGGTTTTAGTAGCAATCGAGAAGTCATTTTGACGAATATGCGGGTTATGTACTATATTACGTACTATGTCCCACTAAAGCAATATTAGTATATTCTTCGGGTTGAAATATGAGCTTAGTTGACTAGCTATTAGGTGAACTGCTGAATAAAAGTATATCTGACAGAGAGAGAGAGATACTACTTAAACTCAGCCAAATGGTCCTAGCCGGTAGCACGGAGACGAATGATGACAAACTGAAGAAAGTCTTCATCGGAGATTCACGCAGAACCTCTCTGCATTGGACTTGACTTTGAATCTTGAACAGAGAAAATGAGTATTTTTTGTGGCCGGTCAACCTGAGCAATGTAGACGTATATTGCTGTTGGCTTCGACGGGGGTATAATATAAATATTGGAGGCGCGATAGATCATAATGCCATGACAGCTTATAACTTTGTGAGATACGTACCCCACCTTTTGAAAGCAGATAATTTCCCTCATTAATCATATGCGGCAAGCAGGTTTTCCTGAACCAAGTAATTGCGAAATCAGCCCAACTTCTTCGGTGTGGTCCAGAGGCTTTTTTGGCGAAAAACAGCCAAGATGAATAGCCAACGCACCGACCGGCGTGAGTGGCTCAAACCTTGAAGCTAATCGAACACAACCAAACTCAAGAAAAGCAGCTATCGAACCTTCCAATTGACTTGACTGCAACATTGGTGTTCCCTCCAGTGAAACACCTCGTCCGTCGTCCTCAGTCCACTGTTATACATCCTTATAAAGAAGCCACTTATCAGTTACCAAGTAGTCGTCACTTTGAATGCGATTCGAAACAGATAAGAAATCAAAACGTGTTTCCGTGATTCCTCCCCATCCAAGAAATCGAAAGCACGCGACCGTGAGTTGTGGAGTAAACGAACTTTCAGACACGTGATGGGAAGGAAACAATCTGCTGAGGCTTCACCACACTAATGAACACTCAGGCAAACTTAAAAAATTTTTGTACCTTCCTCAAATTACATTGTTCGCCACCGCGCCGACAACACGTGTTCGTGAAAGCCACCAGAGACGCGGAGGGGCGCGGAGCGACCTGGTCCGGCTGGTTCCCGGTTTTCCCGCTTGGTGGCGTCCGTTTTGCTGGAGTCGCGAATACCCTTAAAGTCACCTTTTTTGAGGGCATTACATATGAAGATGTGAATTGCAGCTAACAGTGCTGACTCATTAAAAAAAGAAACAGCAACAAAACATGAAATATGATCAGCATATAAAAAAATTAGACATTTACAAATCTTTGTAACGCAAAATTAGAGCACACCTCTTGAGGAGGAGGGGAGGGTATGCCCCTTCTCCTCCCCTCCTTCTCTGCTCCTAGTCCTTTCATCCTCCTATCCACCCCTTCTCCCTTCCTCCCCCTATTCTCTCCTCCTTCCATTCTCCTCCTCTCCCCTCCTCGTCTCCCCTAGTCCTTTTTCCTCCTCTTCCAATCCCCTCCTTCTCCTCCTCCTTTCCTTCTCCTCCACCGCATGTAACGTTAATTTCCCCGCTAAATCTAGTGGAGAAACTGAATTTGTTCATAGGTGATGTGACACCAAGTCCATGTGACGTCATTTTCCCCGCTAAATTTAGCGGGGCAACTGAATTGTTGTTGTCATCACGTGACATAAATTTTCCCGCAAAATTTAGTGGGGAATGTATTTATTTATTTATTCACGGTACCTCAAAGGCCCAATTAAGGACATTACATGAGGGGGGGGGGGGGGGGTACATTCAGTGCAAGCATCAGTCGGAACAAAATAAAATAATAAAAACAGTCAAAACAAGATTAAAAAACACACACACAAAAAAAAAATCTTGGACTACAGGGAGGGAAAATCAAATGCAAAGTGAAAACATGTAGATAGAGGAAAACGGGTGTACAAATGAGGTTATAATGCTAGCATGCGCGACAAGAACTCAAAAAGTTGTGATTCAAAATAAATGTTTAGAAATGATTACAATGAAAATAAAAAATATGCACTTTGATACAAAAATGGCAGAGTAAAAAAGGCACCAGAACAACAAAACAGCAAAATTCTGGATGCAGTGGGAGATCATGGTGCTGTGCTGTTGAGGTCATGTGACGTCAGTTTACTGCTACATCTAGTGGAGAAAGTGCATTTGTTCATAGCTGACGTGGCACCAAGTCATGACATCATTTCCCCCCGCTAAATTTAGCGGGGGAACTGAATTGGTGTTGAGGTCACGTGACGTCAATTTTTCTGCTAAAGCTAGTGGGGGAAACTGTATTTATTCGTAGGTGACGTGACACCAAGTCATGTGACGTCATTTTGCCCGCTAAATTTAGCAGGGAATTGAATTTTTGTTGAGGTCATGTGATGTCAATTTTCCCGCTAAATTTAGCTTGGTTACGCCCATGGCGACTGTGGCGCCGACGCCGCGAATCCCGGAAACGGGCGTCTAAGGGCTGTGCTTTAAAATGGTGGCATGGAAAGGTTGATGCAAATGTTGATGCAGCCTATAAACATTAAACTTTGCATGTCACCCTCTTTTCCGGCTCTGAATACCCCACAAATTTCGTACAAATAAGACTAGTGGTTAATAGGTTTGCCTTCCTGAGTAGTGTCGCCCCCTTAAACTCTAATGCCTTAATTCCTGGATTGCTAGTTTATGGCCCTTTTGATGGCCCCCTCCAGGTCCAAGCTCCAAGTGGCCGACTTGAAGGAAAACAACCTCTCCCTGAGGGAAGCCGTCTGGACGAGCGACAAGGATGCCTCCTGCTGCCGTCAGTGCAACAAGCCTTTCTCGGTTGCCAGGAGAAAAGTGAGTCACTGCGCTGCCGTTCATTAACTGGCAAACGAGCCAATCACGTCCCAGGCGAAAATCAGTCCACTTCCAGTTTGATTATGGAACTGATCCCAGCTGGATATGAGGCAGTCTAGCTGGATTCCAGCTGGGTCCAGCAGGATTCCAACTGGGTCCAGCTGGAATCCAGCTGGACTGCCTCATTTCCAGCTGGGACCAGTTCCATAATCTAGCTGGAAGTGGACTGATTTTCGCCTGGGACCCGCTAACAGTGCAGTGGCGGATCCAAGGGGGGGGCGGGGGGGGGGCGATCACCCCCCCCCCCGGGGTTCTTCGTCAGCGTAAGCAGTCGACACGAGGGACAAAAGATTAAAACAGCAGTGGGTGGACGCGCCTGCTGGGCGCTTCCAAAGTGGGGTTTATCTCCGTCAAAGTCACGGTACGTCTTCCCGACAGGGACGGCGCCAAGAGTTTCGAAGTGGAGAGACAGTGGGGAGGCGCACCAAATATCAGGGTCCTCGACTGCAGGCACACTTTCAAAAAAGGCCAGCACGTCGAGCACGGGGGGAAAATACCTTCAACATATCTAGTCCCCTTTCTCTCTTTCTTTGGAGGTTGTCTGCGAAAATTTTGTGCCCTGAAAGCTCCCAAACGCAGACGCCAAGCAGCCTTCCTCATGGGTACGATACACAGCGGATTATCCTTCCTCTCAAGCGGCCGCCTTTTCATCACTTTTCGTTTGATGGTTTCTTCTTGGTTCTGGGCTTGTCTTTTGGCATGTCTTTTTTGGCTTGCTTTGAGATGCTGTCGCTCACGGGCTCACAAAAGGTGTGTGCTTATTGCCAAGGGAAGTGCGGAGGGGACGTACCAGGAGGAGACGTTCCAGGAAGGGGGGGGGGGGGGTGCAGCTTGTACAACCAGGGAATGCTCTGGGCACAGTGTAGTCTGGGTCTGAGCTTCCCCTGAAGACACTCCGGACTACCCCACGACCTTGGCTTAAACATAAGCCCGCTTTCGTCCTCGCCTCTACCCCTCACTGAGGATCAGCGCCGCAGCACGGAATACAGAAAGAAGCCGACGAGCGCCAGAAGGGGGAGATGTTTCCTCTAATGGGCTTCATACTGCCTGCAATACGACTTCTCGTGGCGGGAAGCTAATAAAAGAAAGATAAACGGTACGAGCACTCTAAAGGCTGGAGGCTGCTTACACGGGGTCCTAAAGCCGACGCTGTAGGCATTTCTTTGTATACAATGGCGTTTCAACTTAGGGTGGCGGGACATATTTTAGGAAAGGCGCCCGCTACCCCTTGTCTCCCCTTGGCACCGTCTTTACTTCTCGAGTTAAACGCGGCTTCTGTGGATTGGCGGCAGGGCTTTCGCGCGGCTTTGCAGGAGCGAATATGTGTATGTCGAACGGAACAGAGGCGGGGCTTGCTGGTTTGCAACTGCGGCTTTGAATTCCCTAACTAGGGACTTGGGGAAAACAAGCCCTTTCAAAGATGCGACTATACATAAAAAAAAATAGACAGTGCCTGTGCCCGTTCGAGTGAACACCGACTCCCAAACATCCATGCTGCAGTCGCGATCGGCCTTTAGCCCAGTTGAGATTCGTTGACCGGACAACCGCTCTGCCTCATTATATCTCTGCACCTGTCCTCTCGACCGCGACGAATGAGCTAACTACCCAGAAAGAAGTAAGTGTTCCTTTCACACAGAAAATATCCAGACGAAGTGCGATTGAATATAATTTGGAAGGATCCATCTAAATTTAAAAGTTATAGTTGCCGAACTGCAACATGCTTTCAAAAATATTCAACAATTATTCGCTTTCGTTCTCTCGAGTTGCATCCAGAACACGTGAAAACACGAGTTTGGCTTGGCAATGCCGCATGTGCTGCGCTCTGGACATTCCAAGAAGGTGGATGCGATCCTACAAGCAAAGACGCCCAAAGACCAAAAAGAGCTCAGAGCATTTCGGGGACTCCTGAACTACTACGGAAAGTTCATCAGCAATGCAGCCGACATTCTACATCCGCTACATGAACTGCTGCGAAAGGATAAAAGGTGGAAGTGGTCGAGATCATGCCATAAAGCCTTCAACGAAGCGAAGTATTAACTCTCCAAGTAGAGTCTGTTAGTGCACTATGACCCTGCACTTCCTCTGGAACTGCACTGTGGCGCATCGAGCCATGGCATTGGTGGAGTGCTTCAATACATATTACCCAACAAGCAACGGAAGTCAATCGCCTTCATGTCAAGAACGCTTTCTAAAGGTGAGCGAAACTACTCTCATATTGACAAACGAGTGCTGAATCTAGTTGTTGGCATGAAGAAATTTCACCAGTATTTGTTTGGACACCACTTCACGCTGTGGACGGACCACAAACCCCTGGTATCGATTTTCGGTCCCGGTAAGGGAATCCCAGGCACGGTTGCAGCAAGAATGCAGTGATGGGCAATCATCTTGTCTGGGTATGACTTCGACATAAACTACATGTCGACCGATAAGAACATAGTCGCAGACACGCTGTCGAGACTCCCAATGACTGGGGTGCTACAAAATCAGAAACTGCAAAAATGGACGAAATCAAATGTCTCCATCTAGAAAAGTTTCAAGCACTCCCACTGACACATAAGCAGATCAGCAGAGAGACACGAAAGGACACCGTGTTGTCTAAAGTTTTAAGACTCACCATAAATGGATTGCCAGAACAAGTGAATTCCAAAGACCTCAAGCCGCACTTCTGTCGCAGAACAGAACTAACCGTGGAGCTCGGCTGCTTAATGTGGGGAACACGCATCATCGCACCCTCGAGGTACCAAAAACACATTTTGAACGACTTGCATCAAGGTTATGCGGGAATGACAACGATGAAGGGACTGACACGACACTACGTGTGGTGGCCGCTTTTGGATCATGACATTGAAACAATGGTCCAAAGTTGTCGGCCGTGCCAGGAAGTGAGCAACGAGGCACCCAAAGTTCTCATAAACCCGTGGGAATGCCCAAAAAAGAAATGGCAACGCCTGCATGCAGACTTCGCAGGACCCTTTCAAGGAAGGAATGTCTTGCTGGTCATTGATGCGTATTCGAAATGGCTCGAGGTAGTTCCCATGACCTCGACGACTTCGGCAGCCACCATAAGAGTGTTTCTAACTCTCTTTGCAAGATATATGGACTGCCAGAAAGGATTGTGACAGACAATGGCCTGCAATTCCGATCAAGTGAATTCCGGGATTTCATGACAAGAAACGAAGTGCAGCAGTCATTCTCACCCTTGAACCATCCTGCAATGAACTGTGCAGCAGAAAACTTCGTGGGAACATTCAAGAAGTCTGTCAACGCAAGCCTGAAGTCGGGGCTGACCATGGAAGAGACATGCCATAACTTCTTGGTGGCATACCGGACGACCCCGCACACGACAACTGGCTCCTGCCAAAATGATGATAGGAGACGAATTCCACACAAGGTTCAATCTAATTCTTAGACCATCAATAACGGATGTCGTGCGATCAGAACAGGTGAAGGAGCAAGCCTTGCGCAACTCTAAAAAACAACACCTACTTCAGAACGACCAGGTCTGGGCAAGAGACTACAGGAACGGCAAGAAATGGTCCAAAGGAGTCGTCGTACGAGTTTTAGGAAACTGAACATATGAGATTCGCACAAACGACGGAAATACCTGGAAATGGCACATTGAACAGCTGAGACATATATCCAAGGAGAGGGAATATCTCCGAATCAAGACGATAGCCTCAAGGGCACAAAAACATAGAAAAAGTTTGCCCCTTCCCTCGACATCAGTCAGCGAAACGGTTCTCCGTGTCCAATTTCTAGTGACGACTTTCCAACCACTATTCAAGACAGTCAGAACAATCCTGCAACACCGGAGGCGGGCACTCCAAGCTTGCTAGCCACACCGCTTAATGGCACACGTGACCGAGGCATGGAGGGCAGCCCTCCCCTTCTCAGAAGATCAACACGGACGTGCCAGCCACCTACGCGGCTGGGCCTGTGAAAACGTGAAGTTTTTTTAAAGGAGAGATATTGCCAGGTATTGTGTGCGTGTTCGCCATGCATAGCGAACACGACCTTTGGTCCAGGCAACGGCAGTCTGATGTAACCGGAGACGCCAGTGGGAGAGAGCGAGCCACGGAGAAGAATGTGATGCCTGGGAAAGAACAGACTGTGTGCGATCGCAGACCGAACAAGACGCCTCTCAACCAAATGTAATCTAACAGTTAAATAAATATATCCTGCATTATCCTTAATTACCGGTACATCACAGGGTGGTCCTCGACAAACCAATGAAGTTCTTCTGGGACCAACACAAGAACGCCTTCATGTTCTCGGCGTACTGCAGGCACCGATCATGTTCAAATATCACGGGCACATTCTATGTCGCAAGAAATGTCAATGAATCACTCCTCTGATTGGACCTTTATGAAGCCCTAAACATCCTTCAATGAGTAAATGAGGTGTCGACACCAGAAGCTCTAGATCCAATCAAGGGGTACCCCTTGCTTTTTCAGGGTCTGGGAAAAGCTGCATACTTGTGCGAAATAAAGCTAAAGCCTGATGCTTTTATCGTCACTGAGACGCATATTTGTACCACTCCAGAAAGCAGCTAAAGAACTTAAGAAAATGGAGAACAAAGGTGTTATTACCAGAGTTCAGGAACCAACAAACTGGTGCTCGCCTGTCGTTGTGGTCCCGAAGAAGAATGGTGATGTTTGCATCTGCGTTGATTACACATTACTTAATAAGAGTATTCTGCGAGAGTACCACCCGATACCGAGCGTGGAACCACTTCTAGTGACTCTTGGACAGGCGAGAATATTTTCTCATCACAATGCCTATTCAGGCTTCTACCCAATCAAGTACAGGGTGTCACAAAAGAAAATTTACACGGTCTTTTTTACCGCAAAAATAAACTAGGCATCGCCGAACGCTCATTCTCCGCCCAAAGGTAGAGCTAGAGGTCACAACCAGATGCCAAAGTTTCAGCCCGATCCGATAACTTAATCAAAAGTTATAAATGATTTTCTGGAAATTTCAATGGGAATATGGTGGCCGACGGAGTTTTCGAACACATGGGGCTCTATGGCACCAGAAACCGAAAACGGGCAAAAATGGGCTCCATTTTCCCATTGAAATTTTCCGAAAATCAGTTATAACTTTTGATTAAGTAATCGGATCGGGCTGAAACTTTGGCATCTGGTTGTGACCTCTAGCTCTACCTTTGGGAGGAGAATGAGCGTTCGGCGATGCCTAGTTTATTTTTTCGGTAAAAAAGACCGTGTAAATTTTCATTTGTGACACCCTGTAGAACCCAGAGTCGACGCTGCTTACGACTTTCATTACACTCTTCGGTTGGTACAAGTTTAAAGGACCTCTGCAACGATTTTTACGTTGAAAGAATTTGCACTTTTGTTCTTTTGACATTGTTTATCTTGTCACAAAAGACAGAAAACAAATCTCCTTTCTTCAGAATGTTGCGATTCCGCCGCGTAATCACGAGGCAAAAAATAGAATATTTCCCGACCTGCAGTTGCGAGCGGCAGCCATGAGAACCACGCGGCATGATGTCAGTGGGGAACTTGTAAAAAGATAGCAAGTTGTGCAAATACTTGCTCGATAAAAGGTAATTTTTCTATAAATTTTGTTGTTCCAACATAAATATAAATGTGTTAAAAACCTGGTATCATCGACAAAACTTCTATTATATGGAGTTTTAGTAGCGCCATCTATCCGAGGTCAACTAAACCGTCAGCTCTATCTGCTACCGCGAAAATCAGCCAGAAGCCGGAGGGAAATGGGGGCAGAGCCGGACGGGGACGGCCGAACCCCGACGTTGGCACTTTCCTCCTTTCGCCATGTTGATCGTGCTGGCTGCGCCAGCATGTGGTCATGTGGTTGCTCGCTGCTCACTGATGGCTCTAGAGAGAGAGAGAGAGAGCTTCACTGGAACCCCGCACGTCCCCATTCACGTCACAGTGCACGTGACTCGGAAGATGGTGAAGGAGTTGAGAGGCGCCAAAAACCTCAATTTTTGTCTTTTCTTTTTTAAATGAAAGAATGCCGATTTAGGGTGCAGCTATTGAGGAGGAGGAGGGGAGGCTATGGAGAGAATGGTATGCCCTTCCTCCTCATCTGTACCCTCTCCTCCCTCTCCTCATCTACTCCTCCCATGCCCCTCGCCTCCTCCCCCTCATCCTCTTCCTCCTCCTCCCCTCCTCCTCCTCCATCTTTCTCCTCCCTCTTTCTACTCCTCCTCCCTCCTCCTCATCCTCTCCTCCCCCCTCCATTCCTCTTCCCCCTCTACTCTTCTCCCCTTCTGTGTCCTCAGTATGTGTTGGAAACCCTATCTTTCTCCCCTGCTGTGCTCGCAAAACTTTTTTTTGGCGCATTCCTATCTTTTTTTATTTCCATCATCCACTGCACTCCTGTAGTTCCAATTTTGGCCTGTATTAAAGCTGATGTCTCCCTTTTCTGCTCTTGGAAGTTCTCCCATTTTGATGCTACTTCAGCTGGCAAGGCTCCCATTTTCTTTGTCCACCTATCCTCCCTGGATGCCTCCTGGTGCCACAACATGGCTGCTTTGGCCTCCATATCCCACCAGCTTTTTGGTTTGTTTCTTTGTTTTTGCTTTTCTCTTTGTTTAATTCGAGGCTTCTCTAATTCTCTTTTAAAGATTCCTATTAAATACTCATACATCCATTCTCTTTCTGATTGTTTCAATACTATGTTTTCAATATTTTAGATACTTTTTGTATTTGAGCTTAACTTAGTTTTGGCTTACCTGCTCGTTCCTGAGCTTATTGTTCTGGTTCGGATGTGCTAAATTTAATCTTCATTATGTTGTGATCACTCCCCAAGCTTTCTGTACCTTCCTCATCTATTTCCATATTTCCTAGCCTGTCATACAGTTTGTGGGACATGAGGCAGTACCTAGTTTATTGTTGAGTGTGAGTTGTTTCTTCCCCAGGTTATTTTCCTGTCGTATTTTACTTGTGCATTAACTAACACTAGGTCCAAGGCATCATAGAATTCTTCTAGCAACTTTTCGGTTGTATCTGTGAATCCGTCAAACTCTTCTAAGTGGGCTTTCATGTCTCATATGATAATTATTTCCTGATTAATTCCAATTTCTCTGATGTCCCTCGATATACATGTAGAGTGTTCTGTATTTTCCTCCCTTGAGACATTTTCTCTTTTCAGGTAAGCAAACCTGAAACGAATGTTCAGATCTGTTACCCTACCTTTTAGCCATAAGTGTTCTCTGCAGCTTTCCTTCTCTCTTTCCCAGTTTTGTCCTTTAACTAACATGCTTAGACCTCCACCTTTGCGTTCACCTCCCCTCCGGTTGCATCCCATCCAGGACTAGCCTGGCATGTATGGAGGTTCCTCTTCACCTCTAAAGTGAGTTTTTGCTACCCCTTCGTCGCTGTTGCCTACTGTCTGTGAAGTCAAAGTAGGGATGCAAGCTAGTTAATTTGATATAGACGTATAACCTCTGCAAAGTGGGGACAAAGGGTGCAACCACAGAATCTCCAAATTAGAGGTTTGCATTTCTGGTTGTCCATTCTCTACCTAATCTTTGGGGGCTAAGGTGCCTCTATCTACCACAGTTTTTGTCAGTTTGAAATGTACACGCTTAACCACTTCCGGTGAACTTTTCAGTCTCTTGAAGCACCTTAATGGTCCCAACATGTGACCTTTAAGGTGGCCATTGAAGCATTAAGGCACAACGTGCAGCAGTTTGCATATTGATCTCTAATCTCTCCGTTCCAGCATCATTGTCGCAGCTGCGGCGAGATCTTCTGCAACGCCTGCTCCGACAACACCATGCCCCTGCCGTCGTCCGCAAAGCCGGTGCGGGTGTGCGACGGGTGTCAGACTGTTCTGCTGCAGCGCTACACCGCATCCTGAGTGGTAGCCGCGGTGCTTCTTTTAGTGGGCGTTCTTTCCAAGCAGTCTTAAGAGCTTCGTTTTATTCTCGTCTGCTGTACCAGTATCTCGGAACGAGGAGCCGTGCGCTTTGTTTCGGCCAAGTGCAAGGCAAATACAGAGCGTGCAGTTGAGCAGGCTTCAAAGTAACCACTCTTGACACTCATCACCTGCTGCTCCTGTTTGTTATTGTTGATAATTGTTTCGATAGCCGCGCCTGTCGTCAAAAGTGTGCGTGTCTCATTATTTGTCCTCTTAGGTCGTATGGGTTGTGTCGAGCGAATGGCTTCTGCTGTCGTTTGGGTGTCTGCGACTGCTAGAGCGAGCTGCTGAAGCTTGCATCACTTGTAGAAGTGGTTTTACGTGTTCGTTAGGGTGTGAAGGACCATAAAAGTACATATAGTGGACAGATTGGTCATCAACAGGCCATGTCACGTTTTTCCAATTACTGCGATGCTGCCTTGTGATAGCTGTGACAACTCTCTTTTCCCATCTGGTATGGTGCATTAGGAAAGCAACATTGTGTTTGGGAGAAATATTTAAGCCTGGGTTTTGTTGTTTGCCATAAAGTTGTTCACGTTATTGTGGCTTGGTGCCCAATGGCCAATTTGGTGATCTTAGTGCAAGCAAATTGTGTGTGGTGTCTGTTTTCTCTAGAGTTTTTCTATTCCAATTTCAATTTTTAGACTTGAGATTGAACGTGATCTTAAATTTGAATGGTGTGTAGGTTTGTCTCAGACTGCATTTGACCTGTGTTTCCAATTGTTTCTTCGGTATGGCTGTAAAATGTGAGATTTGGGAGCAAGGCGCAAATGTAAGTGAATCACTCAAGGTTTACATGTCTGTTAAAAGAATGTGAGAGCGTTGTTTAGGAGCCTGAATATTGAATAATTTACATCCAGGGCTTTTATAGCTGTTCTGTGAAATGTTTTTAAGACTACAATAATGGTGACTGTTCTGTCGAAGGGCCATCTTGACGAAAGGCTCGATTATTTTCGATAAAAGACCGCAGTTGGAATGACATCCATATATTTATGTTAAATTTTATAAGTTCTTTTTGGGTGGTTCTTACATGTTTGCTTCGAGCGAAATGAAGTGCCTGAATCAAACCGTGTACAACTTGAAGTGAGGTAAATTAGTGAGAAATTCATTTATTCAAATATGTTAAATATTTTCTCTATATTTAATTAATTTGAATCATAATATCAAATTTTTGTCATGGCTAAGTTTATTTCCACCCAGACAGAATTTGTATATATAGAAATCTGTGAGGCATATTTATTTTTCCAAAGAACTAATGTGAACGTATTACACTGAAATAAACTTGCATAGATGACCCTTGTAAGCTTGCTTACATTAGATCCCTACAACACATGCAGGCTAAAGCTCCAAGTAAATTGGCATGTAAGCCAAAGCTTGGAAGTTTAAGTGCAGTTGCCACTCCTGATTTTTAGTGTGGGCAAACTTGCATGTTCATCATGTTGCTTAGTATCACGAGTACCATAGCACCGAGACAGTAAGATGATGCTGTCAGTGGAAAGAAGACGAAAAGAGTATTTGTTGTTACACATTGTCCTAACTCGGACCCAAAATTGCCCATTCCTTAGTGCTTAGTATGTGTATTCCTCTTTTATCATCTTCCTCTGCATGACCTCAATGCAGCTTGACAGAAATATACTTAGTATAGGTTATGCTGATACCTTTTGCTCTCTGAGACCCTTTTTTAAGTTGTATGTAAGCTTCCCTTGAAAGCTGCAGCGCTGTACATTTGCACGTTATCTCTCACTTCCAAAACAACATACTTTTTTTTTTTTCTCTTTTTTAATGGCAGGTTTACGTGGTGTTTGTCCTTCACCAAGTTTCACTTGCATGGTTATAAAAGTATTGCTCTCATAAAACTCATCACCTGTTTTTTACTGCACAAGAGTGCTGGCTTGATACGGGCTTCTGAAATATCTCGTCAGGGAAACTTATAGGCACACTACACATGAGGTTCGCTGGATAAGGTGCACCTTAGTTAACACAGTGCCCTTTATTGCAACATACCTAATAGATATACACAGGTTTAATAGCAGCTAAACTTATTTTATGAAATCCTTTTTGTATGTGTGTAGTTGGGATTGTCTTTGAGAAAAGAGCTCAGAAATAGAGCGATTGCAAAGGTGAGGTTTTCCCCTTCACTGAAACATAAATAAAATTTTTAATAGAGCATGAGGGCACTAACTCTCTAACATGACAGTATGAGAAATCATTGCATCTAATAATGCATGACTACTCGATGCATTATGCTCACTCAAGGTAATATTGGTCCGACCCTGCCTCATAGCATGCCATCATTAACTCGCAATATACCCCCAATTATCAGATGGTTAGTTATTGTGCTGCAAACTCGGAAAATTCAATTCGGACATATATATATATATTTATATATATATATATATTTTTTTTTTTTTTTTTTTTTTTTAAGGAGTTGACATGCAAACTTGCCCCTCCAAGTTAAGTCGGCTAGTGGTATCTGTCGTGCCCATAAAATATTTGAGAAAAAAATATTTTTCTATATACAGTTGTCTTTTGCTGTAGCTGTTGTGCAGCGATGTTTCCAAGCAAAATATGTAAATTGGTGTTCCTGACCTGGTCCAAGATGAAAAGAAGAAAAGCGAAACGTTGCTATTCATTTTTACACATTGACGTTCAGTTGCTTTTTCTGTTTGGCCGATGCATTGTTTCCCAACTGTACAGCTTTCCGGCGTGTCAGTGGCCTGGCGTGCCACAGTAGCTTCTTTACCGGTATCTATTTGCCGAGTCTTGCGCGAAAACATTCTCTCATTCGATTGTGTAGCATTGTTGCTCTGTGTACCACCTATGTTCCCACTCTGACACTAAAGAGGACCCAGACCACGACAACTGAGCAGTTGCTTCTCTTTTGCACTTCAGTGCAGTTATAGAGCCCAGTGTTGTCCCACTATATTCTGCCCCACTGTAACTCAGCAAACGGCGTAGGCCAAGGTCCCAGTGAGCCAATCAGTATGTTGGAGGGAGACACGTAATTATACTCTTTCTTACCAGTAGTTGCACGCAGTGCTGATAAAGGAGAGAGAGGAGAGAGGCACTTTTGTACGAGTTTTGAGTGACGGGCTCATCTTCTAGGAAGGCAAAAGCAAGGTAAGAGTGGAGTTCCTTCTTCACCTCTTTTCCAACTGCTTCAGTTACTCTCTAGTGACACTACCTCCAGTAAGGGCTGCTACGTGCTTTACCTTCATCGCTTCGATTGGCTCGAAGGGACTGTAGCTCTTGCTGTTGATCAAGTTATGGTGAAATGTAAGAAGTTGCGTCTGCTATCCTCGTCGGAGCGCTCCTTTCGGAGGTCGCATGACACGCCCATGGCATTGGACTGGCTTCGATGGCTCGCTCATAGTTACCTATGTGGTCTATCGCAAGGTGAACCAGAGTATGTACTATGTTTCAACATACCATGAAAGCTTGACCTCGGCAAGCCACTCAGAGCATTGGAGTGAAGCATATAACAACATATCCTCAGTGTGTTCGTTCCTCCTGTAGAGAGCAGTCATGTGCATCGCTCCTTTGCTTTGATTGGCTCACAGGAGCCATACATAGCTTTCAATCTTTGACAAGATGTGCCAATTTGTCTGACGTGTATGACGTCGATAATATATGAGTTAAAGCCGAAACAGTTACACCAACCAGCCCTGACATTCGCATATGGCGACGGTAAGTTCATGACATAATCCAACTTTTTTCAAATATAGGTGCTGCCACATGGGCACGCGTCTGGGTTGGAGATTGACTGGCTGGAAAACTACACTTTTGCAAGGCTTCTCTGATCTCTTCAACCCCACTATTTGGATTTGACCATGCTATTTGTACCCAAAAACCTCAGCTACATCCTGTTGGCTTGTTGAGAACAACTGGCTTTAGTGGTTAAGACGCTGTGACCTAGATACGGCTCTCTAAACATCGCCTTTTGTCTCATTGTGGATTATCTTTGACTCCCAAGTTTATAAAAAGCCATCTTCCCTCTCTGCTTGGCCAACAAGAAGGGTGGGAGGGTAACAAGTCAATTTACTCTCGAAGCCATAAATGTCAGAGACATTATTTATCTTTTTGGTCAAATGCAACTTCCCAACAATGCACCATTGTTGGGAAGTTGTATTTGACCAAAAAGATAAATAAATTATTGAAAAAGAGGGCAAATAAATAATAAGCAGCTTCACAGTTGCAAAAGGCCTAAACAGCACTCCTTTTGTTGTTTACCCGCACACTAACAAGTTCGATCAAACTTTGCACTTGCATGCCATTGTACAAAAAACAATGTGCATCATAAGCGTTGAAACATCCCTCAAAAGCTTCGACTCGCTTCAACAAAGCGGCCTTTTGATCCGTAAAGGCCTGTCCAAACGGGAATTGTGAGGCGACACGACTCTGGCAAAAATTGTAAAAGTTAAAGCGTCCAGCAGCTAGTCTGCATAATGTCTGTATGAACCATTGAGCAGTGGCGTACCAACTTGTTTTTGAGGGGGGGGGGGGGGGGGGGGGGGGGCAAACCAGATCCCCCCCCCCCCCCACCCCAGGGCTGGGGGCGGCGCCCTTGGCATTCCTTGGGTGTCGCCGGCCAGTGTTTTCCCTGCCGAGTGGTGGCATGTTTCAAGGGGGGGGGGGGGCAAAACACATCCTTGCCCCCCCCCCCCCCCCCCCCCCCGGTTGGTACGCCCATGCCATTGAGTTATTATAATGCACGATAAAGGTTCAACTGGCGCTAGTATATATCTATGAGACTTCCGTGATGTGAATTGAAGCAGACAGTAACCAGTCTACTTCTGTGGTGCTCCTGTGCATTCCTATGGGAGAAAGCATGTGCATTTTGTGTCACCGCCGGAAAATAACATTAAGCACTTTTGTTATTTGGGTCGTAACAAATAGTGTGTACCTTTATTAACATTGTAAAAGTGTAATTGCTTTAGTTATCACATTTTTCTTCATCAGTGAACGATGTTTAACTTTGCTATACTTCAGACCCAAACCTGTGTTCCACAGCAGGTGAAAAGCTAGTGACGATTCTAAGCAAAATAATAATCGAAAGGAATATAGTGTGTTCAAGGTTTGCCAGCATTCCGGTAACGCTTATATATTGCTAATATGCCAGTCCTGTCACTATATAAAAATGACCCCGTCATCCATCATTACGAACGGCTGAAAACATTCAAAATGTGAAGAAAGTATGTCGGCTATGAAAGGTGTCTCTTTTTAATATTTCCTCTGCCAGACAGCTTTTATTGGGCACATGTTCTCAAAGATTTTGAGCGTACAGGTGTTTTGAACGTAGAACAAGTATCTTCGCACACAGCAGAAAAAATAAAGCAGTACTTATTGAAAATCAGACTATATTACGTGACCTTCAATGTATTTTGATTTTACATGCACTGGGAGCTACTGATCCAATGTTACTGCATCGTTCTTGCCGTCTCTTTTGACTTTCCGGATGTCCTTCATTCGTTTGGCACGTATATCCCCCCATGCTGAAAAGCGCCAGCGTCGTGTTTGAGCTAGCAGTGCCCGACAGTGCACATAAATAAACGTATGAAGCCATTTTTTAGTACCGTCTTTAATGCAATGAATTTGAAAGAAATAAATGAAAGACGTCTACAACTCCCTGTTATGCCGAATTTGAGTAGTTCTTGAGGAGGAGGAGGGCATGTTACAGAGAGGAGGGTATGCTCCTCGTCCTCCCGGTCTCCTTGTCCCCATCCTCCCTCCTCCTCTCATTCTCCTGCCCTCGTCCTTCCCCCCCCTGCCTACTCCCTCGTGACGTCACTCATGAAGTGAAGGTCGTGACCTTCGTCGTGGCCTTCACGAGTGACCGTGACGTCACGTGTGACATCATTGTGGGAAACGTCCCATGATGCAACGCGCGGTTACGGTGCGACGCTGCTCAAGCTGGAAACGGGCGCCTAAGAGCTGCGCTCTAAAACGTCGTCACAGACCAATTATTTTGTTTGCCTGACTGAGATGTTTCAAGCTACCTAGTATGTATCAATTCTGAATATTTGCTTTAATAATCGAGCACAGGGAGAAAATGGACTCACTTTTTCCCATATAAACGCATTACCGGAAGTCAATTTAGTGTCAGTTGAACCTTATAGCATACATCATAATGGAGGGTTTTAGGGAACAGTCTTTGCACATCCAGTACGGTACAATATGGGCACTTTGGTACGAACTGTACAGATGGGAGTCTTCTGCGGTAGTGCTTGCACAATTCGTGCCGGAGGGCCCACGGTATTGTATCGGATGAGCAAGAACGGTTCCCTAAAACTATTTTAACTCTATGGTTTGGACACCACCAAGCCAAAATCACGATTTTCCTCCTCGCTTCCTCCGCTTTTCGGTCACCTCGGTGCTCGTCAGACTTGACGTCACATGCCACCTGCCAATGCTGTCCATCTGTTCTGCTGGGCCTTTGTATCCTTGGGCGTGTTCCAAAATTGACTCAATCTTGCTCCAGGGTAAGGGTTTTGTACCTTTGAGTTCGAAAACCTACCCGCATCCAGCATCGCTCTATCTGTGTTGTCACGCGACACAACCCGCAGGAGTAGCTTGGATCCATTTGAATAAGATTTCGAACACAGCCCTTCCCCTTTCCGTTTTCGGGACCTGAAGAGAAGTGGTTGCCTTGAACGATTGACCGACAGCCACCCGACCTTGTGAGTGGCTGTCCGGACCTACATGATAAGCATGCTCAAGGTATTTGACAGAAGGAACTTTTCCCCCGGGAAACAAAAACGGACAGAGACGGATTGCCGTACGAATGTCGGAGTCATGTCGCCTCAAGATTCCTGTTTGAACCGGATAAGGTAGCTTGAACTGGATAGGGTACGTAGCTTGGACCAGAGCCATATATAGAGATAGTTTGGCCGTTCATTGGGAAGTATAGGAGGCAAATGATCAAGGAGGCGCCATTGGCCGAAAGCAGGCTGGGCGTGTTCTAGGGCGTCTTCACAAATTTGAACGTGGCCAACCAGAGGCCTGAAATAATACCCTGGTGGTAGTCGCGAGAAATGAAATCAATAAGTGTGTCGAAGTAGCTCTCGGTGACTGAAAATATGGTACTCGTGATGTTTCAATCACAGCCATCCAAACTCATGGTGGAAGAGTGCGACTAGCGGAACGATCGAATTCGTACGCCAGGCGCCGAAGGCCTGGTATCTGCCGTCCGAGCGGTCACATTCTGTCCGAGCAAAACAGAGTTCGAGCAGCACATTCATTTCTTACATCTTTTTGCGTGATTATAATCTAAACACGACGTGACCATATATTCAACCGTGAAGGGTTACTGCAGTTAACCCTTACGCTCTTATTAAAACTGTTTCTTGCTACCACCGCTAGGGGCTTCTTTTCGGCTTCTGGTTGGCCAAGAGAGCATGGCAAGCCTAAAGTCACTAAATAAGCTACGCTTTCAGAGTACCACATTCCTTTTCTTTGGTATTTTGCCGACAATACAGTCGCTCTATTCAACAATATTCTGGTTCGCTGCGGCATCATTGGACAGTGGCAGTCACGTGAGTCGCTATCATCATCATCGCGTTTTTTTAACGCCACCATCTTGGGTCCAGCAATCCTCTGCCTGCTGCTGTTTGCTGTTTTTTGCGCACACACGCTGAAGTCCGTCGCTCAGCACGCGCGTTTTCCCTGTTACGTCGAGATACAAACAACACGACTGATTCGCTGCCACAGTTGCGATTGCGGCAGCTGTAGCAGTCGACGGATACAGCTTGGCTTGGCTCAGCTACAGTCACTCCTCCATCTGCACGCGGAGTCAAGATGGCGGCCCCTGACATGCTTCAGACGCGTAGTTTGGGAGTTTCGGTACTCTGTAAGCGTAGCTTTATTTAGTGACTCTAGGCAAGCCCTCTATCTGTGTGGTGATCGCCCTGGCTCTGCCAGCTCCTCCCATTGACCAAACTCTCGCTATATATGCACAGCTTTGGTTTGGGCAAAGAGGCTTCCATCACATGAATCTATGCCCATCTTTTGTTTTCAACGACAACTACTATACTATGCTACACCATAACTAAACGATTGTACAGCTATGATGTCGCATTACTATTGTTTTTTTTGTAAGCGTTAGTATAATGTAGACAGTGGGCAAGTTGATATAGATTGAACATAGTTGCAGTACTGTAACTGTGTTCAGTTTATACCAACTCGCCCAACTTTCTACATTACTTGTGCGCAAAAGGACAGGGACAGAGAAGAGGAACACATACAGACAACAGACAAGCGCACACTCGCAAGCCATGTTTTGTTGAAAGAAGAAAAGAAAGAGGTACAGATGGCGGAATCAGTTGGAGCGTTGGCCACACAGGCTTAGGGGCCCGCAAGCTCAAGGGGGACACGTAAAGTTACCCACACGAAAGATTTTAAAAAGGCCATCTCCTCCTCTGTTAATGAAACATACGGAAAGTTGACACATATATCGCTCGCCCTTGCTTAAGATAATAAAAGTTTGCAGCATTGTAGATCCTGTATTTGTAGCTCTCCTTAGCAAACGCCAAGATAATAGGCAGGTACTGGGAAAAACGCAGCGGGGAGGTTTTTGAAGCTTTTATTATCCTAAGCATGGGCGAGCACTGATGTGTCAGCTTTCCGTCTGTTTCATTAACAGAGGAGGAAATGGCCTTTTTAAATTTGTTTTCGTGTAGGTAACTGTACATGTCCCCTCAAGCTTGCGGGCCCTCGAGCCTGTGGACCTGTGGTACCTCGCGTCTGTGTGGCGAACGCTCGAACCAACGTTGCCACGTTACTAGCAACGTTACTGGAGCAAGCTCAGTTTCGCAGCTCCCTATTCTTGCCTGCAGAGGCGAGTGGCCCAGGTGGCGGTCACGAGAACTAGTGGCTCTGCAGTCGGATCTTGCTTCCCTGTCTCGCCACTGCGTAGAAAGCTTACTTTTCTTTCTCTTTTCTTTTTTTTTTTTTTACTTCCATGATATAATAGCCAAAAAAAAAAAGATGATGAAGATGAATAAAGCCCTACATATCCGCGGATATCTGCAGATATCCGCAGTAAACTGGCGGATCCGGATAAAATTTAGACGGATTTTGGTGGATTGCGGATCGGATGCAGATGTCAGGGGCTGCGGATGTGGATATCCGCAGATCCGGATCTAAATTTTTGCCCGGTGACATTCAGTCCGTCGACTGATGTTTATCTACGGATTGTTTCATCGACATGCGACGTTCGATCGAAAGGCTTCCCGTGTTCGTTTCATCGACAAACCTGAGACGTTTCGTCGCACACAACCCTGCTATTTTCGTAACAAACTTTTTGCATCTCGCCTGGATTACAGGGGGGAGGGGGACATGGTTTGGTTAAGCGCGCCTTAGTGAATCGCGTACTAGCTCATAGCGGCTTAGTGAAGAAATACGTTGTCGACAAAACGTTGCAGGGGCATGTGCCCACAAAACAAACAGCGTCGACGAACTGTGTGTCCATAAAATGTATATCCGTGAAAAGTTGTCCACGAAACATATATCCACAAAACGCGTTTTGAAGGAACGAGAGGGATCCTAAGAAAGATCCGATTCTTACTGGTGATTGCTTCAGTTAGTGCACTTCATCTCGTCAAAAATGCTATCTATAGAAAAAGTAAAGGTAAAGAATGCAGGGCATCAATCGTGCCGAGAAAGCTAGTTCTTTGGCAGGGAAAGAGCGGAAAACTCTCTCGGGCAAAGAAAACCTCAAACGAACATGTCAGAAGAAAGTAGAAGAAACCTCCTTCTTTCCGCAGAGAGTGGTGTGGTCATGATACCAAAAACATAAGAAGTACTTCGACAGCGAGCGCGACCCTGCTACGGGCCGCTTCGACGCGGCCCGTCGCAGACGACGCGTAGCCTCAGCAGTGCTCTTCTCCGACCAGTCTCCGACAGCGTTGCGAAAAAATGGCGGTCGTCCCCTCTCTGCTTCCTTCTTTCTCTCTCGCTCCTTCGGCGCTCTTCTCCCTTTCATTTACTTTTCTTCTCTCCGGCGCCTTCATCGCCACACGCACTGGCCAAACTCTCCCAATATACGGCTCTGGGTGGCGCCATCTTGCAGGGCCATCTTGCAGTAGCTACGTAAAGCAACTTTTATGTTTCAACTCGATCGTCGGTAAAGGCTGGCGCTGTTATCGTGCTTAGCTGGGTCTCGGTGGACGCCAGCGGCCCAGCTTTCAAGGGTGAGTTTCCCAACTAAGGGTTGATGGGACGAATCACTGGAGATTCGGATTCGGACAGATTCGGAAATTTCCGAACTTCCCGCGACGAATATTGGGCAGATTCGGAGGTTCGTCAGATTCCTCGGTGGTCGCAGGCGGCAGCATGAACCTTGTCGTAAACCTCACGAATGCAGTCAGTTGTGCTTTTCTTAGGTACTGTTACTGCATATAACCAGATTTTGTCTTGTTTATTTCAACGTATGGTATGTGTGAAACTTCCATTCTAAACCCTGGCACGCGCCCAGGTCCAGCTGAGCTGATCGGTGTGGTTGACGTAGGCCTCACCATTGCACGTTCTCGCTTTCTGTGCGGTTTCGTGGTGATCGGTAAAATGTAGCGAAACGCTTTGTATTATGCATAATGCGGCGCAACGCACACTAAATATATATTCAAGCAAGGAAATGATTCGTCTCCTTCTCTAGAGCTGCGAATGTCTGTACCTGTAAGGCGCGAGAGCGAGATGAATGTTGCTTGTCACAACTCCGACTGCGTACCGGCACCGATGGCGAAGACAAACGTCGCACTGTCGTTTCTCCGTTCTCGGCAGCAAGTTTTGTATATGTGAACTTTATTTGATGAAAGAGAAACCCAACACGGGGGTGTGCAACGCAACTTCATTGTTCAGAAACAAACACCAACTAAATCGGATAGCCAGGAGTTTCAGATTGTTTCCCGTGTTCCGATAGCAATACCTCATTGGACACTCGTTGGAGATAATCGAATCGAACATACTCACTTGTGTGGTGTGTGCCACTATGACCATAATTATGGGCATGAAATGTGTCTGTACCGAATAGCACGTACGGCATCGATCTCTTGCGGCGATGAAAACATGCGCTTGTATAATAATGTATTTCCACGTGCGTGCACCAAGCATGCCTTTTTGGGTCGTAATCCGAAACCGAAACCAGTTTTCCCGCAATGTCTGGCTACCCTTCTCAACAAACAACCAAAATAATATAAACAAAGCGGAACTTTTTTTATTACTGTAATATCATAGTTTAGTAACGTTGGCTCGAATTGATTCCGCGTTCTCTACCTCTTTCTTTCTAAGCATTGACTAGATGGCGCTAGCCGACAGCCAATTAAATTTTCCCCTGCATGTATTTATTTATCTATTCATACACAAGACAAAAAGAGGAGCATTTATTGTTATATTTTCACGTGTCTGGTATTCTAGTTTTATTTTTTAAGTATATTTGTATTAACTTCTGTAAAAATCATTGTAGTTAACGTTTTCAAATTTAGTCACGTGGTTACGTTGCACCACACCTTGTAAAACTAATTTTGCATACTATCGAACACACCCGTTCCTGGAGGTGTTGAAGAGGACGTAAAGTTTGTGGTTTGGCGTCGTTACCGCGCTCTGAGTTACCCGCAGAAAACACCGGGGACTTCCGCCACACTCTGACACGCCTTCATCCCCTTCATCCCTTCCTAGCCGACCTCCGTTCCATTCCAACTGCACAGCCATGGATGACATGATATTCCAGCTGAGGTTCAGCTGCAAGCAACTGGAGCGGCTCTCGAAGCGCGCCGAAAAAGATGAGAAGATCCAAAAGGCCAAGATTAAGAAGGCCCTCCAGCAGGGCAACGTCGAAGGCGCCCGAATCTACGCCGAGAACGCGATACGCAAAAAGAACGAGGGCCTCAACTACCTGCGTATGGCTTCCAAGGTAGACGCCGTTTCCTCCAAGATCAAGAGCGCCATGGCCATGAAACAGGTCACCAAGAACATGGCAGGCGTGGTCAAGGCACTCGACAAGGCCATCAACTCGATGGACCTACAGAAGGTGTCTGCAGTCATGGAGAAGTTTGAGCAGCAGTTCGAGGATCTGGACGTGAGGACGGCCGTTTTGGACGATGCCATGGGCACGGCGACGACCACCACGACCCCAATGGCCCAAGTTGACCAGCTCATTCAGCAGGTAGCCGAAGAGAGCGGGCTGGAGATGATCGACGAGGTGAACAAGGCGGAACTGGCACCGTCGGACTCGATCGCCACGACGGGAAGACCGCAGGCCGAGGAAGACGCCCTCACCAAGCGGTTGGCGGCTTTGAGGGAGTGACAGGCGTTTTACGTTGGTAACTTGTTTATATTTTAATGCACGGGAAATGTTGGGACACTACAGTCTCCGTAGCTTGCGGTTGGCGCGCTGCACTGTGCTGACAGCTGCTGAGTTTCAAACACAAAGAAAAATCCGTTTGGGTTGGAATGATCGAGTCTCGGTAGAAGGTCTGCCAGTACTGCCAATGATCGAGCTTTCGTCGGTGCTAACCATGTAGCTTTAGGCTGACCAACAAGCTTCTTTGGAAGTTAGCGGAACAGGCACCTGTTTGCTTTTTCCGAGCACAAAAGCTATAGTATTCTTTTTTTTTCTTTTTTTTTTTTTTTTTCAAATCCACTGCTGTTGTTTTTCAGAAAGTGATCTTCAGTAGAACCCGCTTGAATGCTTTGCTCTCCTGTGCTGGACTTGCGATAGTTTCTTTTATTTTCCAGGGTCTGGGCCATGGAGTTTGCTCAGTGTTGGGATGTCCCCGTGATCTTAGCACGGTGCCTGTGGGGGTAGATATGGCAACAGTGACATTTCTTGGTTCGTTCTGTGTTTATTTGAACAAATTGTTTTTATTTTCAGAACCGTTTGCACAGTGGCATTACGAGAGTTTGGCATTGTGTAGCAATGCATAGAGGACGTTGTTACATATAAGCAGCAGGTTAAGTTTACTATATAGCTTATTTGCTCTGATGTCAATTTGATGTGCCCTCTTGTCCACAACTTTAGTTTCACCTTCATCGGGCAGTAGTTTGTACAAAAAATATTAATTTGCACATGTTTCTTTTTTTCTTTTTTAACATGTTTGAGGGCATTACTGCTGGTTGTCACATGAAAAGCAAATTGACCGACCCCACTATACTCCATTTCACCTTATGTTGTACCGCAGCGAAGGCTAGAAGCGAGAGCTCATAGCGTTGGCAGCTGCCCTTGGTGCACGAGAGCTTGTGCCGCCGAGATGTGCCCTAGAGCAAGGAGCTGGCGCTTGTAGCCTTTCCTGCGGTCCGACACAAGGTGAAACAGAGTATAGTAAGGAGCAAAGTCTGAGTCACAAGTGCAAGCATGTTGCTTTGAACAGTTCTTGCAGCATGTGCATACAGTAGGCGAGCATGTTGCTTTGATCAGTGCTTGCAGTGTGTGCACACGGTAGGCACGCTCAACAAGCAATGCCCAGTCTTGTGTTTTTATTGGCTTTGCTAGCACTTGCATTGAAAGGGGAGAATTGTTTGTTGTAGAAGCTGTATGCACACATCCATTTGGGTTAATGGGGCCGAGGAAGAGTGTACAAAGTATAATTAAATATTATAATGAACTGGCTATTTTTAAGTAATTATTTATTTGAAAAATAACAAAGATGACTTAGAAACAAAGGTGTGAAGTAGTCGAAAAGTACATCTTAAGGCCTGTCCAAACAGGACACTCCAGAAATCGTGAGGCGACACGACTTTGTCAAAAATCGTGGAAGTTGAAGCGTCCGGCAGTTTGATGTCCATTTGAACAGCCTCGAGCCAAAATCACAATTTTCCTCCGCTTTTCGGTGACCTTGGTGCTTGTCAAACTTGATTTCACATGCCACCTGCCAATGCTGTCCCCCTGTTCTGCCAGGCTGTCGTATCCTTGGTCGTGTTCTAAAATTTACTCAATCTTACTCCAGGGTAAGGGTTTTGTATCTTTGCGTTTGAAAACCTACACGCATCCAGCGTGGCTCTATCTGCGTTATTATGTGGCACGACCCGCTGGAGAGTAACTCTGGTCCATTGGGTACGATTTCGAACACCGCCTTTTCCTTTGGGACCGGAAGAGCAGTGGGGGTCTTGAGCGATTTACCGACAGCCAACAGAGCTTGTGAGTGGCTGTCCGGACCCACATGATGAGTGGAGGACACAGGTGATATTTGACAGAGGTAACTTTCCCCCGGCAAAGAAACGGACGGAAGCGGAGCGCCACACAGTTTATGTTGGAGTCGTATCGACTCACGGTTTTTCAAGTGTCTTGTTTAGACTGGCCTTCAAAGTGCCAAGACTCCTTTGGGCTTTTATAGTGTATAAATTGACTTCATATATTCACTACTACTCAATACCTTCAAGAAACTGCACTTGGTGGCCTGTCTTTCACATAACGTAAAAAAAGTTCAATTTCTCAATATACTAAAGTGCACCAAGATGTTCATTCGTATAAAGACTCCGAGCTGTTATAAGCAGCTGTCAAACAAAAACCTTGAGTGATCTGGTTACTCTTGACAATCTAGCAGAGTTAGATCCATCAAAAAGTGTTCACAGAAAGGCCAGAAACTCCAAAACATCCACAATGATGTCAAAGTGCTTAAGAGTACATCCGGCTATTCAAACACTAATTTTGTCTATCGAAGAAGGAGGGTTTCCAGAATGAGTGAAACATGCCCGTAAGACAGGAATGTGCTCTTGTAGCCTGGACAATTGAGTCAGCGAAACTTTGGGGGTAGGTAGTTATTGGTCCGCGGCCACACGATTCCCAGAGTCGTGGCCTGCGAAGTCTCCACTTCTCTTATGGGGTATTCGCACGGGGTAGAAATCCCTCCCTTTGCTCTCCAGGATGTGATCACGTGGTAACAATGTCACATTTTTCCGCGGAGCCGCGCTGGCGTAGACATCCCAGGGGGATGCGGGAGCTTTTGCTCAGGCTGCCTTGATGTGGGGTCTCTGCATTTGGCGGTATTTTGTTCGCATGTCTGCCAACTTGAGAGATTTTTCTCTGCGGGATACCGGTGGTGGCTTTAGGTGTCACCTAACTTGCGGCTTGTGCTGTTGCGCATGTCGTTTGAGGCACCCCAAGGAGTCTTCTATATTGATCAATGCTGTTCTCATGTTGCTCCTCATTCAACTGGTTTTGAATTCCACATTTCTTATGTTGCATCCACCCATTCAAGAAGAGTCTTTTTTTAGCAGGGAGCAGTTTGCCGTCTTCTGCATCTAACAACGCTGCCGCCATGATCGCGTATTGCCGTTTTATGTACGCCTTTATTTTTCTACTCGTCAGCACGCACCGGGCCTTGTTGTCGAGAGTGTGACTGCCAAATGCATCTAATAACACTAACGTCCCTCTCGGCTCCCTGCCATCCATGTGAATGCTGGAGTCTGGGAGGGAGTCCCGCTGGTTCTACCATCACCGACGTCACACATATCCCTCCCCAAAAGCATCACCCGTGCGAATGCCCCTTTAAAAAACAAGAAGCGCTTTCTGCATTGGGTGTGGAATCTACTACAGACTGTAGGTGCGCAAACATGTGATCAGATTAGAATGCTAACAGTATATAGCCCACAATTTCCTACAAAAGGCAGCAATAAGCAAAAACGCCAGTAGACTATGATCGAGCCAAAAATTATCACAGGACAGAAGCGATAAACATTATGTTTATTGAGCCAATACTGTCGGCGCAGAGCAACAAGAGACACTTCGACTTGGCACAGAATATCTTCGCAACAATGCCCGTGTCTTTAGCGATGTGCTACTAGCACTACTGGCAAAATATACTTCCTGCACTCGACTGAAGCACCCTCTTGTTCAGTTGCCAGAAGTGATTTTCATACTGTAACCAACAATAGGCCTCTGCCTTGTGGGCTATCAAAGGCGAGCAAGAGGTTGCAATCAACACAACAGATGCAACAGATGACATGACTCTCAACAAACTTTTTTGTTATTACCTAGAGAAAGTCAACAATGAAAATGACTCTTTAAAAGCTTTTCCAAGTCTGTGTACTCTGTGCACGTACAACTACTAACAATGCTAATACCTGATGTCTCACTAGCATCCTACTGCAACTGTATGCAGCAGAGCTGCAGTTTAATGACTCCCATGTACCTGTTTTTTGAAGTACTAACGACAAAAGGGTATGAGTTGAAAGTACACTACAAGTATGCACAAGTGCAAAGTGAAACCGTTCCTGTTTGCAGTTACTTCTTTCACAAAAGCAAGGAGGCCTTTCAAAAAGAGCTAGCCTTTTTGTTAGTCTTGTAGAAATTTCTTGGTTGCCTCGACTGTTCACTTGCCCAGAGTTACGAACGTCAGCTGATGCCAGCATTGCTGTGATTATGTTAGCCAAACGTGTCTCCCCTGCCTCACAAAAGCATCAGCAAAGACTTAAAGTGGTGCAGTAGTTTGGTCCACCAAAGACAGAGCTTGGTCCGAAAACAATCGGTGTTTTGCGAGTTTTTTTTTTCTTTCCATGTGACAACAAGGAAAAGTGTCAACAAGTTCACCTGCCATGGTTCTCTTGACATGCAGGAGAAACTGGAGGTTACGTTGATTTACCATAGCTAAAGACTGGAGCCCACAAAGTTTGAAACCTTGTCAGTGCACACTATTCTGACCAGCCTTTGCTGAGCCACATTTAAGACCGTGCCCATGTTGTACATCAGATAATAATTGTCTTTGGTTTTCAACAGCAGTGGTACTTTTCCCTTCTTCTCAACTGCTCCAGGATACATTGTATGTAGCACATATGTTTCATGGCGGAAAGAATTTCTGCCTCAGAATGTGCGCCTGAATAGCACAGCTATTCTTTGTCAAATAATCTTTTATGAAACAGCAAGAGCATGGTCACAGGATAATCAACATTACGCACATGGAAAAACCAGCTCACCATTAGTCTTAGCTTTTGGAATTGTCTTCAACATTCAATGACAATCACATCTTTTGACCCCTGAAAACGTAACAGGGTACCATAAAAATCCTAGTACCGTAAGAAGCCACTTAGTTTCATCTGACCACCTTTGACAACCACCAAGTAAGAGAAGTACATCAGTTTTGTTGTTTTCCTAACACACAGAGTGTTCCAAACATTCTTTACGCAGATGCTGTCAGATAAAATTTGTATAATATCATCTCGCACCAGCGAGCTGAAGGTTTTCATAGAGGTGTATCTCAGGGGTCACACTGACCAGTTAGAAATATTGAAACAAAACTCCACTTGGGGACACTACCTGAGAATGTTAACCCTTTAACCGCTCACTCAATTGGCGTGATATTTGCAGGTGGTGTTTGTAGCCATATAGAAGGAGGGCATGCAAAGTTTCAGCCCTGTAAACACTCCAGAACAAAGTAAAGCATAGCTTTGCATGGAATCTGCTCAATGAATCTATCATTGAGAAATGGTGTTGATAACCAAATATTTTTCTGGTGGAATGCATATTGGAATACCTGCTGCCGGTTACTATGAAAAGAAAGTTTTTAAAAATATATGCATTTTTCAAATAAATAAATTTATAAAAATATATTTCGTTTTTTTTTCACATTTACCAAGTTTTGCAAATTACATTTTTTCATAATAAAGGAACATGAAAATGCAAGACTATAGCCACCAGCTCTATACAATTTCGGCATATAAGCCACTAATATTAAGTCTCTATAGCTTCATACTGAAACAATAGTGGGATTTATGCCAAAAAGTGGATTGGAGAAAATCACATTCAAAGTACTCAAACCTCTACATTCAAAGTACTCAACCTTTAGCATTTGTCGACTGAAAATACTTTATAAAAAAATAACTGTGCACTGTAAATAAATTAAACTGTCTGGAAATACTCTAGATGTTGACGGATGTAAATGGGGCATTTTTCAAAATCAACTTTCTTTGCAGAAATCTTTTTTTCTTGGTAGTGTCTCCTTAACAAACTCGCTGAAACTATAAGCAGCATATATTCATAGTTGCACATCGAAATCTCTCCTCATAAAGCCAACCATTCAAACGCAAGTCAGAGAAAAGATTTAACTCTTCATGTTAAGGTGAGCAACATTCAAGCTGGATTCAAGGTGAAAAATAAAAAAAAAAAATGAATGGAACACAGCCTGTTTTTTCCAGCGATTGAGGGGGCATGTTAAAGGCCAAAGGGAGAAGAGAGCAGAGGATGTCCAGGCAGCACAGATGTCTCATGAACGCTCACAAGACATCTATGATATCTTGAGGACGTTGCCAGGTGTACGACGGTGCCACCTAGACCTGAGACTCCTTGCGAGAGAGTGCCTGACAACCTTTGCCGGCGCCCAGCGCGTCGTGTGTGCCGTCCTCGTCGTTGGCCCTGTTGGCATGGTGCTTGGCCCTCCTGCGGCGCTTTGGCTTCTGCTTGATGAGCATCATGTCTGCCTTGGGCCCCTTCCACGAGCCCAGGTTCTGGCAGTCTGCCCTCCAGCTGATGCCGCCGTGGTTCTTAGGGTCCGGGCCACGCCGCAAGGACGGGTCCGGGCCCCGGCGGTTTTCCGGGTTGGGGCCTTTGCACAGCACCTGACGTTTTCTACGAAACATACCGAGAGGAGTTAAAAGCTTCAATTTGGCCAGAATGCGGGGTGCTCTGACAGAGTACACAGGAGCAATAACCTTTTGCATAAGTGGGTAACTCGATGCCTAGGCTTTACTTGGCATTATGGAATAACTCTACCCAACTGTAGTAAACATTTTCCAGATTAGAAAGTGTGATCTCCAAGAATACAATGGTTTTACCGTATCAATACTATATTTTTACTAAACCTATAGTTCTGTAATACCCGGGGGTGATGAATACACTATCACTAAGTTCTCTGTTTTGACAGCATCATGTAAGTATTCCGTTTTGCATTTCAATAATAATAAACATGTTAGGAGGCTTTAATTATAATGGCACAGTTTAATAGGTGTCAATACCCTTACTTATTATACTTGGCATCAACTTTTTGTGCCGCATTGTAAAGGCAGCTTTTGCAGTGCCCCAGCGCTGCAAAAACATCGCTCGGCGCTTCTTTTTTTTATTTTATTAGAGCGCATGTGAATGAGACGCAAGACGAAGCTATGTGTTCTTTACAGCGGAGCAGAGCCGCAACACTGGAAGCCATATACTAGCCTTGACAACAGAGCTCAAAATAGCCGTTGCCGAGTGTAGTGATTCGTGCACCATTATTTTGCCATAACATGGTAGAATAACCTACATGTTTTGTAACTGTACAAAGTTTTTACTCTAGCATTAAGTTTGGCTAAGAGTTTATTAGCAACAACACTGTGTGTTAGTTGGCTTACTAAACGTGGTTCTGAACTTCCGAGTCAGCTCCAGCCGGCAATGACACTTCACCGCACAACCACGTGTCGTGCTAGGAAGCACACTCACTAAAAAAATTAATCCGTGCGTCAATAAAAACTCTTTTTTTTTCTACGTTTGCAATTTTGCGTTGCGTGGATACTCACGACAGATTGGCGAGGCTGGGACCCTTCCGGAGCGATGCGTCCGGTCCTTTCGGGTGAAGACCAAACAGCGAAATCTGCGACAGTAGATCTTCATCTTCCTCTTCGTCGGTCGAGTAGGAGTCGTAGCTTCTGCGGTGCAACAAGGTGCGTCTCAATGTCTCACTCGGTGTCAACGTTTAGCAGCCGTTACTCCGAACTACGCAGTAAAGCTACCCGTCGACATGCGCCACCAGAAAACGCTCGTGCCCCGCTTCAATGATTCCCCGAAGTGGGACAAGGAACCAACGTTGACGAGTTTCTGTACATTTCCGCGATTATCGCGCAATTACCACTGACAGCTGCCCACTGTCAAAACACAAAACAAAAAGAACAGACGACGCGCCATGCAATCGGCGCTTCTGGTGGTCTTGCACGGCGGTACGCGAATATTGCAGTTTTCAAGCGCGCACTTTCTCATTCGGGCCAAAAAACGATCGTACCTCAAGCTGTCGCCTTCGGAGGACTCGCTGGATGACATCTTCAACTGTCAGCTGCCGACTAGACGTCGCCTAATAAACTATTAACGCCCTTTACCAGTACAGAGGTAAACTGTCGTCAGTACCATGGTAACGGCGACCGCTCGCCCTGCGATGTGCTCAGACAGTAAATAATTATAAAAATAATAAGCAGCACACTTGTGTCGAGCGATAAGTTAGAGCGATAGTTAAGTGTTCAAAGGTAAAGCATAATAGTTGGTCAGCGAGTTTTTACCCGGTGTCAATCGCGCATAAATATTCGAAATGACACGGCTTGCATTTCTTTGGATTCGAAACTAAAAGCTCACTGAATGAAGTACGCCTACGTATTGATCGGCCCGCCCGCTCCGTCCTTTTTTTTTTTTTTTTTTTTATGGCACGGCGCCTATGCGACGGATTTTGATACCCAACTGAGTACTAGGAACAAAAGGCAGTGGATCCTCCTAATACTTTCACTAAATATCGCTTACATTTTATTTATTATTATTTTTTTTTTTTTTTTTTTACGGTTGAATTGGAGTAATGTTTTTCCGTGTTTTGTTCCCTCACTCCCGCTCTCCAATGTCTCCCCCATCCCATCTCGTCTACTCTCTAATGTAGTATCTTGTTTCATTAAACATAATACCAACAGGCCAACGCGCACAGCAGTATCGCTCACATTCTTTACCGTGAGAAACCAAACAACCAATGAATGCAAGCAAAAAATGTTCAAAACTTGCACCCAAAATCAATAACATCTGAAGAGAGAAAAAAAAAAAAAAAGTCCTTTTTCAGGAGGTTTTGAATGCGGGGGTTCAAAATTTTATTGAATCCTCGGTGCTTTTTGGTAAAATATTTACATATCTATAGTTACTACAACTTCAGACCGGGTCAAGAGTGCACAATGTGGGCGAACGCACAATGGCATGCACTTTTTGGTAATGTTTCTAACAAAGATTCAACTTTTGAGCTTAGGAAACTTGAACAATCAATTGGGATATACAACAACAGACGTAGATATATATAATGCTCGAGAGGAGTCTCGCACCAGGGTCTTGTTAGACTCTGCCCACATTTAAGTAAAGACAGGCAAGTCATGATTTCCCATCATATCGATTATCACGGTGCACACGACATACAGACAAATCACACAAGAAAGTGGTGGAACTGTGGACAAAAGTAAATGATGTCAATAATAAAATCTTAAAAGACCCTGAAAATATACTTAGATGCCCAAATAGGCATTTTATGAGGTCATATAGAACATTTGGGCCCTTATATAGTATCGTCAAAGTACTTTGTGGTCTTGAGAGCAATTACCGTAGCTGTTCACATCAGGATCTATCCCAGCACACTAGACCTGCCCACGATTTGAGGCATGAACCTTCTGCATGAACTGTCTATTTTCTCAAATCTCATTTCCATCAAAGAAGTCTTGGAATCTTAAAAGTCGTCTAGATGCCTTCAGTGTAACCTCCTTCAAACATTGCACGAAATCTCTAGTATATTTGCTAGGGTGTGTTACTGAGCAGTCTTAAAGGGATGCTGAACCGAAATTTAGATTTCACGAAATAAGGCAGCAGGAGTGCTCAAGGGGCGCCACAAACCCTAAAACACCACTCATAAAGCGATATCTCGAAAGGGTGGCCATATTTTTGTAAAGTAAGGATGCGAAGAGTGAGAATCGCGACGTCGTGTTTCCTGCAGAATTGTTGAGGAGGGGGGAATGGCCTCGCTTCCTTCTCTCTTCGCGTCCTCGCAGAGTCAATGCTAGAAAAAGAGGAAACGAGAATTGCAATGTCACGGGCTTTTTTGGCCTTGTTCAAGTGTGCTCGTCTTTCACAAAAATGTGACCATCCATTGGAGATATCACTTTGTGAGTTATGTTTTCGGGTTTGTAGCGCCTTGCTTAGCACTTCCGCATTGTTTTCTGAAATAAAGATTTCGTTTCAGCAACCCTGTAAATCCTCACAAGGTCATTTAGCTTTCGTTCAAGTTGTTATCTGTCATCCAGATATTTTTCTAAAGATCTCTTCTGCAAGGACACCCATGTCCCGTAATGCACTCAATGGAGTTGGATCTGAAGTCTTGGTGCTCTGCAACATTCTTTGTAGAGCTACTTGGCACCTTGCAGAGGCATCCAAAGAAGTCACGCAGATATTCTCAAGGTCTTATGTGTTTTTTCCTAGAATCACAAATACTATACAATGAGAAAATCTTTCAGGAAATCATCTGGAAGTCAAGCAATGTTGTCTGCAGTTTTGTATGGTGACCCAAGCATCTAAGGATGACATCTCTCAGAAGGTCATCTGGATGTCCTGTGATGTCGTCTGTAGGGTTTTGCCTGACTTCGGCATTCTGCTGTGCTCGGCTTTGGCATCATCACTTGGGATGGCAGAGAGGGAACTGTGGCCAGGAGACAATGGTCCAGATCTCTGTCTCTGTCCCTTTCCATCGCCTTCAGCTTGGCCTCAATGGCACTGATCTGGCTGTTCACACTGCAACAGTAACAGAACAGTTGTCTGAGCTCAACCTACCCTCAAGCACTTTGACTTGCCACAGGACAAGCATGGCAATGGAACATATAAAAGAGAGCCCTTTTGCATTTTCCTGAACAAACCAGATCTATGTTGTAACAGTTGTAACAACATAATGAAGCTGCTGAAGATTTCACGTAATGTTATCATACTAGAGCGGATTTCAGTTTTTGGTTTTTCTAGAGGCGCTGGGATAACCTTGCTATGACCAATACATACTTAACAACTGGCTTCTGCTCCTTCTTTACACCAAGTAATGGTGCAGGTCTCCTTGCTGTCAGGTCCTCCTAAATAAGCAGAAACAGAGTGAAGTGTTAGAATTTAAAAAAAATGAAAGCCGTTTACAACTCCCTGTAACGCCGAATTAGAGCGCAGCTCTTGAGGAGGAGGAGGGAAGGGTACTGAGGGGGTGGGTCAAGTGACCTCGGGTGGCGGGGGGGGTCACGTGACCTTGGGGGTCACGTGACCTTGTGGGAGTCACGTGACCTTGGGACGTCACGTGACGTCGGGGGGTCACGTGACCTGGGGCCACGTGACGATGCCGATGACGTCATCAGTGACGTCACTGATGACGCCATCAGTGATGATGATGATGATGATGCGGATGCCGGTGACGTCATCAGTGATGTCACTGATGACGTCATCAGTGATGATGACGATGCGGATGCCGGTGACGTAATCAGTGACGTCACTGATGACGTCAGCAGTGGCTATGACGTCAACGGGGGGGTCACGTGACCTCGGGGGTATCCCCAGGTCACGTGACCCCAGGGGCGGTCACGTGACCTGGGTAACTATCGTGACCCTCGTGAGGGTAACCCTAGTAACCCTTGTGAGGGCAACTCTCGTGACCCTCGTGAGGGTAACTCTCGTGACCCTCGTGAGGGTAACTCTCGTGACCCTCGTGAGGGTAACTCTCATAACCCTCGTGACCCTCGTGAGGGTAACCCTCGTGAAGGTTACCCTCATGAGGGTTACTAACCCTCGTAACCCTCGTGAGGGTTACGAGGGTAAGTAACCCTCGTGAGGGTAACTCTCGTGAAGGTAACCCTTTTGAGGGTAACTAACCCTCGTAACCCTCGTGAGGGTTACGAGGGTAAGTAACCCTCGTGGCCCTCGTGAGGGTAACCCTCATGAGATTAACCCTCGTAACCCTCGTAACCCTCACGAGGGTTGCGGTTACGCCGACGCCGACGGCGACGCCGCTCAAGCCGGGAACGGGCCCCTAAGAGCTGCGCTCTAAAAAACATAAGACAAGCATCGTTCAACAGTCTGCAATGGGGACAGACCACTTGCCACATGTAACGTTGTCATGGGAATTCTAATCAAAGCGGGCATCTAACTTTCGGTCAACCTATGGTACGAAAACTGGTTGCTATGACCTCCTCGTTCTACGAAAGACGTGTACTTTTTCAACTTTCTTAAAATTATTTTAGACCGTCAGCGTGATCGGCTTGGGTCTGCATGGTTAGTAGTAGCGTTCTGTGTTTTCTGTAAGCACCGATAAACATAGAAAAATAACCCTTGAGCCAGTCTTATCAAAATTTGAGAAACTAAAAAAAACCTTGAATTGGGGCTATCCTCGACTAAGAGAAAACCAATCTTCACTTGAAGAAATTTTCATCTACAGCTTCATTTCTTCTTACCCTCGGACACAACCCCTACTGAACTGTCTACAAGGCTGCTTCTTTAAGTTAGGATCCACACCCCTTATTTCGTTTCCTTCTCTGATAGGTACTGGGACATTTTCTAAATAGTCAGGTCAGAAGTGTGTTTCCCCAAAGGGACACTGACAGAGTATTTATGCTCGCCAAGGTTTTTATTTGTTCATGACATATGAGAGCCCAACTACCAAGAACATAACGTGCGGCTCGAGATTCATTTTCTTTCCGCCCGAAAACTGCCGATCGAGAAATGGCCGGTTTGAATCGCGCTCACTCTCTTCTTTGTAGTCACGTGCCGTTTTCTATGGTTTAGACACACACACCAAATATAATCAAAGTCGTGGGTCACAGAAGGCACACACTCAATATTAAAAATAGAAAAAAATATGACACCAATTTTTTGTTGATTCTAAAAAACTGCAGATACAATGATTGAAAAAAAGAAAGTTACACAAAGAAGCAAAAGTACTTTGTGCATTCTCTGCATAATTTTCAACATGGCGTCGTAACATGGGGCTCGGGAGTCGCGGGCTGGACAGCTGAACGAAGCGGACTATGTGATGGCGGCGGATAACGGGCATCGGACCTCTACTTCAGAACTGTTGTTCGCAGTACCGGCGAGTCTGTCTAGCGTCGAAAGAGAAATCGTCTACCGATCCAAATAATTAAGATTTATTGCGTACGACACGCCCGACCACCAAGCTGATTTGCACAAAGACGTCGCCAAGTTGTCGGCCCTTCTCCTGGCTGAAGACGTTGTTCGTCTTACGAACACAAGTAGGTAAGAGCAAACACACAAACATCAAGCACTTCGCGTTTTTTGTGCGATGTGCGAGTTTGTCGAGTTTTTTGTTTGCTTCGCACAACCGGAAAATGAAAGAAGAAAGAAAGAAAAAAATGCGGTAGGATGTAGCCACGTGACTTCCGGAACCATATTCCTCCTCTACATACTTTCTTTCTCCCAGGTCCAATTTCGGTTTCGAGCAGTGGCGTTTTTTTGCTTTATTATTAAAAAAATATGTGACGCTGTAGCAAAATATCAATTGGTTAGATTTTTGACACCATATTGAATCGCTTGACAAATAATAAAAAATATATCTTGGGGAGTGTCAGTGTCCCTTCAAGTTGGGGAATTCCAAGCCAGTGTCCTCTTTTCTTCAACAGAGACCCCAATTAGCGCCGGGTTTTTATCCGATACTAAACACTGTAACCGAACGCCGAATCTGTAGGAAAAAATAAACCTTGAAAAAACACTACTGAATTCGAAGAAACATAAAGCCCGAAAATATGGGACTTCACCTACTATACTTTTTTTCACCTAAAGAACCGTAGTAAAAAAATGTCTGGCTCCTCGCAGAGCATTACTATATTCCTCTTTATGTAGAATATTAAAATGTAATGCAGGTGCATTTTAGATTACATGTGTTCTCTTATCAATACGCACACATTTTAAACGCCAAAGGCATCGCTCCTTCCTCCGACAACCAACTCTTGTAAAAACAATGTGCAAAGTTTGCTTTTTTCTTGAGGTGAAAGCCAGTACAGCGATGTTTCTTCAAGATCCAATCACAGCGTAAAAAAAAAACGAAAAAAGAAAAAAAAGTGTCCCTTGTCGTAGGGTACCAAAGGAAGCAAAAAAAATGTTTGTTCCCCACATTCACCACTACAGCGCGACTGGTGGCTTAGAAGACTTTGCCCAGTTTACAATCATGGTGATTTTAACTGCCACTGCCGCCTCCCTAGTGCATGCTAAACACTAATCACGCCACTGCTGCCGTAGAATCAGTAAAGACATCTCATAGCATTGTAGCAACCTTGCCTGTGCCGCTCACCCGAGCCCCCTCCCAGCTCAATTTCAGTTCAGAAATGACCCAGCCTGCATGCCTTCCATCCATTCAGCCCTGTGACATGGGCCTTCTCTGTTCCTCGAGGATTTGGCCCAAGAAAGAGTTGCATTGTGGGGACACAGGAACAGCAGGCACAGAGAACTACAGACCATTCTCAATAATTGCCTTCTGTACACTGCCATCTTTGTCTACCGGGCTGTGGAATGCGTTCTGAGCATGCGCACTAGCTCTCTTCTGTGGGATTTTGGACCCTGCCATGCGCCCACAGCTTAGTGACCCGGCATTTTTGGCCTGGGTGATAAATAAGCAGTGGAAGGGTGTATAGGGATGAGTGGAATGAACTTAGAAGGTGGACAGACACATTAAACAATAGCAAAACCACAGCACCAGAGACGCAAGGCACATATAAATATGAACTTCTACTTAAGCTTTGTGTAGTTAAGGTTCCTCGGGAGGAATGACCACGAACAGATGGCTTGTGGACGAGATTCGGGATGACACTGCGCACGAGGCACACGTGCTTGGTGTTGCCCGAGACCCGATGACGCCCACAACTTACAGTTGGAACGTTGTTGGCCCACTTGGCAACCAGTGTCTTGGAGAGCATCAGCTTGCCGTGCAGGCATTGCAGAGCATGCTCGGCTTGCGGCTTGGTCTCGTAGGTGACAAAGCAGTAGCCCCTGGGATGCCCCTTCAGGGGCCCCGCTTTGTGGAACAGGAAGTCGAATTTCTTGACATTGCCGTACCTCTTCAGAACCTTCACAAGGTGAAACCTGAAGTAAAAGCATGTGAAGCACACTCAATTTCCTGTGTAGACAGATGGTTGAGTGTTAGCTGAACCACAACCAATTTCCCGTAGAATGATGAATGAATGTCAGCTGAACCACAATCAATTTGCCATAGATAAAGAAACAGACATTGGCTGGACTCATGAACTGGGCGATAGGTCTTGCCACCTGGCCAAGGGTTGCGAAGTAGAAATCCCCATGCTTGTTTTCCTCGTTAAATCTCTAGATTGACACTTTCTGAGATCAGCCACAAACAGTAGAAAGAGAGATGGAAACAGCGTAGTGAGCCGACAAGGCCATTCAATGTGGCGTTATTGTAACCGCGGCTTGCGCACATAAGCTAATTGTAGCTCATTAGGTAGCTTACTTAATTAGGAAACATTCCGGCATTGTCTATTTTGACTCTCACAATATGGACCCGGTCGTCAACACGAACAAAAAAGCTACACATCATTACATACAACGAAGGTTTAGATGTGAAACACGTGTATTTTCACTGATCTTCAGCAAACGCAAGAATAGATGACAGTGACAAAGGAATGTAATGTGCAGCGCAGACCCCCCGCGCTTTGTTCACTGTGAAACACGTGTCTTCTCATTCGGAAATAAACTAAAAGCTTCTCTTCAGATAGAGTTTTTGCTCTGTAACCCCCTCAAAGCCCAAAGGATTATGCAGAAGTGCGAGAACCATCCATAATTTGAGAACAGATTCCGTACTTACTCGGTTAGTCGGTTATCGAGATTCCCTATCCATATCCTCTTGTCGTCCGTTTCGTGGGGAAGGGGTTCCACTGGTAATGGAATCCTGGCATCCTAAGTGCGCGCGAAACACGTTAAAAGAGCGATCAGAATGCCCCACATGACTAATTCATCGTGCAGACGTGCTTAAACTGCCCTGCGGATAAGTGAAGACCGTGCGACAACATAATTATAAGAGCCACTCGAACGATTTTAATAATTCGCCGATAATGGCAACTTACCATAGTAGCCCTCTCTTAATCTCAATTTAATCATTAACCTTTAGCTTCACGACTAGTTGGGAAAAATGCGCACATCCTAATCAGACACTCCACTCCGCTGCCTCCACAAACGGAAGTTTATTTGAACAAGCGGAAGTTGCCGCACATATGGAGCCATAGAATCGTGACGTCATGTGCTTCAGCACGACTCCGCTTGAAGCTTGGAGCGCTACTGTTCATCCAATTTTTGGGCGCGCTATTTGAATTTCAATGCGGTTCCAATCAAACGCTAAAAAAAAAAAATAAGAAAAGCTAACAAACAGAGCTCATCAGCCTTTCCTGCGATATAGGTCCTAAGGATCCAGGGATGGGAACTACTTCGTGATGTCAATTAATAGCACCGGTTCTTTTATCTAACCCTTTCTAAAGAACAGGCATGTTGTTCCAAACCTTTGCACCGGATATCCCATGACGCAACGCACTCTCCGTTCGCTTCTCTTCGAGCGTTTGCTCGAGTGCACCGTTTGGAACGAAAAATATAGCCAGTCGTTCAAAATACAAATGTGCGATTATCATTTATGGTTATTATCCGTCGTGCTTGACTCATATCCGAACGAAATTTGAATATTTCCATTTTTGTTTCCGTACCCCTTTAAACCATGGCGTTATAGGTAACCAGTGGCTATAACCGATAAGAGTGAAAACCCTGATATTACGCATGGATCTGCGGAAGGCCACAGAACGCCATAATACCCCATAAACGTATTGGACGTTCATAAGACCGCCTGTTTCATCTGGCTAGCGACCCTGGACGTATTAAATGACAATCATGTTTCCTTTTTTTTTTTCCCTTTTTTTTATTACATTGTTACAAATATCCCACGCAAACACCGACACGTCCACGCCAATGTCGCTATTATGCTGGGCAGTAATTACAACAGCAAACATGGGACTGCGACTTCGAACGTACGTCTAGTAATTGTTTCCCATGTGCTAATGAAGCGGACATCATTTACGCTGCTGTGTAATCGATAAAGATGCATCGATATAGAGTCCTCGTGGTAATAAAAGCCACTCCTCCTGTGCTACAGCTACCACCGATATATCTGAGTCGGACCGTGGTGACAACTTACTGAGCCCATAATAGACGTAGAGAGAGCAGGCGCTCTCTTCTGAAGAGATGACTCCAACAGGGCTATTGGCCGCACTGGCTTGCTCGCTGGGCTTCTTGTACCAGAGTCAGCGAGTCATCTCCTGGTACCTGCAATACGACTTCAGCGTCGTGCCATCGGAGCTCATCCGCAGCGGCATCATATTTCCAGCGGTTACCGTGTGTCTGGACGCATGGTACGCTCAGGAAATCGCGCACAGCGGCTTTTCCTGCCTTCCGCCTGGGGGAACTCTAACCGCCAGGACGGTGTCTTGCTCATTGTATATATTTGGTATTGTTTTAGTCATTCTGAAAGTATTCTCGGCGATTTTCTCCTTTGTACGCACGGATGCACAAGTACAAGCGGAGGATCGAGAGTGTCCTATTGTGAACCCGCCTCCATCACACCATTTCTTTTTGTTTTTCTGCTTCCTTGCGAGAGAGTTTAGTTTATTACTTCTGTCCTTTCTAACTTGAGTGGCATTGACTTGTATTAGTTTTATTGTTTTAACTCAGTAACGCCCTGAGTTTGCTCTGCTTCAAATACCTGTATATGGAATGCGGAAATAGAGGAATAACAAATCATGTCCTTTTTAGCCTATATTTTCCGGCATAAAAGAGGTGTAATACAAAGCAAAACAATACTTGTATAATCTTTTTTTTTTTTTTTCTTTTTTACAGGATGAGCGTTAGGAGTCTTTGCCAGTACAGACCTGGAAACTGCTCCAAGAAAGACATGGTAAGTTGCGACCTTCAGACCTCAGATTCAGATTCATACTTCAGATTTCGACATAATATTTATCGACATCAGCACAAAAGATTCCAAAAAGTTCTTTCCCTCTTTCTTCCTCTTTTTCTTTGGCGGTGATGTTCCCTTTTTTTTCTTCTCCCCTACCGGTTATAGTTACAGAAATAACTAAACAAAAATGCAAAAACGTAGCTGAAAACAACGAGCTATGCTCGAACACTTGATCAGCAGAGGCATGATGACAGAGCGTGGTCAGTTCCGCAATCATCTCGTTATTGCTATCATCAGCCGATGTGGTTGCAAAATCGCCGAATAAGAACAATAAATATCTACCGTGAAGTGACGAACGCTGTTATAAATAACTACTTCCTGTATTACAGAATATAAATAAATTAAGCACAATTCCTTAAAAGTCCGCGCTCACAAAATAAGAGATCTAGATGGGGAAAGAAAAACGAGCTCGATTGTGTTTTTAGTTTTAGATCTCGTCATTTGATTTCTTAACACCTGGCAGACGATCACGTACGGAGTGTTCAAGCCCCAATACGAGCCCGAGCTGCGAACCCACGGTTCGTACAGACCGGACCAGCTGTTTCAGTGCCGGTTCATCTCTTCCGACTCCAGATGCGGACCCGTCGACTGCCTGCGCAGGTATGCACTCCCATCCACTCAATCAGCCTCGCATATAGGCATATGCAGTGCCCTCCGTGGATAACAGTTTGATCGTGCGCATCTGACCCGTATCCGTAATGTTCTTAAATAATTGTGTCTGCATCCGATTCGCATCCGCGGGCTTTGTATCCGCATCCGTAAACTTCAGGACCGCATAAGGTCCTCAATCCGCGCATTAATATTACATGATAAAATCAAACATTATTGAAAATTAAAAAAAAAACAAAAAAACATTTGGATGGTATTTTATAAGCCATTTGCCCACCTTTGTACAAAGAACTCTTCGTGTTCGAATAAGGTGGAAGTCATTTTATCGTATTCTGTTTCATCGTATTTATAAAATAAGCGATCATCCATACCAGGTACTTCGCATCGCTGGAAAGGTGATCGTAGTTATGAGATCGTCTTGGGAGTTCATGAAACTGACCCTCTTTCCAGAAGATGCGCTCAAAAGGGAGGAAAGTTTAATAATTATTCCCCCCTTTGTAAAACCCACTTCAACCAGGCGCACATTTTATAAGCATGAACATTAACAAAGGACAGACTAATGACAATGAATCATTAGTCACACGCAACGTTTCACTTGTCATTGCTGTGTAGAAGAAACAGAATATCGCCAACATGGACGGATTCAGACAAGTTCGCATCTCTTAAAATAATACCCGCTAACGAGAAGTCTTTCTCCCTTGGTGCACATGATGCTGTAGTGCCATGCACGAACTGCGCTACGAGCCTTCAACAATGAGGTGCGGAAACTTGGGCCTAATAAAGTTTCATCTTTCTCTCTCTCGTGCTGGCAGAAGATTTACCAATCCAGAGGATCGCATTCAATCGCCTCGATCTACTTGTAGCCGACAAAGCCACTTGCAGGCTTCTTCTACTTTCTTGTGGCTTGTACGTTTTAGGTTTTCTTTGCCAAAAGAGCGTATTCCACTCTTTCCCTGCAAAACAAGAGCACGCTTTCCTGGGACGACTGACGCTCCTGCATTCACTACTTTTTCTAGGGTCGGCATTTTTTTGCGAGATAGAACGTTCTAAAGCAATCTTTGGTGAGGATGAAATCTTTCTTGACGTAAAGAACATTTTTTCCCCCGATTGGCACCTTTCATCTAAAAGAGTAGCTTGCTCCCGCAGTAGATTCGATGATGCACTTCATAGTATCTGATCACTTATTAAAGAATTTGCGTAGATCGTTCCCGCTGTCCAGGAATGTTCCCCGCAACCCACTGCGACATCCGGGACACTGCAGGCAAGGCTAGCGCCGCTCAAGCGCAATAGTGGCGTCCTTGTTCAGGACAGCGTAGTGGAGCTGGGAAAACGGTCTTCGAAAATTCCCTATTCACTCTACACTCTGCGGTCGCGCACGTTTATGCGCCGCCTCGGCAAAAATGTAGACCCGGGCCCGCGAATATCCTCATCCGATCCGCAATCTACCGCATCTGATTAATTTGTTATCCGCATCCGCCAGCCTACTGCTGATATCCGCGGATATTCATGTATCTATGCGATTACCAAACAATTTCAGACTACTATACTGACGCTTTACTTCTTTTGTGAATCTAGTTTCTGCGCCCGCGCAGTGCGTACACCTTTTGTGGGAAAATGCTGCTCTATTAGTAAACATGTGTGTTATATCCAGAAGGCAAAGAAAGACACATAAAAGAAAGGGACAAGCACGTCTCCGCCTTGGAGACGACGCCGTTGAGTACTTTTCCCCTTAGAACGCGGCTGCGCTGCGGCAAAGCAGAATGCGCAGGAGACAAACAAGCCTGTATACTCGGAAAAGAAGCTGGGGGCACGACTGCGCATGCGTAGTGCCCACAGCGAAGCATATGCACATGCGTCACCGGATTGGTGTGACGTCAGAAACGTAATCGGGTGTATATAGTTTTGCGCCATGAGTTATGTGGAAATTATAAGTATATTTAGTTTCCTTTGTGTGTAAACTTATAACAAACAAAAGGAGTTATTCTGGTTGGTATAACTTTTGCCGAACTTATTATTTTTATGCAAAAAAGGGTGCGAGCTGGACAAAACGAACTTTTTTACCGATAAAACTCGGGTAAACGCGCCAGTCCTGAGACGATGCAGCAACTAAAGTAAAGCACGCTCTCCTGCTCTCCTTAAGTTGGAGAAAAGAACGGTGCACGCACATGTGTTCTCTTTTCCTATTAACAGCATTAAGATGACCTACTTCCGCCCGCTGATGCAGCAGTGCTACACCATGGATCCATGGGAACAAACTGAGTTCCTGAACTGTCCGTCACCATGGAACTGGGGTGAGCACCGTTGCCTTGAACTGTATTACCAGTGTCACTCCCGTGGCTAGGTGTGCAATTGATCCGGTTCGAGAAAAGTTCTTATCAAATGGTATCCAAGTCCCGCACTGCGACGGGAGACCTGCGCACCCACCGTTTTATGTGAGTCACCGTGCCATGTGCAGAATTACATCTGGGAGCATCGTGGGAGCCCCGGGAGACGATGACGTTCTTCGACACGGGCTTCCTACCCACGGTGGTGCATAGTCCTCGCACCTGTCCAGCGGACAAACTGTCGGCGGTGGCTCTGCAGCCGGGAAAGCTCCTCAGCGTCGCCGTCAGGCAGGCACGTTAGAACTTAGACCTAGAGTTGACATAGTCATATAGACAAGGCGAGCGTTTAGGTATACGTACAGGATAGATGTGCGGACACGCACGAGAAAAGCATTCTCCAAAATACACCCGAACGCAATTGGAGCGTGTTAAACGAGACCTCTCTAAGGTCCATACAAAATCGAACACAAATCAATCCATAGTTTTTTTTTTGTTTTTTTTTAGTAATACTTTTGTATCCTCTATGTCTACATTTTTCAGAAACTATATCAATGAGTCTGATCTTCACGCGCGGGTTTGCTAAAACCCATATTGTCCATATGTCGCTTTGGTCCTTTCTTCACTGTCTTTGAAACACAATGTCATCATCCATTCAATGTTTTTTTTTTTTTTTTTTTCCTGTATTGCTGTGATTTTACTTCTGGGAATTAATCGATCTTTGCCCAACGGCCACGTGGCATCTCTTCCGCTTGCAGCAGCGAGTTGTACGTCTCCCGTCTCCGTACAAGTCGCACTGCTCGGACTACATCGAAAAGGGCGTGGTACCCGCCCTCCAAGGTTACCTCAACTACGACGTAAGTGGCGGTGCCTTGCTGGCGATCGGCAACTTAACAAACCTACGCAATCAACGTCACCGACCCATAAACCATTCATTAAATTAAAAAAGGCTTTCATTCAATCATTTATGCATTCATTCATATCCAAGCGGATCCCTTCCAGGTTAGTTAACATGAGAACAAACTATATGCATAAGCGTTCCTTGTTTTATTAATTGCGCGACTGCGATCTTAAATAAATCACTAGGTATCAGCTGATACTTTCGGCGAAGTATCTTTACGGTATGGCCTTATAAAACGTCGGCTTCCACTGTGAGGCATCCGGTAATCTCTGTTTATTCACGTACTTTCTTACAGATGTGGCTGATTTCATGTTTGTTATAAATAAAACCTACTTATAATGAACATATAAATCATATCGTCGAATTCTCAGGAATGACGCAAATATAGTAAGAACCATAACTAGAATAACATCGTTCATGAAATTGATACCAATAAATTTCGCGACATTTGTAATTCCCATTTGTAAAATGTGATCAGTGTTTTTTTTTTTTTTTTGTGCATTGAATCTCGTACTTATTCTCCCCCCCCCCCCCCCCCCCCCCGCCCCCCTCTCCCTCGTGTAATGTATCCCGATTGGGATGCCTTTGAGGAAACAAAATCTGATCCGATCTGATTTGTGCTTCGCAGTCGTGCGTGCAGCACTGCGCCATGGAGCTGGAGCGTGCCCGGTGCGGCTGTGTCCGACCCCTGCACGAGTTCGCCGGGGCGGTGGGATGGAAGAACTGCCCCATCCAGGAATCCGGTTCCCGTTCATTTACCTTGTTATAAGAAACGCCACAAGTGGGACTGATGACCGAAATGACTCTCATTACGAACTGTTACATGGGCATTGTTATCGCAGGATTTTTGACGACGGTTCCAGGATTATTTTACCATAATTACTAATGACAGCCATCCTGGGACAGTCATCAGAAATCCGAGGACTGCAGTCCCGGGGGCACCAACCCCAGGCTGGATTTCGTAGGATGACAGTCCCAGGATGATAGTCCCAGGATGAGAGCACCACGCAGAATAAGAATTCACGAGGTGACACTCTAATCGTAGCATGGGTCAGGATGACAATTGTAGACTATTACACAGCTCTCAGCAGTAAACATACTTGGTGAGGGCAAACCTTTACTATCGAGTACTCATTACCAGTTGGCGATGAGCGCAGTGAATAACCCGATATCGGTAAAGTTGCCTGGTCCCGTACGGCGTACGCTTATCATTCAACGCGTACGTCGGAGCTTTGGCAAGCGCCTAGAGGCATATGCTTGCAAGCGCCGCGGTGACATCGTATAGAAAGTTTCGCGCTGCTGTAACACAACTGCCATCGGTAGCTCCTTGATCCGTGTTGTCCGCAGACGCTTGCTTTCATCTGCTCAACGACAGCGGGGTCTATGAGAGCTGCAATGACAAGTGTGGACTTCCGTGCGAGTAAGAAGCTTTTTATTAATTTTTTTTTTTACAGTATGCCTGTCGCTCGAAATATTTGTGCACAATTTCTTGACGAATTTATGTGAATTAATACGCATAAATCTTGACATCTACGCTCTAAAAAAAGCCTGTGAGTCTGCTTTCCCGCACAACACTCGGAGAGCCAATCACTGCAACTTACGGAGGCAGCTCAGCGAATGACAATTCCGAAACATATGTTTAGACCAAAAAACGCAGTCTGGGTTGTGACATTAAGCAATGCAAAACGTCACGCTTGCATTGCTTAATGTCACAACTCAGACTGGGTTTTTTTTTGTCTAAACTTATGTTTCGGCAATGTCATTCGCTGAGCTTCCTCCGTAAGTATCGGTGATTGGCTCTCCGAATGTTGTGCGGGAAAGCAGACTCACTGGTTTTTTTTAGAGTGTAGACATATTGACATTCCGTCAATATTGTGAACTACAACATCTATACCACGAAACAGAATGTGAAGAAAGCGCACTTAGGCTTGTGCTTTGTCTGGCTTCAATTTTATACGGTCTTGGATTTTCACACATAGATAAAAGTTCACCAATTTGCATGTGCCTTCTAGGCTTTTTTCTTTCTTTTTTTTTCCTGTCTTTGTTGCAGGCATTGTATCATTGAAGAAATGCGTCCTTAAATTGCGCATTCTTGAATGCGTGCAACGCACTCAAGAGAAATTTAATTTGAAATAATATAAATGCATGATCATGCAAAACTCGGTGGGGAATTCGTCCTACAACAACTAGGCGCTAAGCGAACCTCGGTTGCTATAGCGACATCTCGCCGCAATGATATGAGGTCGTAACGCACTCGGACACGCTCAGATGCAAGTGTCTGGACCAGACGACACGGTTCGAAACTGTGACATGGGTGAATCAACGCTTGCAATTCGCAGAGAGGTCGTATATGACGTCAGGGTGACTGGGGTCAGCGATCTTCAAGGACCCAACGAAAGGTAAGGACTTTAATATCACGAATCGTATAACTCAGTGCTTCCCAAACTCTGCAGCCGGTAGCAGAGTTTGGGAGTCTTCAACTTATCAAAAACAAACTATCGCTAGTGCGATGACGCGGCCTCTCTGGGGCGTGTGCGTGTCTTAATTGCCTTTGCAGGCGACCATTACTCAAAGACATTCCGTCTCCCCTTTTGTAACAGCACTCAACAACAACGACCGGATCTAGACCATGTGTATACCTTCATTGTACAGAGCACCTCCGAATTTGTTGCAGGAACCGGTTCGGAATCCTTGTCAAGTTCGCCTCGGATGTCCAGCAATTCATCCACTACGAGCCCGTGTTCACGGTTAGGCCTAGTTTCGCCCGTTTCTTTCTTACTGTGCGTATATATTTGATCTTGTTAGCAGTAGGCGTCATCTCTCGGTCTCGGATCGAATTTCTGGTTTGTCCGACGGCCGCAAAGCTTTCCTGCTTCGTGACAGTCTACGAAAAGTGTTAGCGCGAGCTGGTACCCTGGCTGTCTCCTGCCCCGCGATGCGCTCGAAAGTCAGTTCAACCAATGAGGAGGGCGGAATCCGTTCAATTTAGTCAGTCTAACCAATGAGAAGGGTGGACGCGGTATCATGCTCCGATGGTCATCCGGTCTCATTGGCATAACGGCAGGCGTCCACACCTTTTGCCGCTGATACCACTTATATAGTTCACGGTACCGATCATCACCCTCTTCATTGGCTGAACTGACTAGAGGGCGACCAATGACGATGTTTGAGTGCATGGCGGATGCATGCAAGAACGCCTGAGATACGAGAAGGCCCCGCTAAGTCTGTATCTTGACAAGGGCGTGGGTACAGCCACTGACAGACATGCAGGGCGTGACTCGTGTTTACGTTTTAGAACGATAGGGGCTGTTACGGGCTCTTGCCACCACTGGAAGTGGCGTCTGTTTTGTTAACGTTGTAGTAGATGTAGCTGTAGTCGTTGTTGATATTGTGACTGGCGATGTAGGGCGTCCGTCGTCCATGTTGCCGAATTCTTGAAAAAGGTCGCCTGTCGCCCGCTGAAATCAAACCCGGGTCCGCTGCGTGTGAAGCGGGGAGTTACCACTGAGCCACGCCACAAATTTTTTTTTTTCTTCTTCTTTATTGCCATATTTTGACAGTTCACAAAAAACCAGAACCAAAAATACATCTCACTTAGCTCTGAAATTAGGGTTTCTGTAGTACCCAATGCTCACTGCACGCGCAAGACCGTTCCATTAGGGTCATAGCAGAGAGGGTAAAAAGAGAAAAAAAAATGCCCTCCCCCTCTCACCCGCACGTCGTCTGCTCCGCCGAGTGGGCTGTACCTAGCATCCGGCTGGCGTACAAACTCTGTTTAAAATCGCGTCATTTTGGAAATTTCAAGCGCAGATGCGCAGATTTTGATATGCCAGTTATCGTGTAATACTATGCTAGATAAAAAGACTAACAGGGTCCAAATGTGCTGTTACCTGCGTGCAAAAAAAAAAAAAAAAAACAGGGAAAATTGTGTCAGATTGGCCGGTCTCTCCGACGAAAAGGAAATCCGGTTGCTCTACCTTTTTTACTATACAAAGTTCGTACTGGTGTAGGCCCTTAGCGACCATGAGTGGAAGTCTGAAATAATAAATAAAAACGTGCTCTCCTGCCGCAATACACGCAGCAGTTGAGGGTAGTACTGCCGGCTGACTCAACTGCTATTTAAGTAATGGAAAAAAAGATATGCTAGTTGATTATTTACCAAAATAGAACAACAAAGAGCTCTAGGCTGATTTTGAAGTAGCCATGACTATTCTAAGAACGCGAACCACTTCACAACGGCAGCCACGAGCGAGAGTTCGATGTTCCGTACAGCCCGCCGATACAGCCCAAAGATGGAGAATGGCAACCTCCCGTCTTGTCGTCTGCTAGCGGCAAGGAGGACAGAAGGGTAGGAGAGGGCATGACGTCGGTCGCGTAGCCTCCGCAAGCCATGCTCCCTTGACGCCTCACGTCTTTCTCATTTTTCTCCTTACTCTCCTCACTTACCATGCCAACGTGACCACATCACGTGACCGTAGCTAGCCTTCGTCTTGCTATGGGGTACTAGAATACAGCACAGTCTAGCCTTCGATCTGATAAAACCTATTGGACGGAGCGCGCGCAAGCCTGTAAGGAGTCCTTCTAAAAGCAACCATCCATCTCACACGTGACATGTCATGCGCACCAATCGCCAGAGAGATCTGCGGTCACGCTGGGCACAAAATCGTTTAAACTTTTTATGACTAGGCTTCACCAATATTGCAACGTGCCCCCTCCTAGTACTTCTAACCTCCTTGGCTAGCGGAGTCGGGCGCGTGCCCTCTCTCTCGTTTTACCTCGCCGAACCCGTTGGATTTCCCGGATGTAAGGAGAGGGCGCTGCTGTCGAACAAAATGGTGCCGCCCAGAGAGCGCTAAATGGAATGGTCTTACACACTGTTTACAAACAGGCCCGCGTTTGCCCACTCCCAGTGTGGGCACCGCGCGAGCGCAGAAACCAGATTCGCGTGAGGTGAAGCTTTTGCGCATGCGCCGTGGCGACAACAGCGCCACCGCAGAGGCGCGACGTCAGAGCCGCGTGTTGGTCTATAACAAAATGCCGCCGTAGACTCGTAGCACTGTCAGTGCCAAGAGCTCGTGCCGGGAGACGCGCCTCCACGCGTCTTCCGGCACGGAACAAAAAAACATTCAGATGGTCTCTCCCTACATGAGCCATGCGTCGTCGTCGTTCATGGCGGCGAATGCACTAGTGACTGCGGTTTGTTTGACACATAGCGTTAGTCCCCGAGGTGGCCGCTAGGGAGCGCCACTCCTCGATCTCCTCCCCGATAAGAAAGGGGTCAGATAGCGGTTACAGCTTTTCGAGACGTGTACGCAAAGATGATGTCGGATAGCTTTGTCCAGCGAAGGATGTCATGATGCGCAGTCGGTGGAGGTATTGGGCTACCTGAGCGGTTACCTGGGCATCTGGCTGGGTCTCTGCTTCGCCACCGTCTCGCTCGAGGCTCAGTCCAGGCTCACGGATCTCTGCTCCCGAGGTCAACCTTCTGCTTGGTACGGTACCGGGTTATACTCATTTTCTAAAGCACGCGTCGTCAAGTGAACCGCGAATTCATTCAACACCACTCGGCGCTCGCGTTAAATCTCTTTTCAATGAACCCGTTTCATAATATGCCGAAGCCAGGCGGAAAGAAACTGCGTTAAGGCGGACTGAATGCGAAAACACACACACACACACACACACACACACACACACACACACACACACACACACACACACACACACACACACACACAAACAAACAAACACACACGCACACGCGCACGCACACACACACACACACACACATATATATACGTGTGTGTGTATATATATATAAAATAATACACTGGATTGAGTTCTTTCTTGAGTGAAATACCTCGATCTAATTTAACTTTATTGTAGTCCTATTGGCATACTTGTCGTTTAGTATACTTTGTATCACGACGATCCGAGGCGCTATTAAAAAGTCGCAGTCATTTATACACCGGGACAAGTTTCTGTTGCAGTGCAGTCAAAGGTCCGGCAGCGCGAGTACTCGCTGAGCAACTTGAGCGCCGATTACAATTGTGCACGCGCACTCGCCCTCTCATCGGAAGTGCCGCAGAAAGCTGTCCCGATTGCATTGAAAAGGGTCCATCACTTTCATGAAAACCCACTCCTGCGCACTGCACTTGTCATACCCAATTCACCCGCATCCAGGCATTTCGACTTTCTTTTACTTCCGAATGCATCACCTGATCCTGCTCCGGTTTACTACTACCAGCTAATCTCCCCCTTTTTGTCTCCTAAAACAGCCAAAAAGTTGCGCTTCGAATGACACTTCAGTTTACGATACACGTGGAATTGTAGCGGGAGAACAAACACCCGAAAGCGGGCTTCACCTTTAAAAGACTACTACTGCGGCGAAGCCATGTTTCGGTAACGCTTGCCCGGCGGCGGGCCAGGTTGCGGAAGAGGGGTAAATTCGCCAGTAGAGTATTACTGTCAACCGGAGGTAATTAAAGCCGATTACGTTGCGGCGATTCCACGAATTCAGGCCTCTGTAACGTCTTCCAACAATCATGTTGCAAAAGCGTGCATCATCTCGAGATCAGCGAATAAAAGGGCTTGAAATACGAGAATGATAATAGATGTCGTATTTAAATAACTCGGTCCTAAAAACGACGCTAATTACTTCATAGTAGAATACGAAGCTATCCCAAAACTCCCAAATATATATAAAATGAAAATCAAAGATTAGATAGATATTGATCACCTACTAAATTGTTACGGGTCCTACTACTACTAAATACTAAAAAACACCAAACTAAAAAAAAAAAAAAAGAATTAAGTGTGGCACACGTATGTTACAACCGCCCTCCCCCCCAAAAAGAGCGCAATATATACGTTGCGAGACATTTTGAGTTAAAAGGCATTCAAGAAATTTTTATATTTTGAGACGTCGAACCCGAAATAGAAGCATATTTCTAAATATGTCTTGACTAAAAATTAATTATATTTCTCAACGTAAATATTGCGTTAAACATTTTTTTCTTTTTTTTTTTTTTGGGGGGGGGGGCATTTTATCTTGTGATGCACATCTTCAACCTACATCACATAAAAATGTATTTGGGAAATCAACCTCTCTTTAAACATACTCAATAATAATAATAAAAAAAATAATAGTAATATTCTTTTTTTTTAATGTCGGGGCTGTATTACCAGTTTTTTTGCTCCGCGTATCGCGCGCCTGATCGCTGAATCACGTGGAACTTTCTCGGTACGTGATTGGTTCGGACGACTTGTTCCGACTTTATCTTGGGATATTTAACAACAGAGGCTCTTGGATCTCGGGGCATCGGATCTGAGGGGTGCGTGAAGCGAAAACTTGCGCTGAAGAACGCAGGGGTCGTGGATTCGATCCCCGCCCCTGCCCATTTTCATCTGGTTGAGCATCGTACCGGTGTGCAATCGTGTGTCACTACTGTGCGAAGCACGTTAAAGACTTCAGGTCTGAAGTGGTATTGAACTAGGTAAATTTTTTATCTACAGTAGAGACACCAGACACCCACTGGTGCTGATTAACTTCCCGCCGTCTAGACACAACACAATTTTCTTAGACTTGAAAACAAAGGAGGCCAGCAGACTCTTTTTGACAATGATCATAACGACGCCTTTTTCGTTTCTGCAGGAGTAGGGACATGTTGCGACGGTGGATGCACTTCAAGGCCGAAGTTTTGCGCCGCGAAGGACTTATCCGCCGCAGGTGAGGGAGTTCAAAGTGTGCACGAGCAATGAATGCAAAGATTGTCAGTTTCTTTCCTTAATGTATTATTACACTTGCGCGAATTCATCACATTGAGAGCTTCGCGAAATTGTGGTTCACCCAGAACGACCCCAGAAACCTATCGGAAGCTTCGACATAAGCGTTTCATAATTTAAACGGGTGCTGTATTAAATTTCAATTCGCCGCTCAAAACGACCCCCCCCCCCCCCCCCCCCCCCCCATCGCGTGAAGTTATTCATACGAACTACGACAACTGACGTGCGTCCTTTAGATAAACTAGGGTGAGCTAGCTCGTTTGGATTATGCTGGCTTTCCGTTTTTCTTTTTTTTTTTTTGTTCGAGCGACCGTCACGTAGATCAGCTTCACAGCTCGCCTAATCACCTTTTATCTTCCACTTTCAGACGCTGGGCCGCAGCGGTGTTGCCTTTTCCGAACTGAATGGGGCATCTGATAACAACCCTGCGCTCCAAGCACCCTGAACACCATCTTTAGCCAATAGCATTTCGTTGTCTCACTGAGAGCTTCTGCATAGTCCTATTCACAAAAGTAACGAAGAAAACTTTTTTTAAACGATTTTAAACACGTTTTTGGGAAGTGAAACAACATATAGTTTATTTATTTTCCCAGTAAATTTAGCAGGAAAATTCACGTCACGGTTTTAAGTCGCTGTGTCACATGATCCCAATTTCTCCGCTAAATTGAGCGGAAAAATCGACGTCAGGCGACATGATCACCTGACGTGACATTAGGGGGTCAATTCGTGGCGACACGTGGTACCCCGATGTCACGTGACGTCGCTTTCCCCGATAAATTTAGCGAGGACATTTCTGAAATGATAAGGGGTTGTTCCGAACAACCTGTTCTGAATGGCGTTTATGTGAATGGCAATAGTGCCATTCACACTTACCCGATGACGTCTTCAACTTCGTGACACGCATTGACTTTTCCGTCGTCTAATGAAAGAAAAGACGATTTTATCTGTCTTTTCCCGTTTTTAGAGATATGTTTTTTTTTTTTACTTCATGCTTCGAAGGCGGTAGAGCCTGCAGTGTTTTCAGATTGTTGATAAGACATTCGAGTCAAAATTAGCATTGTCTGCGCATTTTGCGACAAGAATTTACGATGCAGTCAACAATGCACCATATTAAATAGGAAGGCTAAATCATGGTGTTTTCTATTCCCTCCAAATAATGTTCATTCAACCTTTTGCGAAAACGTACAGCGCCTTACAACGGGCACCGAAAGGTATTCTTGGTAGGTAAGCGAGCGAGAGCAGGCCAACATCCGCCGTTGTTCATTCAACCTTTTGCGAAACGTACAGCGCCCTACAACGAGCACCGAAAGGTATTCTTGGTAGGTAAGCGAGCCAGAGCAGGCCAACATCCGGCGTTGTTCATTCAACCTTTTGCGAAACGTACAGCGCCCTACAACGGGCACCGAAAGGTATTCTTGGTAGGTAAGCGAGCGAGAGCAGGCCAACATCCGCCGTTGTTCATTCAACCTTTTGCGAAACGTACAGCGCCCTACAACGAGCACCGAAAGGTATTCTTGGTAGGTAAGCGAGCCAGAGCAGGCCAACATCCGGCGTTGTTCATTCAACCTTTTGCGAAACGTACAGCGCCCTACAACGGGCACCGAAAGGTATTCTTGGTAGGTAAGCGAGCCAGAGCAGGCCAACATCCGCCGTTGTTCATTCAACCTTTTGCGAAACGTACAGCGCCCTACAACGGGCACCGAAAGGTATTCTTGGTAGGTAAGCGAGCCAGAGCAGGCCAACATCCGCCGTTGTTCATTCAACCTTTTGCGAAACGTACAGCGCCCTACAACGGGCACCGAAAGGTATTCTTGGTAGGTAAGCGAGCCAGAGCAGGCCAACATCCGCCGTTGTTCATTCAACCTTTTGCGAAACGTACAGCGCCCTACAACGGGCACCGAAAGGTATTCTTGGTAGGTAAGCGAGCCAGAGCAGGCCAACATCCGCCGTTGTTCATTCAACCTTTTGCGAAACGTACAGCGCCCTACAACGGGCACCGAAAGGTATTCTTGGTAGGTAAGCGAGCCAGAGCAGGCCAACATCCGCCGTTGTTCATTCAACCTTTTGCGAAACGTACAGCGCCCTACAACGGGCACCGAAAGGTATTCTTGGTAGGTAAGCGAGCCAGAGCAGGCCAACATCCGCCGTTGTTCATTCAACCTTTTGCGAAACGTACAGCGCCCTACAACGGGCACCGAAAGGTATTCTTGATAGGTAAGCGAGCGAGAGCAGGCCAACATCCGCCGTTGTTCATTCAACCTTTTGCGAAACGTACAGCGCCCTACAACGGGCACCGAAAGGTATTCTTGGTAGGTAAGCGAGCCAGAGCAGGCCAACATCCGCCGTTGTTCATTCAACCTTTTGCGAAACGTACAGCGCCCTACAACGGGCACCGAAAGGTATTCTTGGTAGGTAAGCGAGCCAGAGCAGGCCAACATCCGCCGTTGTTCATTCAACCTTTTGCGAAACGTACAGCGCCCTACAACGGGCACCGAAAGGTATTCTTGGTAGGTAAGCGAGCCAGAGCAGGCCAACATCCGCCGTTGTTCATTCAACCTTTTGCGAAACGTACAGCGCCCTACAACGGGCACCGAAAGGTATTCTTGGTAGGTAAGCGAGCCAGAGCAGGCCAACATCCGCCGTTGTTCATTCAACCTTTTGCGAAACGTACAGCGCCCTACAACGGGCACCGAAAGGTATTCTTGGTAGGTAAGCGAGCCAGAGCAGGCCAACATCCGGCGTTGTTCATTCAACCTTTTGCGAAACGTACAGCGCCCTACAACGGGCACCGAAAGGTATTCTTGGTAGGTAAGCGAGCGAGAGCAGGCCAACATCCGCCGTTGTTCATTCAACCTTTTGCGAAACGTACAGCGCCCTACAACGAGCACCGAAAGGTATTCTTGGTAGGTAAGCGAGCGAGAGCAGGCCAACATCCGCCGTTGTTCATTCAACCTTTTGCGAAACGTACAGCGCCCTACAACGAGCACCGAAAGGTATTCTTGGTAGGTAAGCGAGCGAGAGCAGGCCAACATCCGCCGTTGTTCATTCAACCTTTTGCGAAACGTACAGCGCCCTACAACGAGCACCGAAAGGTATTCTTGGTAGGTAAGCGAGCCAGAGCAGGCCAACATCCGGCGTTGTTCATTCAACCTTTTGCGAAACGTACAGCGCCCTACAACGAGCACCGAAAGGTATTCTTGGTAGGTAAGCGAGCCAGAGCAGGCCAACATCCGCCGTTGTTCATTCAACCTTTTGCGAAACGTACAGCGCCCTACAACGAGCACCGAAAGGTATTCTTGGTAGGTAAGCGAGCGAGAGCAGGCCAACATCCGCCGTTGTTCATTCAACCTTTTGCGAAACGTACAGCGCCCTACAACGAGCACCGAAAGGTATTCTTGGTAGGTAAGCGAGCCAGAGCAGGCCAACATCCGGCGTTGTTCATTCAACCTTTTGCGAAACGTACAGCGCCCTACAACGGGCACCGAAAGGTATTCTTGGTAGGTAAGCTAGCGAGAGCAGGCCAACATCCGCCGTTGTTCATTCAACCTTTTGCGAAACGTACAGCGCCCTACAACGAGCACCGAAAGGTATTCTTGGTAGGTAAGCGAGCGAGAGCAGGCCAACATCCGCCGTTGTTCATTCAACCTTTTGCGAAACGTACAGCGCCCTACAACGAGCACCGAAAGGTATTCTTGGTAGGTAAGCGAGCGAGAGCAGGCCAACATCCGCCGTTGTTCATTCAACCTTTTGCGAAACGTACAGCGCCCTACAACGAGCACCGAAAGGTATTCTTGGTAGGTAAGCGAGCGAGAGCAGGCCAACATCCGCCGTTGTTCATTCAACCTTTTGCGAAACGTACAGCGCCCTACAACGAGCACCGAAAGGTATTCTTGGTAGGTAAGCGAGCCAGAGCAGGCCAACATCCGCCGTTGTTCATTCAACCTTTTGCGAAACGTACAGCGCCCTACAACGAGCACCGAAAGGTATTCTTGGTAGGTAAGCGAGCGAGAGCAGGCCAACATCCGCCGTTGTTCATTCAACCTTTTGCGAAACGTACAGCGCCCTACAACGAGCACCGAAAGGTATTCTTGGTAGGTAAGCGAGCGAGAGCAGGCCAACATCCGCCGTTGTTCATTCAACCTTTTGCGAAACGTACAGCGCCCTACAACGAGCACCGAAAGGTATTCTTGGTAGGTAAGCGAGCCAGAGCAGGCCAACATCCGGCGTTGTTCATTCAACCTTTTGCGAAACGTACAGCGCCCTACAACGGGCACCGAAAGGTATTCTTGGTAGGTAAGCGAGCGAGAGCAGGCCAACATCCGGCGTTGTTCATTCAACCTTTTGCGAAACGTACAGCGCCCTACAACGAGCACCGAAAGGTATTCTTGGTAGGTAAGCGAGCGAGAGCAGGCCAACATCCGCCGTTGTTCATTCAACCTTTTGCGAAACGTACAGCGCCCTACAACGAGCACCGAAAGGTATTCTTGGTAGGTAAGCGAGCGAGAGCAGGCCAACATCCGCCGTTGTTCATTCAACCTTTTGCGAAACGTACAGCGCCCTACAACGAGCACCGAAAGGTATTCTTGGTAGGTAAGCGAGCCAGAGCAGGCCAACATCCGCCGTTGTTCATTCAACCTTTTGCGAAACGTACAGCGCCCTACAACGGGCACCGAAAGGTATTCTTGGTAGGTAAGCGAGCCAGAGCAGGCCAACATCCGCCGTTGTTCATTCAACCTTTTGCGAAACGTACAGCGCCCTACAACGGGCACCGAAAGGTATTCTTGGTAGGTAAGCGAGCCAGAGCAGGCCAACATCCGCCGTTGTTCATTCAACCTTTTGCGAAACGTACAGCGCCCTACAACGGGCACCGAAAGGTATTCTTGGTAGGTAAGCGAGCCAGAGCAGGCCAACATCCGCCGTTGTTCATTCAACCTTTTGCGAAACGTACAGCGCCCTACAACGGGCACCGAAAGGTATTCTTGGTAGGTAAGCGAGCCAGAGCAGGCCAACATCCGCCGTTGTTCATTCAACCTTTTGCGAAACGTACAGCGCCCTACAACGGGCACCGAAAGGTATTCTTGGTAGGTAAGCGAGCCAGAGCAGGCCAACATCCGGCGTTGTTCATTCAACCTTTTGCGAAACGTACAGCGCCCTACAACGGGCACCGAAAGGTATTCTTGGTAGGTAAGCGAGCGAGAGCAGGCCAACATCCGCCGTTGTTCATTCAACCTTTTGCGAAACGTACAGCGCCCTACAACGAGCACCGAAAGGTATTCTTGGTAGGTAAGCGAGCGAGAGCAGGCCAACATCCGCCGTTGTTCATTCAACCTTTTGCGAAACGTACAGCGCCCTACAACGAGCACCGAAAGGTATTCTTGGTAGGTAAGCGAGCGAGAGCAGGCCAACATCCGCCGTTGTTCATTCAACCTTTTGCGAAACGTACAGCGCCCTACAACGAGCACCGAAAGGTATTCTTGGTAGGTAAGCGAGCCAGAGCAGGCCAACATCCGGCGTTGTTCATTCAACCTTTTGCGAAACGTACAGCGCCCTACAACGGGCACCGAAAGGTATTCTTGGTAGGTAAGCGAGCGAGAGCAGGCCAACATCCGCCGTTGTTCATTCAACCTTTTGCGAAACGTACAGCGCCCTACAACGAGCACCGAAAGGTATTCTTGGTAGGTAAGCGAGCGAGAGCAGGCCAACATCCGCCGTTGTTCATTCAACCTTTTGCGAAACGTACAGCGCCCTACAACGGACACCGAAAGGTATTCTTGGTAGGTAAGCGAGCGAGAGCAGGCCAACATCCGCCGTTGTTCATTCAACCTTTTGCGAAACGTACAGCGCCCTACAACGAGCACCGAAAGGTATTCTTGGTAGGTAAGCGAGCCAGAGCAGGCCAACATCCGGCGTTGTTCATTCAACCTTTTGCGAAACGTACAGCGCCCTACAACGGGCACCGAAAGGTATTCTTGGTAGGTAAGCGAGCGAGAGCAGGCCAACATCCGCCGTTGTTCATTCAACCTTTTGCGAAACGTACAGCGCCCTACAACGGGCACCGAAAGGTATTCTTGGTAGGTAAGCGAGCGAGAGCAGGCCAACATCCACCGTTGTTCATTCAACCTTTTGCGAAAACGTACAGCGCCTTACAACGGGCACCGAAAGGTATTCTTGGTAGGTAAGCGAGCCAGAGCAGGCCAACATCCGCCGTTGTTCATTCAACCTTTTGCGAAACGTACAGCGCCCTACAACGGGCACCGAAAGGTATTCTTGGTAGGTAAGCGAGCGAGAGCAGGCCAACATCCGCCGTTGTTCATTCAACCTTTTGCGAAACGTACAGCGCCCTACAACGAGCACCGAAAGGTATTCTTGGTAGGTAAGCGAGCCAGAGCAGGCCAACATCCGGCGTTGTTCATTCAACCTTTTGCGAAACGTACAGCGCCCTACAACGGGCACCGAAAGGTATTCTTGGTAGGTAAGCGAGCGAGAGCAGGCCAACATCCGCCGTTGTTCATTCAACCTTTTGCGAAACGTACAGCGCCCTACAACGAGCACCGAAAGGTATTCTTGGTAGGTAAGCGAGCCAGAGCAGGCCAACATCCGGCGTTGTTCATTCAACCTTTTGCGAAACGTACAGCGCCCTACAACGGGCACCGAAAGGTATTCTTGGTAGGTAAGCGAGCGAGAGCAGGCCAACATCCGCCGTTGTTCATTCAACCTTTTGCGAAACGTACAGCGCCCTACAACGGGCACCGAAAGGTATTCTTGGTAGGTAAGCGAGCGAGAGCAGGCCAACATCCGCCGTTGTTCATTCAACCTTTTGCGAAAACGTACAGCGCCTTACAACGGGCACCGAAAGGTATTCTTGGTAGGTAAGCGAGCGAGAGCAGGCCAACATCCGCCGTTGTTCATTCAACCTTTTGCGAAACGTATACAGCGCCCTACAACGGGCACCGAAACGTATTCTTGGTAGGTAAGCGAGCGAGAGCAGGCCAACATCCGCCGTTGTTCATTCAACCTTTTGCGAAACGTACAGCGCCGTACAACGGGCACCGAAAGGTATTCTTGGTAGGTAAGCGAGCGAGAGCAGGCCAACATCCGCCGTTGTTCATTCAACCTTTTGCGAAACGTACAGCGCCCTACAACGGGCACCGAAACATATTCTTGGTAGGTAAGCGAGCGAGAGCAGGCCAACATCCGCTGTTGTTCATTCAACCTTTTGCGAAACGTACAGCGCCCTACAACGGGCACCGAAAGGTATTCTTGGTAGGTAAGCGAGCGAGAGCAGGCCAACATCCGCCGTTGTTCATTCAACCTTTTGCGAAACGTACAGCGCCCTACAACGAGCACCGAAAGGTATTCTTGGTAGGTAAGCGAGCCAGAGCAGGCCAACATCCGGCGTTGTTCATTCAACCTTTTGCGAAACGTACAGCGCCCTACAACGGGCACCGAAAGGTATTCTTGGTAGGTAAGCGAGCGAGAGCAGGCCAACATCCGCCGTTGTTCATTCAACCTTTTGCGAAACGTACAGCGCCCTACAACGGGCACCGAAAGGTATTCTTGGTAGGTAAGCGAGCGAGAGCAGGCCAACATCCGCCGTTGTTCATTCAACCTTTTGCGAAAACGTACAGCGCCTTACAACGGGCACCGAAAGGTATTCTTGGTAGGTAAGCGAGCGAGAGCAGGCCAACATCCGCCGTTGTTCATTCAACCTTTTGCGAAACGTATACAGCGCCCTACAACGGGCACCGAAACGTATTCTTGGTAGGTAAGCGAGCGAGAGCAGGCCAACATCCGCCGTTGTTCATTCAACTTTTTGCGAAACGTACAGCGCCGTACAACGGGCACCGAAAGGTATTCTTGGTAGGTAAGCGAGCGAGAGCAGGCCAACATCCGCCGTTGTTCATTCAACCTTTTGCGAAACGTACAGCGCCCTACAACGGGCACCGAAACGTATTCTTGGTAGGTAAGCGAGCGAGAGCAGGCCAACATCCGCTGTTGTTCATTCAACCTTTTGCGAAACGTACAGCGCCCTACAACGGGCACCGAAAGGTATTCTTGGTAGGTAAGCGAGCGAGAGCAGGCCAACATCCGCCGTTGTTCATTCAACCTTTTGCGAAACGTACAGCGCCGTACAACGGGCACCGAAAGGTATTCTTGGTAGGTAAGCGAGCGAGAGCAGGCCAACATCCGCCGTTGTTCATTCAACCTTTTGCGAAACGTACAGCGCCCTACAACGGGCACCGAAACGTATTCTTGGTAGGTAAGCGAGCGAGAGCAGGCCAACATCCGCTGTTGTTCATTCAACCTTTTGCGAAACGTACAGCGCCCTACAACGGGCACCGAAAGGTATTCTTGGTAGGTAAGCGAGCGAGAGCAGGCCAACATCTGCCGTTGTTCATTCAACCTTTTGCGAAACGTACAGCGCCCTACAACGGGCACCGAAACATATTCTTGGTAGGTAAGCGAGCGAGAACAGGCCAACATCTGCTGAAACACCTGCAACAAAATATTTTACTAAATAGATTTCGAAAATAAGATGGCCTTGGCGCAGACAGGTTTCGCGTAGTTCGAGCAGCAAAAGGCGCCGGAGTCTCGGGTTTCCCATGGGAGCGGTGGCTGGTGACATCTATCGTAGTGGACCTCTCTAGCGCCAGTCCAGGCATTCGTCTCAGCTACATTGGCGAATCCGGTACCCGCAATGTCCGGCGGTTTAAACCAATCCGCAAAACGTCTCCCGATAAAATCCGGGAGAGAGCGACATCAACGGCGACGTTTTCCGGGTCCCGCATTCCGCGTGAAAGTTCAATATATTCATCTCAGCCGCACCCGGACGAGGCCGGAGAACGGCGGATTTTCACAGTAGCCTCCTTGCAAAGTTTGTGAGGGAGCGGGGAGGGGTGCGCTTGTCGCTTCTCTTAAACCCCACAAAAGGACGAAGGAAGCAGCTGCTTTTGTTGTCTTCTCCTCCTTGAAGCTACGCAAAAATCCCACAAAGGCTGCAATTTCTTCCTCTCCCGCCCGTGGAAACTAATGTGCGTTTTCCCCTTTCCCGCTTGTCGCCGGCGTGCTGGCTGTCTCTCTAGCTGGTCCACGATTCCGCACACATTCCGGGCGACGTTTTGCGGGCTGGTCTGGACTTCTGGACCGCCCCCGGATTGACTGCGGTAACCCTCTCCCTCGTAGCTGGAACGTGATGCACATGCGTTCCTTCGGATGCGAGACGCATTCACCGTTGGGGGAGGATTGGACGCTATAGGCACGATGCTTAGTGCAAGTAAGCGGAGTGAAATGCATTCCCCCAGTGAAGTATTTGATGCCACTGCGCTGCCCCCCCATCTTTCCAGTGTCACGTGGTAGACGCTGCGGGAGCAAGGAGTCTGCAGGAAATTCCCCTAATTCGTTGGGTGCCTCGCACGCGCCCTTCCTGGGATTTTTGCACATGTATGCAAAAAAACGGTGCTATACTAAAAGGGTCTAGCATTTTTTAACACTTAGCGACGATACTCCCCATAGCGATTTTACCCAGACACTTTCATTCTAGTCAGGGGAGCCTGCATAATCTTTTAAAGGTCACATCATTCATGCATTTCTATTTAGTAGAGAAAATTTAAATATTAATGAGCACTGCCTGCATCCCAATTTGGTCGCTCTCAAAAAAAAAAAAAAAGTAACAAGAAACCTAGAGTATCTTAAATATAGACTACTTGTCAAGCTTTAAATGCACATCACTCTTCCTTAGCCTAATAAACACACATTTTGAACGAAGTGAAGAGAGCCAATTTTGACACACAGTGCTATCAGCGATTCTGCTACCACTAGAAATACGCACATAAATGTTTGGCAGGTACTATGCGGTTTCCATGACAGCAAAGATGACAAACTTACATGAGTGCAATGGAAGGGCCACAAGCTTCAATTCCCTTGCTGCAGTGCGGATTGCATTTATGCATCATTGTCCCATTACAAAGGCCACAGGGATGAAAATACTCTCTTCTAATTTCGAAGTGAAAGAGAAAAATAATTAAAAGCAGAGCTCCTAGCAACCCACATCATGAAAACACTAACTGTTTACAAGGACAAAGATCTTTTTTTATTTGTGCTAACTACAGAACAGCTTCCTGATTTACTGTGATTCGGGCTTGGCTTCATTCTTCACTCTTCTCAGCTGAGGGTAGTAATCTTCATAGTTGTAGTGGCGGAAGGGTACTTGGTACTTGAGCAAGCCTGAAAAGCATCGAGGCACTCATGAAATAAAAATAAAAAAAAGAACGAGAAGGCTAAGCTAGTACAGAGTCGGTTTGCTCTTATTTATTGTTAACGCGGTACACACAGGAGGATCACTCACCCAAGTCTTTAGCTTTCAAAATTTCCAGGTCAAGTTCGAACTGCTTCTTCCGGCACACGCCTGTGACGGGCAAAGAGAGAATAATAATTTTTGTGCCGTACATAAAGTACAAGAAAAGTGAATTTGTGCGGACACTCAAAAGGCACTATTTCATGTCTCTAACTAATACCCATCGTCTGGGAAAAAAAAAAGGCAATAAAAAGAGACATGCTTTGCAGATAGAGTTAGACCACCTTTTACCTTTGCATATATACAGTTATAGTAATAGCATGGTGCCCGGAACCTGTCTCCGACTGGTGCGTTTACAGCAGTTGTCTCAAACTCATTAAGTGTGGGGGCCAAATAGCCCACACCGGAAAGGTCGCGAGCCAATGCAAGACGGAGGAGGGGGGGGGGGGGGGGGGGAGCATACAGTTTTATAGAGACGATACCTCGCTCTCTATGCTTTCGTAAAATCACAGTTTTGCCAGTGAGGTCTTTCACTCTCATGTGTTTTATGACTACTCTGGGCCCTGCCGTGATGTGATAACTATAATTAAAATGACACAGCCCCATCAATGTGCTGCCATTTTTAATAGAACAAGGGAAGAAGTACACTGTCGTTCCGAGCTCTAAACATATTCCTAAAAAAAACAAAAAAACAACCGGTTATTTTGGCAGTTCTTGCTTTCCTTACAATTTTTATTACAACACTCTGAGCTTCTTTTAATTGTGACATTTTTTCAAGGCGAGGATCCCGAGCTCGTAGCTTTATTTTTGGCTGTTGCTCCGGCTGACCGAAAGTTCGCGCAGCCGAGATGCACCCTTCAACAAATAGCTCGCGCTTGCGGCCTGGTAGCAGAACAGTTGTACATTACAAAAAAGCTGGGAAGCAAGAAATAAAGCGAAACATGGGGCAAGTAAACACCGGTAAGTATAAACTATGTGAATGCGTTAAAAGAGCAGAGCTACTTTTCATACGAAAATGAATCGGCGAGAAGAGATCACGAAGCCGCATGCTTTTTCTAGCGCTCGAGACATGGGAACCGCGACTCGTAGCCGGTTGCCTGCGGGCCGCGTCCCAGCGAATCACGGGCCACATGCGGCCCGCAGGCCGCGTGTTTGAGACCCCTGGTTTACAGCGTCCTAAAAAGTGGCCCCTAGATATCCGCCCGATGACGTCACAGGAGTGACACGTCCACTGCCGGCATGCCGGTGGTGTCGCAGCGGCGGTGGTGGATGAGGCAGATGCCTGTCCTGCTGCGGGTCGCTCTTCAGCTTGGCAGTCCATGGAAACTCCTGCAGCCTGAAGCTGGGACGCCATGACGATAGCAACACTCGCATTTGTTCCTACTTTTTGCCAGGACATCTAGCACCAATTGCCGGGATCGCGACATTCGACAGCACGACACTCCCGGTCCCGTGACGACGTCACTCGTTGCCATTTCGGGACACCTTTGTTTTACAAATGGGACAGGATGCAGAACACACCGGTCGAAGACTAGTTCTGGGCACCTCTCAGAGGAGATATTTTTCTGCTAAACAGACCTGTTTTGATTGGCTTCATGACTTCTCCCGTGTACGGAGAAATGAACTGCTGGAGCAGCTTGACGTTCTGCAACGAAAAAACACAATTGTCCGGACGCTTGGCCCGAGTGTAGAAACCGTCCTAACGACGGATGAGAATGTCGAAACACTCACTGTATGGTGCACCACCAGGTATTCGTCCCTGCATATTGGACATGGGTTCCCCGTAAAGATTTGTCCAGCTCTCTGCAGAAAAAAGTTCCCCGGAAAGCGTGGAGGTGAAGCCAGATATATCAAAGATCAAAAATGGTTTTAGACACTTTTCGCGGTTTTCGATCGCAATAAATTGGAGCGAGTGTCCGATGCTAGGATGACAACAGCAGTAACGACTTGTCACAGCTATTGCCCTTTTTACCAGAATCTCGTGCAGCCTTATTTTAAACTATGCTTTCTCACAAACTTTCTCGTGTGTCATGCAACAAAGCTGTAATTACGATTGAGAGCAGTGAAACACCAGATGGCACAAGTTACTGTCAAAATCAACGAAAGTCAGGGCCACTGTCGGCATGTTCATCAATCTGGGGAGATGCCACACTTGCTGCAGCAGAACTTACGATGCAAGTCTCCCGTGTCCTTGGAGGAGGAAACTGACCCTTGAAGTTTCGGCGATAATTTGTCCAGACAGGGTCATTGCCATACGTGTCCTTGTAAGCTGGTGATTGGGATCGGACAAAAAAACCATATTTGTAGATGGTAATTGAGGAAGTCCAGGATTTCACAAACTACTCGCTACAATTTAAATGCACAAAGCAATGAGAAAGAAAAAGCAGCAGAGCTTGGTATCCCTTGTTCAAAGTATACCCATGGGATTGATTGCATCTGGTTTACTTCATTTGAGATATAGTAACCAATGCTTAGAATCGTGGCAGCCACGGTCAGATTGTAGACACTTCGGCCGAGCGTGCTGTCTTCATCGACAGGGGTAGACAGTGGAGACAATGCGTACAAGTTCGTCAATGTGGAATATTTTCTGAGGCATGAGAACTTGCTGGGGCATTTGGTGTATGCCTAGGTAAATAAACATGAAATGTTACGTTGTGACCTTTTGTGCTCCAACAAACTATTTACTTGCAAGAGTCTCGGGGATGATCCGAATAATAGATAAATGCCTTATAGCAGCGGTGGGGATTAGACCCAGGATCCCTGGGTTCTGCAGCGCATGCTTTCGCTCTTTGTTACCCCAGTTACGGTGTGCCAATGGGCTTGTCCACCGATCCCCTCTATCCCGCAGTGGCAAAACAGAGGCTGCCGAGGAAAGCTCCACCTCTCAACAATCTCGTCCTTTTCTTCTTTGCTAGGGAAATATGTTGCAAGCCCTGCACGGACTAACCTTTGCTCTCCAGATAGAGGATGCTCGTTTCCGGCGGATGCAGAGTGACCTTCTTGTGCTTCAAAAGCTCGGATGTTTCCTCCACCTCTGCGTCACCGTTGGCGGCCTCGCTGTCTGCCGTCGCCTCCGGTTCCACTTTGCAGCAGTTCGCTGTGGACGTCGACACATACCTGTTTGTCTAAAGGGTGTGGGAAAAAAAATAACGGCGTTAGTTTTAAAACTAAACTCCCGCAAAAAAGCGTTGTCACTCAGTAAGGTAATGGTCTAAGATTTAGAGTAAAAATCAAGTGAGAATGGGAAAACCAAGCGTCTCGGCAGCGTTACTGGATTCAGCTTCACAAAGCATGCTCCTAAATCGGGCGCGACTGCAGCCCGACCGCTCACTCACCGGTATAACGTTGAGCTGAGCAGTAAATCTGTAAGAGTATGCAGTAAAGGTTCTTTCGTCCGACTTGCACGTATTTTGTGCATTTTCTAGCACGACATTTCTAAAAATTGAACAGAAAGGCCCGATACGCCGCGAAAACCTTGCGAACCACATGAGCGCCGCCATTTTAAAACAGTATCCCCGAGGCAAATTGTACTTATAAATTAATATTGTCACAAAATAATTTATTTATGCATTAATAAAAATATATATTTATATAATGCATCTTAATGACACAGCACAGTATTGTAATTTGAATTTTTTCAATTAAGTTATTGTAACCGCACCTACATCACGTGACATGCCCTATTCCTGAGCTCGTGAAGGTAGGTGTCGGACGTGCGTTCCATTTCTTCTCTGAAAAATGCTAAATCTTTTAGCGTCTTTTAGCGAATTTTTCTGTTCGGCGTGTGTCGTGCGAGAAACAGCCTAGCTTATGTGTTTGTGTTTTCTCTTTACAGAGTATCGACACGCCACTTGGGAGTTTCGTGGTCTTCAAGCGCCTTCCGGAAGATCTTGTGGAATTGAGAAGAAAAAAAATTTCAATTCCTTTGTCACGGCGTGGATACTAGGGCTGTTCTCATCTTAAAAATATATGGTCAACTTGTTTCTTTAAGTTTTCATAAAGCTACAGCCAGCATTAAAAGAAAGCGGTTTTATAAAGGTGGCATAAAATGAAAAGGTACGCAATGCTTTGGTATTTTTTATCGTACTTATCAAAGCCTTCTCTGCGATCTCGCTTTTAGTAAAGTCCCCAAAAATGCAGTGTAACGTGCTGTAATCCTTTCTAAATTGTGCAACGCTGTAGTCTTGTTCGCCCGGAATGTGAAATGGGCCTCAAAGCTGCTTAAGCCTCGCGAAATGTTGCTTATTTAAAAATGCGGCGCTACAGTGCTGAATGAAAACAGCGAACAGCTGCGAAAAGTATTAGTTTGAGGGCTGCACAGCGAGCCTATTTACGTAAAAAGCGCTATCCCTAACCGCGTTTAGAACGTGGTTCAAGATGGCCGCCGGATGAGTCTCCTTCCTCGCTGAAAAGTACAAAATGGCGTCCGGCCGCCTGCTGCGGATAATCGCATTCCGATCCAAGTAGTCGCGAAACTAGACCCGCGTGTTACGTCATCACAGTCTTGACGGCACGTTCGGAAATAAGGCGTTTTCAACTAGCGCTTGTGAGGCGTGAATGGAAAGTGGTTGTTTCTTCCAACGTCGTGTCGTTTTCCCGCTTTTCAGTACGTGGACGATGTCGTACAAGAACAGCTGATAGCCGCTCCAACTTTTCGCGTTCCAAAGCAGACTTGGGCACGATGGTGAGTCATGTTTGGTCGTACACACGGTGTTTCACGTGTTTCTTGAGTTTTCGATAGTGTTCGTGGGCGGACGCCTTGTATGTTTTATTTTCTGTCTCGGAATCGTTTCCTTGGTTTATTTTGGGACATCGTTCGGAAGGCATTGACCTTCCGTAAACATTTATAAACGTAATGATCCACGAAAAGACAGGCCAAGTGTGCACAACTGTTGGGGCAATGCAATTCTGCAACAAAAAATAGCGCCTCGAAAGATCGCTTCTGCTCGATTGTTTGGTTTTGTCTTGTGAGCAAGCAGGAATGTTTGATCTTTAGTGAGGTCAGAAAACAAATATTGTTTGTGGTGTTTGTTTTCCCTCCTCATTTCGTCTTTCAACCTTTGAGGAATGAAACAATGGGGTCACTGACCTTTGCCCCCTTACTGTATGTTACAAGCTGGACCTTTATAGGGTGTGGTTTCTCTAGTGCTATAGACTTTAACTAAAATGCAGTCAGTGTGCAGGCAAGCTGGTGGAAGTTTACCATGCCGATTTTAGCCTGAGCTCGTACAGGAGGAAATATTTTTACAGTGGAAGAGTAAATAACGGACTGGCAGCATCTCTTAACTCTGCTAATAATTTTATTCAACCAGTCTTCTCTCATAGAGAACTACAACCGCCACAAAACCACCTAACATCTTGTTTTTCAAGGTCTTGCACCTCGCTTATATCACACAAGATACTAAGTGAGGCCACCTTTAAAGCACAACCACCTTTCGGTTTAAACAAAAAAACCTTCCAGTGTGCTCTCTTCCACTGTAAATGATGTTTCTCCTGCCCCAGTTTTGAGTTAAAATCATCATGGTAAGACCACATAACTATCAATGCAAAAAATGAAACCAGACGTTGCTAGTTCTTTTAATGTCGTGTTCTGACACTCTGCTCTCTGTAACTAAATTAAGCCTTCATGGTGTTGCTGTTGTGTCAATATTTACAAAGTGAAGTGACAGTCAATAATTATTTTGAACATGTAGCCTGAGAAAATGCAGATTTCAGTCAGTCTGAGTAAGATTTGGATTTCTTAGCCTGTCACTACAAATTTGTTTTATGGGGATGGGTTCGGGGAGTTAGAGTACACTTAGTCGAGCCCTTGTGTAGAAAGATGTTTAGAAGGCTTTTTAAGGCCTTCATTTTTTGTAGAGAGGATGCATTAGAGGGCAATAGAACGGGGGGGCTATGCAAGACAACGGTATGAAGGAACCGGGACATAGCCGCCTGCTGCGATTGGTCAGCGCCACGCTGCTGACCAATCGCTGTTGACCAACATGTGTTAAATGCACCCCTGTGTCGACCGTCACGTGTTCTGTTCCGTTGCTCTTAGTGGCTCACGGGGGCTGTAGCTCTCATTTACTGCCAAGTTATGCTGGAAAGGGATAGTGCACTGGATTTAGATAGTGCCTCATATGCAGTGGGTGGAAGTCTGGAATTTTTTTTAAATCTCTAGAACAGGGGTCTCCAGCACGCGGGCGGCACATGTCGCTCTTTGATATGGCCCACAAGCATCCCGCGGCTCCGAGCGCCATAAATGATTGTTTCATAATTTGGATTCATTTCGGCTCAAGATGGAACTTTGCTCATATACCGTGTTCACTTATTTTGCACTGTTTGTTTTGGACTGAGTATTGCATTGTCAAAATATTCGCTTCTCTTACATAAATCGACCTGAATGGCAATACTATATTAGGCTATGAGTGTGCGAGCTCTTTGCTCAAGGAGGCACTTCGGCTGCACAAATTCTCTGTCAGCAGGAACAGCTGCCAAATATAAAGCTATGAGCTTGTGCTTTTAGCTGTCGGAGGATACCTTTAAGATGCATGTATTCTTATTGAAAAATCGTTGGGAAAAGCAAGAACTGCAGATCTTTCTCTGCGCCTCTTGATTCTAGTGAATTGTGCGACCAGGCAAGGACACTATGTTTTCACTCGTTCTATTGAAAACTGCCAATACATTGGTGTTAGAACATCAGGTGTGGGCCCAGAATAGTCGTAAATGCAAATAAAAGCTAAAGATTGTGAAATAGTGAGCTTAAAAACAGCAGAGAAGACAAGGTTTCATCTCTAGAAAATCTGGGGTGTTACTGGGGCAGTCTGCTGCTTTGCAATGTAAGACATCATTGCTTTTTTATTTTTTGTCCCAAAACAGCAAAATATTGCTTTCCCCGTTGGCCCTCAACCTCAGGACTATAATCACGAATAAGATGAGAATAGTGGGGAGTCTCCTTTCCTCATTGCCTTTTGTTGCATGTGCACACACGAAGCTCACTTGGCGCTGAAGTTTTATCGAAGATGGGAAGCTCAGGCTGGTGGCCAAACTGTTCTGGTTCTGTTGGTGACTGTGGTGAATTTTGCCCTAGTTATACGGGCCGTTTCAATTGTCCAGCCGCTAGAAGTTGGTGACCCTAAATTGGACTCGATGGAACTGTGATATGTGGCTCTTTAGCTCTCTGTTAAAGGCAGCATAAAATCGAGTCTTGTCACATGATCTACCTAGATATTAATTATTTGTCATACCTGATAGCTCTTAATTACGAGATATAACACCTTTGAGGCTAATGCGAAGTTTTCAAATGAGTGCAGGCACGAGAGGCATACTTGAGAAGAGGCAAGTAAAAGAAAGAAATGCCCGTCTGGAACCACATTAGCATTGCAGACTTGAATCGAAAAATAAATTAACTGGGTAAATACCAAAGCGATAGATATTGCGGGAAGCACATTGCCACCGACAGAACCAAGGACTGCATTCATGGGGACGGGCTATTTCTCCCTGTTCTGCGACAGATGCTGCTGTCTCTAACTTGGTTAACGAAGGCGACCAGTTCAAATGAGTTGGGGAGCTCAATTCAGCTCGGTTTTTATTGTGGCTCAATGACTGTTAGCTTCACTGCACACCTCCACTCGATCATGACGCGCCATGTTAAAGTTGGGAATGCTTGTGTGACGAGGATACTTGTGCCTGCATTGTAATGTCTGTTAGTTTTGTGCAGGGAGTTCTATATGTTTCCGTATAGCAGGGAAATTTCTTATCGAAGGCCCTGGTAGGTTCTTGCATTTGCAACTACTACTAAAAGACGTCTGAAACTACCGTAGAATAGCGTGCATCCGCCCATTCTACATTAAGCGCCCATTACCAAATTTGTGAGACGTGAGAAAATATGCACAGTACATTTATATGTAAAATTGATGACTGCACAAGCGCCCATCCCCCATTTTTTTGCGATTATCTCCAAAGTTTGAGTGGGCGTTTGCCCGGTATTTTAGAGTTATGCTGAAAAGTTGTAAAAAGGAAAGTGGATGTCCATGCCATCTCAAATTGTTCTCTTAGTGAGGAGAAAGTGTCAGCCTTCTGTGGTGCCATAAAACGCCACAAAACAAGTTACAACTTTTTTGATAGTAACAGACATTGCCATAGTTCATACCTTCTACAGCATTTGGCTTCAATTGTATTTTCTCAAAACAACCAAGTATGTAAACAAAAAAGCCACATTACGTAGAGTGCCAAATTTTGTAAAATAAGCAATTGGGTTAATTTGTTTTATTATAACTGGTTTTTCTAAGGCTGTACAGATATGAATACAACATTGCCAGGCTACAAATGAAGGATGGTGGCAGTTTAAATCTGGAGGCTTGGTTGCCATGATCAGCAGTTTGTGCTCTTTTCATTTGAGCAGTCATAGGGTCTAGCTAGGGTTTAGTTTTTATTTTACCTAAATTGCCTTGCCCCACTAGATGACAAACAGAAATACCCGACACTGAGAAGCCTGATGCACGTGCAGGGTGCGTGTGAAGGCATCTTTGGCAAGCTCTAGAAGTAAGCCGCTCGGGCTTACTTCTAGTGCACCGAGTGTCTGCAAGCCTGCCAAAGGTACAGGATAGCCCTGGTACACCTCTGATCGGCATTGATTTTCGAAATTTTTTGTGACGTGATTGTTCCGCCAGTGTGCATACTCTGCTACACCCAGCCACATTTAACCAAGATGTAATTTGCACCAACATTGTAGTAGAAGCAAACTATTCTATCAGTACGAAAACTGATAGTTTTTGTGTCGCTATGGGGGTATTCACACGGAGAGGGATGTGCGTGAAGCCAGTGATAGGCAGGACTAGCGGGTCTCCCTCCCCGACTCCAGCATTCACATGTACAGCGGGGAGCTGAGCGGTATGTCAGTTTTATCCGACAGGTTTAGCGGCCATATTTTCGACAACAGACTGTGCTCGCTGACGAGAGTAGAAAAATGGAGGCGTACATAAGACGGCTATACGCGATTGATTGTAGCAGCAGCGCTGTTAGATGCAAAAAACAACAATCTGCTTTCTGCTTTAAAAGAAAAAAAAGATGCTGCTTGAATGGGTGGACACAACACGGTTTTTTGTTGACTCTGGCTAGGTGGCGCAAGCTACCAACCGTTATAAGGGCACAGCCATTACCATCTATCCACCCATTCATCCTTTTACTTGATGCGTGTCTGCTATACCTATCTGGTGCGGACAGAGGAACAACAATAATTTCACAATTCTTTAAGTCTCCTCTATATACTTTGTCCTTTGTCTATAATAGTAAAGGACACCCTTTTCACACTGCAATTAGTTGTCTTATTCTGGCATGGGGTCCCCATCACTTTGGCGGGTCTCCAAGGGTTCTTCGACACATCTATGTTTGAGAGCCACTGGGCTTGATGGCATTGATCAATATTGAAGACTCCCTTGAGTGCCTCGGACGATATGCGCAACAGAAGAAGCCACAAGTTGGGTGATCTTGATGTCACCGCCGGTATCCCGCTAAGCAAAATCTGTAAAGAGGAGTTATGGAGTAAGACCACAGACATGCAAATAAAATGACGCCAATTGCAAAGAGTTCCCCCGCCAAGGCTGTGCAGCCCGAACAAGAGTTCCCCCATCCCTTTGGAATGTCTACGCCAGCGCGGCCCCGTGCAAGGGCGTGACATCATTACCACGTGATGCACATCCC